TATATATATATATATATATATATAAATTTTATTTTATTTTTTTCAGGCTTGACACTTATCGGCACAGTTTTACGAGTCCTTCACTTCCATAGCGAGTACAAAATTTCTTGTACGGAAGAAGAGTATTTTACAGATGATCGGCTCCAAACACTGGCAGGTATCTCATCAGAGTTTTTAGCTGATATCTCTACTGATATTTCTAAGGTAATTGTCGAACTGATAAGCAATGTTAACACACTAGACTGTCAGTTCCTTATTATTTGTTTCTATTATTAGGAAATAATGGCAGAGTTGATAAAAGAAGGCTATCTGACAGAGAAGACCTGTCTGGCAGCTGCAGAAAGTTTGTACACCTCATTCACCACCTCTGTAAGTGTTCCATCCTGAGTCAAATGATCATTTAAGGTTGCAGCTGAGGCATCTCATTTTCATCTTACTGTGAAAAAGGGAGGCAGATTGTTTAAACATTGCTCTAACCTGTTCTGGCTGGCACAAATCCTTTACACGTGAAAATGGTTGATACCCAGGCTTTAACTTGACCGATATCATGTTTTTGTTTTTTTTTATTTGTTTTTTTTTTTTTTTTAGTGTAATATTAACATGCCCTATTGACATGTGTGGAAAGTAAACATCTTCTGTCATTTCCTTCTCTGATGCAGTTCCAGCACCTGTCCTTGATGCTGTCGGAGGTTGATCCTGGACTGTCAGGCAAGCTCAAAAAACATTTTCCTGTTTGAGACGGCCCTTTAGAACAGCCAAGTATAGCTCCCTAGTTCTCTTTGATGGCAAGTTTGGTTTTCCATGGAACAACTAGGTGAGAGTCATCATTTCACCATTGTCCTAAAAAGTAACAGCTCAAAATGGTGTCATTGTTTTTTTCTTGTTTAGTTAATTTGGTTAAATGTCTATTTGCAGCTGTGACAGTTGTGACTGTTTTTAATAAATATTTGTTTCTACATTGTAGCTCACTGATTATTTAACATGAATACACCTGTGTAATGAAGCCTGTCTCCTTTATCTAGGTTACTGTTGATGTTTAAACTTTTTTGGAGATAATTTCCATACACCAAAACATTGTAAATATTATGTTAAGCTTCATTTATGGCATTTTCATTTTTGTTCTTTTCACTGAATCATCTCAAGCAAATGTGTAATGGTGCTAATGCTGATGACTACATCAAGTGTTTACTAGAGGGTGACTATCACTCGGTAAGGACAATAAATTGGATGAAAGGCTTGAGCTTGCTGACAATAAACTCATTTGGTTTCCAAATGCACCATTGCACCCACTCCAGGAGAAGAGCTGCATAACCTGTGCACTTCCAGTGAGCTTTCGAAGCCCCTATGAATATAGCAGCTTTTTAATTAAAGCTTGGATTGATATGTAGAACACTCTTTCTAATGGAAATCATGTGACGGCACACGCAGAACGCAGACCCTATGGGCAAAAAGCCTGCTCTCTGTATTTGTGATGCCAAGGCGGCTGGTGCTTTGAATGACGAGTCATGTCCCGTTTGTGCTTTGAATTGCTAGAATGATGTAGATTCACTCAGGCTTGGCCTTTGCCTGATTGCTTGTGGTCCAAAAGTTGCTTTGGTGGGTGCTCGGCCCTCGGGTCTTGCTTTGGGGTGTTTTGTGTCACAGAGATGACGGTGAAGCTCAGATGTTTGTTGCTGCCCTGCCAAGCTGTATTGTCAATCAGCCCATCTTGACTGCAGCCTGATATGATCTGACCTAATGCATACAATGGAGTGAACTGTGTCTGTAAAGAGCTTCATAAACATTAAGGCACGTCATGCTTTTCTAACGCTGATGCCAGATGTCAGCTGGTTTCCATATTTGCTCTTAATGCCAGCCAACTCAATTTTCTGTTTAACATTGTGACAAGCTGTATTAAACTAGATCAAATTTATGTAATCCATCAGAGAAAATAACTGTCCGAAACAAACTGGTCATGTGGTCAGTTTATAATTTTAAAAAGTTATTACTATACAATGATAAATATAAGGCAAATAATGTGTTGGTGTAAATAAAGTGATTATTTGTAAATCGCAGAAAATCATAATAAATAAAAATTAAAAACATTTGTTTTTAATCAGGATGCCCATTGTTATTGTCAAATGCAATAATGGATATGGTGACTACCATTTTGTTACTGTTAACTGAATCTGTTTTATTTGATATGTCTAATTTTTTTTATGTATTTTAATATTTCAAATATCCTAGAGTCATCTATTTATCTGTTGATATGATGTTTTGTTCTAACCCCACTTCTGAATTGCAAATCAAAGTTTTGGTTCCTGTACTCTAGTACAATGAATTTAACCTGTTGCTTAGACACTTAATGAAGGGTCAGAGTATGAGTGGACTCGCCCGTTGCCTCTTGTGTCCATGGCTACTCTTTGTACTTATAAATTAAGGGGCCTGCATCTTTCTTTGTCAATGAAGGAAAAGGTGCTTTCGCAGTGAAATGATTGGTTTCAGCTAATTTCTGACATTCTATTTCATGTCACAATAGTCTCATCTTGACTTTTTATATTTTGATATTGATATTGATATTATGTTTTGTTATTTCAAAAATGTGTTTACTATAATAATATTTTGGGGAAAACAATACAGCATTTAGAAACAAAATGACAGGGTAATTTTAATATAAGATAAAATCTTTCATATAGCATTGTTAGATTTTGACATTATTTATTTTAGATTATGAATCATGATGAAAGTTACCAACAATCCTATGTCATAGTGGTCATTGTGCAGTTTAATTAAAGGCTGTGTTATTTCTGTCACTAATCACAACATTCTGTTATTAACATTTTTATTATGTTATTCATATTGAATGTGACAGATGTTTATAAGGGTTGCCCACATAGATGTAGTTTGATCCTGTTTAGTCCCTGTTTACACTGTAGCTCTCATCGTGTCGCACATGTGACTGTTTGTTCAGCAATGAAAGAATTGGAACTAATTAAAGGGACATGCTCCTGGTGCAGGAAATGTGCGCAAACAGGCCATTCACTGCTCTGATTAGTTTGTTATTCAAACAAGACACAGGCCTGCTGAAAGACGCTGTCCCATTGATGAAGTGCTCACAGCCCCAGTTTGTTTCTGGAAATATGTACAGAGCACTTACTGGAATTAACAACAGAGGTGAGAATAGGACTAACCTTTAATTGCCTTTACCAAAGGCAATTAAACCTTTATCAAAATGCCACACTTATTACACCAATAAAGTAGATTTGTCAAGTTTGCAAAGTTTAAATGATAAAAATTTGGACTTCATGTAAAAACACCAAAAATATTGAATAAGTTTTTATTCACCATTATTGGCCTGTAGTAAAGTAATTTTGAAATTTTAATGAATGAGCTTCAATGACCAAATTTCAGGTTGAAATTGATAGTGAACAGAACTATGGCTTCAACATATCTCAGCACTCCAGACTAAATAGATTACTGTGATTTCATCTTTGGATAACTTACTAACTTACACAGCCACAAGGCTGTGCACTGACAGCATGCAGTGCATCAAAGACAGACCTGTGTGCATGTAAGGAGATGAGTTGATGCATGGAGAGCCTTCTCATTACCGCTGCACTGAATCAGAAGTACTTTACAAGGGCCAGGGAGGTCAGTACACAATGCGCTCCAGAGGTCAAGCCATGCAGTGTAACCTATCACTTACTTTGCAAATCATTACATCATTATGAGGGAGAATTGTGTATATAACATGCAATGGAGCCAATATAAAAGTATAGTCCATATACACTAATAACAGGATCAGGATTACAAAACATAAACTCCTTCCTCTGTCACGGTGAGCTTTTAATACAAATGATTAGTACACAGTGTGTGAGACACTCCTTACTGAACTGAAGTGGTGGTGTGTGTATTGCGTTGTGTACCACCCACCACCTTCCTCAGAAAGTGTTCATTAGCAGAACATATCCTCTCATACTCTTTGTCCTTTTCTTTGCCTTTTCTCTCTGCATCCACTTCCTCTGAAATAATGTCTGGTATGTGACAGCATATTCTCTCTCTTCACACAATACCCAACACAATACACAAGCCTTGTCAAAACACTAAACATGACGCATTTGTAAGTAAAAATAATGACCTTAGTCTGGCCAAGTGTTATTGTTTGGTCTTTCTCATGGGTACTTCTTCACAGCAGTGATGGAAGTGATTAAAAATTGTATTAAACTATACATGTAAACTAAATGTTATGAAAGAATAGGAGATACCATCAACTGCTGTAAACAGATAACTGAGTTAAATTTTACAGTGACCATATTTAGTATTTTAAAAGGGTTCCATAAAAATGCAATCTATGTATATTTGTAACTGAATGTCTATTTAGTTTTAAATATATTATTGAGAAATAGTTTTAGTGGTACTAAATGTAGTTTGTTATAGTTATAGACAGTAACGGTTGCGATGGTATATCAAATGCCATTTACTCTATAGCCCACTTAATATGACTTAAGTATAGTTTTTACTATTAATATTATAATTTACTTGTTCTCATGTATAATATTTTTAAATGTTGAAGAATTGTGAGTTGTGTGTTTTTTCAGTTTGTCCCCACTGCACCCTATTGCCGTAGTGACAATATGAGCAATTTTGACTTCTTTACATATTTACCAGTGCAATTACCAGTCTCAAGTTGTTTTTTGAAAGAGGCAGTGCCCTTCATTACCTCGGGGTTGTGTAAAGCATCATGGTGTCACGGGTGACATGGGGTAGGACCACCTGAGCCATGTGCAGCAGTGATTACATTCATGATGGGTTTAAAAGGCCAGTCATGTTCAGAAAAGTGACTTAAATTAATGAAAAGGGTCCTGGTGATTTATAAAGAGCTCATGTCTTTTTCCATCTGATTGCCACTGTCTTTTTTAATATCTAAATGGGCAGATTAAGTGTAAGAGAAGCCAGAGGTGCTTACAGTGCAGTGGGTGGATTTCAGGAGGGAGATTGAGATTGCGGCAGGGCAGGTAGACTATACTTTTAATCTGATCAAACCTTGACCTGTAGGCCTCAAAGTGTCTACAAACAGTAGGAATAAAGAAAGCTTAGCAACACACTCTATGGTCAGTCAGCATTGATTCATCAAATATCTAGTTTTTCCTTTATATCAGTATATATCTGCATTATTACCATGTTCAAAGATCATTAAAGAAATCACACTGCAGGGCAGGCTATCCTCTATTAAATCTGTTATTTAGGCTATAAATCGAAGAGACCTAGCCTATAGGCCAATGAAATCGTAACCCCCCTACAATTTTGAAGAAAACAAAAAACAAAAAAAAACTAAAAAACTTCGAACAAAAGCGGCCTTTGAGTAAAACCATAGGTGACCAAAAAAGATCCCCTCGCCCTCGTGACGCACACGCTGCGCTTTTTCCATGTGTCTGCGTGGAGTTGACAACCTGATTAGTTCCTAGAGCCCCCTCCTCTTTTTTCGCAGGAGTTAAATAGGAAATCACGTAGCTTGTCAGACCGAGTTCGAGCTGTGAGAGCCCACCTGACCCACTCCAATCGGAGATTTTCCCTCGTCAAAGCAAACCAAATTTGAGAAACGCAGCTGTACTTTATCATGTACAAACTTGAAGGGCCACGAAGAGGAAGATCTTTCGACTCGATGAATATTGGCTTTGATGAAAAGTTCCTAAACAATGAGGTAGGTTACTTATGCAGGCTATTTCATTTAACCCCTTTTTGTATTAGTTTCAGTTGCGTGTGCCGACATTTTATGATGAACTTTTGCACAGCGTGGTGTTGATCCGGGTTTATCTTATCCAACACAGCCGTCAGCGCAGATTAATTTAAGCCTTTACATTTTTCTTACCTGCGTCAAAGGGCTAATAGGGTTACAGACATGACAATGTATTTGCTTTTCTTTTATTGCCTTTAAGATTTTAGAAAAACCTATGCATAGATTTTGCTTAAAAACACGAAGATGAGGACAGATGATACGCAAAAATGTCTAAATGGGCAGGGGCCTTTAGAGAACTAAAACTACGAAGATTCTACTAAAATAGATCCGTTAAACAAGATAAAGAATAAGGCAAAAATAACTTTAAAAGGGCTCAGCATGTTCAATAAAACTGTTATAGTCGGGGGGGGGGGGGGGGGTTAATGTTCATTAAAACATTTTTATAAATAGGAAATTGCCATAAACGCTTGTTTTTATACATAGATTTAATCTTACGTAGCAGACACACAGATGCAGGACCAGGACCACGTATGCCCGTGTGGAAGGTTACACGACGGCAGGACTAATGAGCTTTCCCAGTGCTGCACTGGTAAGATTGCTCTAAGACGATTGCCTGAGACAAAGACAAGTTCATCTTGATTAAGTGGAGACAGGTAGGGTTGACTTGAGACAGTCTGCGCTGGCACTGATGCTTTCGGGTATTCGACCCGCCACAGCGCACCGAAAACTGGTCCTCTGCACAGTTTTCAAAATGCTGGAAGGAAGGAAAATGGTAGGAGAGCAAAGCTATAGAAGAGGTGCAGAGGTGTTGTCTGTAGGCGCAAGTCGTGTGTGCGTTTGTGTGTGTATGTGTATAGTTAGCTATTTGTTTAAATGTGTATTGAACTTCAATACCCTTCGCTGTCCAAGGTGCTGAAATCACTTGCGATTATCACGCACAAGTCTATAACTTTCAAAATGTGTCCCATTTACACTAATAGTCTCATATGATTCCAACTAACTTAACTGTACGGATAGGAAATTCATATAATTCTGCTTATTGTAGTATGCAATAATAACCTGAAGATGTGTCTGGTCTCATGTGTGTTTTTTTGTTTTTTGTTTTTTTTCAGATAAACAAATCTACCTTTTCAAAAATTGAAGAAAACAGTGAAAAGAAGAATACATCTGAAAAGGGAAGAGCCACAATAATCTTCTCCTTGAAGAACGAAGTTGGAGGACTGGTCAAGGCACTTAAACTTTTCCAAGTATGGACTTTTACAATGTTATACTTTAATTCATCTATGAACAAATTAAATTACACATATTTGTATACAGGAAAACCATGTCAACCTTGTCCACATAGAGTCCAGGAAATCAAAGAGACGCAACTCAGAATTTGAAATCTTTGTTGACTGTGACAGCAATAACGGACAACTGAACGAAATCATTCAGTTACTTCGAAACCATGTAAATGTGGTTGATATGGAGCCTCCTGATAACTCCTGCTTGCCTGAAGAAGGTAAATCATTCAGAATGAATAAGTTAACTCCATGTTATTTATAAAAAAAATAAATAAATAAATAAAATAACGCGTTCCTAAAAATTTCCATTTTTAGGAACATATAATGTGCCCTGGTTTCCAAAGAAAATTTCAGACTTGGACAAATGTGCAAATCGTGTCCTAATGTATGGATCAGAGTTGGACGCAGACCATCCAGTATGTAAACCTTTAACTATTTACTGATTTTAAGTTATATATAAATAGTTCAAAGTTAAATATATTTGTGTATTCAGGGTTTCAAGGACAATGTTTACAGAAAGAGGAGAAAATACTTTGCTGATCTTGCTATGTCATACAAACAGTAAGCTATCAAGTTTTGGTTTTTTTTGTTGTTGTTTTTTTTTCTAATGTTGGAGGCTGGTGAAACCAAGAGATCTGATTCTGTTCTGCAGTGGGGATCCCATTCCATCTATTGAATTCACAGAAGAGGAGGTTAAAACTTGGGGAGTTGTTTACAGGGAGTTAAACAAATTGTACCCCACTCACGCCTGTAGAGAATATTTAAAGAATTTGCCACTTCTATCCAAATACTGTGAATGCCGAGAAGACAACATCCCTCAGCTGGAAGACGTGTCGCGATTTCTGAAAGGTATTGATTAATATGTAAAATAAAAATACAGTATATTGCTATATTCAAGGAAGTATGGATAAAACCAAAGAACATTTTGTGTGTAACATAGTTGATCTGTATAAACATTTGAATTAAATTATTAACTCAGTCCTGATTCCTGATTTCTGATTATAGTCCTTAATCACTTCTCCCACAGCAGGGCAACATTTAGTAGTTACTGGGTTGTAACACCCCTTATATGAGATTTATTGAAGCTCATGCCGTTAGGTGTTTAAACAGAACTTTGTGTGTCTCCCTCAATTAGTTCATCAGTCACAAGTTCAGAAGCCCAATTTTTAGATGATGTAGTCAGGCAGGAGATATATTTTGATATGCTTTTTTTTTTTTTTTTTTTTTTTTTACATAAAAAAGGACTTAGTGTTGTCTGATAAGGTTCCAGGTGGCAGCCCATGGCACAGCATTTATATGTTCTCCTTTCTGTATAATTTCAGAGCGCACAGGATTCACTATCAGGCCTGTAGCCGGTTATCTATCACCTCGGGACTTTCTTGCAGGTTTAGCTTTCCGGGTTTTTCATTGCACTCAGTATGTGCGCCACAGTTCAGACCCTTTATACACTCCTGAACCGTAAGTACAGATCTGTTTTCATCTCATGTTGTAGTAAAAATGGAAGATTAGATTTTTATGTTTTTCTTTCAGGGACACATGCCATGAGTTGCTAGGTCATGTGCCACTGCTGGCTGAGCCCAGCTTTGCCCAGTTTTCTCAGGAGATTGGCCTTGCTTCTTTGGGAGCATCTGATGAATCAGTTCAGAAACTGGCCACTGTAGGTAACACTTCAGTTTAAAGTTATATACCGTATCTTATATGTGCGTATATGAAATAAATAATCTTTTAAATATTGTTAGTGTTATTTTTTCACGGTGGAGTTTGGCCTATGCAAACAAGAGGGGCAGCTGCGAGCCTATGGAGCTGGTCTACTGTCATCTATCAGTGAGCTTAAGGTGAAGTGGTTTTATGCCACAGTACTTATTTTCTTGCTGTCTAGTTAATTTAACTAATTTGTTCATTTGTATTTCACAGCATGCACTTTCTGGTAATGCAAGGATAATGCCTTTTGATCCCAAAGTTACATGCAATCAAGAATGCATTATCACAACATTTCAGGATGTCTACTTTGTGTCAAACAGTTTTGAAGAAGCCAAAGTCAAGATGAGGTAATTTAATTTTAATGGCAATAACATGCATGCTTCTTTGGAAATCTTATTTTTCCTTTATTTCAGGGAATTTGCCAAGACTATTAAGCGCCCGTTCTCTGTGCGGTATAACCCCTATACCCAGAGTGTGGATGTCCTCAAAGACACCACCAGCATCAACAGTGTGGTGGAGGAGCTTCGACATGAGCTCGATATTGTTGGAGATGCCCTGAACCGGCTCAACAAGCAGCTTGGTGTCTGACCTGTTTTGAGAGAAAAGGTTTCTTTTCCATCTGTCCACACTCCAGTGCTGTAGAAACTGCATGTCCATTTTCCTTTGTCACTACACTTGATGTGCTCAGCTTGAAAATAAGACTTAGCTACAAACCTTTTCAATCATGTAACCCAAATCTGTAATTTTGCTCTCATCACTGTGTTGAAATGTCATCACTGACTCCATTTCAGTTTCCTTTCACAAACATTACTGTTGTGTACAATATACTATGATATATTTTTGTAATTAATTTATTGGTGTTGCCACATGAGTAGGCTATAATACTGATTGCTGTTCCTTTGATGTATGCATTTTGTTGCTTTTGGTGTGCAACTGTATAATTAAACAAAGGCACATGTATACAGTGGTTAAAGGGAGGGTATGTAAAATTTAAATTTCAAATTTCATAAATATGAGTCTATCTGTGTCCACACATAGCCTACATGTTCTAATCAGATGCTGCTTTTACTAATATTGTAATTTTGATTTATGAAATGGCGTGATGGCCAAGCTGTTGATGTTGTAATTTGGTATTTTGGTTCTCAATATGTTCCAATCAGAAAGCTGAATGAGAATGATCTGAATAGGCTACATAAACCCCAACCTCTGCAACTCAGAGTGAATTCTGGCGGTTCTGAGCTTTCATGTTAGACATGGCCTGGACATAGCCTATGGTGAAAATGAGAAAAACTTGTATGTATGTTTCCTAAATATGCAGGTTAAAACTCTGGCAACCCAGATTTAGTTGTGACTATAGTTACTTTTTTAAACCAGTAAGGGTACATACCCTCCTTTTACAGTAGTTTATAGTTTGAAGTGTGTTTTTAATGAAAATATTTTTTTACTGTATAAATGTCAACGTTAGATTTTGATTTAATATATAAACTGATGTCTTCATTGTGTGACTTTCATCTTAAAATAAAAAATAATTTGTTTATTATTGTTGGTTGCTGTTTTTAATCATAATAATTATATATCTTAAGACTATTATGACAAATGATAGATTATATGCATGTTTGGCCTGGAAAAACTGATTAATTAATTCATGATCGCGATAAATCCAAATAATACTAATATAATCAGATAACCACGACAGTGTCGTAAATTCGATGTTCCGGTTGTTGGCAGGTCCTCCATGGAAACGAGCTCAGCTGAGAAGTTTTGTTTACAAACGTGGGTAAGTTTATTATGTGACTTTTTTGGAAGTTCCGATCTGTAGTGCAGTAATAGATATGGATCATTTATATGATTTCATTTTAATGACACGTAACTACTACATACTCACATAAAATACGTTGCCCTTTTCGACATCACCACTGCTATAGCTAGGCTAGCCATTACCGTGTGAGGGAAGCGTAATTACTATGGTATTAAGTTTAAAAACACATATATCGAACAAAAATAAATAGCCTCACGTTTTGAACACTTTGTACACTTTTTTTTTTTTTTTTTTTTGTTCTCATAGGGAGCCAACAGTTACGGTCAACTGGGACAGGGACATGTGGAGGACCAGTCCCTGCCACAGCCGGCACCCACCACCGCCTTCCAAGTCCAGGCTGCCCGGACACTAAGCGGTGGAGGGGGGCACTCGATGGTGGTCACCGGTGGGTTTCAATGGCAACTTTTTAACAGTAGCTGTGCAATTTACAAGTGGTGGAAAGTGTCACTGAATGTGTACTAATTATCTCAGGTTTAAGTAGCCTACAAGTACTTTTCCATAAGTCAAATTTTAGCATCAAGTAAACGTTATTACTTTTGAATAAAGGAGACAATTTCATTACTTGAGTTAAAGTATAAATTACTTATTACTATAAGGTACAATATATGCAAAGGTTGCCTTGTCAAATTATTAATAAAGGGTCTGTAAAATGAACTTTTATGAATGTTTAACCATGTTCTAGCATGTTCTTCCATAGTAAGACTGCTCAAAGACTACTCAGAATTATACTTTGATAGAAAGAAATCCTGTATTCTTCTATACTTTAGGCGCCTTGGCAAAACATCTACACAGCACCGTCAACTGTTCTGTAGTGTGCTTTATAAAGCTTTAATATTGGAAAACCATCACAACAAAAGTACAAGTATTCAGATAGAAAAGATAAAATTACAAATTTGAAAAGTTAAAGTCATGAGGACTTAATAAATGTACTATTCAATTAAAATATAGATCCTCAATTTAATATTTACTTTGAAACACAACACCTTAGCACTTTGTTTTTTGTTGTTTTTACTGTTTTTATTTAAAATACTTTTAAATAAAAACAGTACTAAAATTGTTTAAACTAGAATGAAGAAAAATCCTTTAAAAACTAAATCTACATTCTCTAAACTCTGTGTGTGTGGAGTGACAGAGGCAGAAATGCTTATGAAATACTGTAGTTAATAACATATTATAACTGTAGTTACTAATTAAATTTGTTAGTAATTTTCAATTGTTCACATTTAAAAGCAATACTCTAAAGCTGTATTAAATATAAATTAGCGCTTTCCACTCCTAAAATCTACCCACTTTTTACTACGTCAGTGCACCATCTGCTGGCACAATAATTTGTAAGATAATGCTGCTTTGTGTTGAGACCTTTGTCACTGTAAAATATATGAATGCTTTTATCATTGTGTGATATGCTGTCTTCAGGGAACGGTGAAGTTTTTGTATGTGGGCAGAATAACAAAGGTCAGCTTGGTCTTGGACACACCCTGGATGTTTACACTCTTGAACTCTGTCCTAGTCTAAGGCAGAAAATCACCAATGTATCCTGTGGTTGGGATTTTACACTCCTTCTTTCTGGTGAGTTTAGTATGTTCTGGTGAGTAGTTTACTATCCAGTGTCATTCACCCTAAGCATATTATAGTGTGTATAAATTATATTCCTCGGTATCAGCTTCCTGTTATTTGCAATGGTCCTAATTTTTCAGTCTGTGGCCTGGGTCACTTATAAAGAAGTCCATAAACATATTTAGACAATATGTTTATGGACTTCAAAATTTATTATATAACTGGAGATGTTAATTTACTGTAACTGATCTATCTTTGTTGCTAAATTCTTTACTTTACAAGGTAAGTGAATGTATGTTTATTGATTTCATCTAATTTATGTGTTCAGACATTGGTCAAGTACTAGCATGCGGATCTAATGCATTTGGACAACTGGGCATCGGAGAGACTGTCCAGCTTTCAGCAAATTGTCTTATTGTACAGGTAAGTACAGCAAGGGGAGGAATCTATCTCCCCTTAAATCCCCTAAAATCTCTGGTTAAAAGATGTATTTCTATTAGAGTATAAAGGAGCCTGTGGTGAGTACAGCGGCAGGACTTAGACACTCACTTGCTGTAACAGGTTTGTGTACCATTACCCTGTTTATGCTTATTGTTTAGGTGTTGACAGTTTTATAAACAGGAACAATTATTATGTTTTTAGTCTCAGGTTCTGTATATCAGTGGGGAACTGGTCTTTGCAGTCATGCCAAAAGAGTCTTCACTATCAGTGCTGTACCATCACATTTCAGTAGCAAGCTTCCCTGTCTGGTACCTGGTAAGAAACATCACCATTGTTGAGTCAACTGGTGTCATATGAATCTAAGAAAAAAATTTGTAATATATTAAGGTTTGGCAAAGACATGTCCACGTATGGTAACTGCAGGAATGGCACATTGTTTATATCTTACAGGTATGGAACTTTTTACTAATAATTTAACACTGATATTAGTGAAAATATCAACCATATTTGAATATTTATTTAATGTAGAGGACGGTGATGTGTTTATGTGGGGAAGCAACAAGCATGGTCAGCTGACTTCCTCAGAGCCTTTTGTTTCCTCACCCATTTCCCTAAAGTGCTGCCATTTGGGTGGAGAAAAAGTAACCAATGTTTGGAGTGGATGGACACATAATGTGGCTCAAACAGGTGAGATGGTATACACGTGCATTATTTGGTGTGCAATAAACAGAAAAATGGACTCTTGTTACTCTTGTCAGAGTCTGGGAGAGTGTTCACATGGGGCAGAGGAAATTATGGACAGCTGGGTCGCACGGGTTCAGCCAATCAGAACTCAGAACTGTTGTCACATGATCCTATGGCAGAAGGTGGCAGCCAGGAGGCCTGCCTCCCTGCAGAGGTCAAAGTGCTTAGAGGAGCCACACAGGTAAGTCCTTTGCGTGGCAGTTGTTTTGAGATAATGGCACTTAGAGCATGTCACAAGTGTTACTAAAGCTGTCTGCTAGATGGATTGTTGGCAGTAATGATGATATGTTGCCAAGAGTTGTTCCTCTCTTTATGCACTACATATAACAGCCAGCAGGTGGAGGCAAAAGTCCACAACAAGTGATGCATCAGATGAGCTGCTCATCACTGAATGAGAGGGATGCTCCCTAAGAGAGGATTGTTATGGCTTTCACTCGCTATATCTCATGTGCAAAATACACATCCCTGCTATTATCAGTCACATGGGAGACAACCACTTAAATTTGCTGAAGGCAGAGGTCTCTTTTCCCATAAGGACGATTATATGCGACTAGTGCTGGATTGCTGCAGTTAACCTGTACTATAAATGGCAGCTGTATGGTTAGAAATCTTAGCCCATAAAGATGATGTCAGGGACAGGCAAGGGCAATCTGCTGATCATTTTTCCTTCAAGCAGACCATTGCAATTGCTTGTGTACCTGTCATAGTGTGCTGAGAGCTGAGGTAAGACAGATCAGTGAGCTGTAAATTTTCAAGCAGTTATACTTTGGCATAAAAGATATTGTTAGACATTATTATTTTTTCAATTTTCCTTTCTAGTACAATATAATGTATCTATGTATGTTGCCCTCCAGATTGCCTGTGGATCTGAACACAACCTTGCAATTGTTGGTGAGTATATTTTTAAAAATGATTGAAAGGCATTTTATCATCCTAGTGTGAATGTAAAGTATCTGCTTATAGGTGAGACTAAGCCATTTTAAAGTCTGTACTGCTCATGAACTCTAGGTATAAACATGAATGTGAAATATTAATCCTTCTGCTAATGCAGAGAATTTCTGAGGTCAGCTCATTTCTTTGTGGCCTTTGCAACAGGAAGTAATTACAGCTGGGATAGATGGGTATCATTGACAGAAGTAATTATCTGAACAGGCCTGTGAAAGAGCTGAATTAACTGCACACACATTTGTTTTTCCTGTTTAATGTTTGAGAGCAGAGCAGCCTTTCTGTACGCGGAAAACAACAGCACAGACAGTACAGTTACATGTGTCGTTCGTTTTATTTTCGTACATTGGAAATAGTGTTTTGTTACCTATTTCATATTTAAGATACCAACTCGATAATAATTTCTATTTAAGATTTTCAAAATTGAAAACCAGTTCAAATTACATTATTATGTATAATACAATGATCTGTGGTAGGACCATTACATCTTGTTTAAAAAGTTCCTCTTCACTGAATGCACAGATGTCTCTTTTTCTTTATCTTTTCTCAAGTGTGGTGGAAGAATAAATGAAATGGCAAAATACAATTGGTAGCAGAGACCTGAGTGCTGCTATTTCTGGTGCTGAAGTAGGTCACGCGGAAAGGAACTGGGAGCATAGAATGCTGCTTATGATATCTGTTGCCTCCCAGTGCTCATTTGTATCAGACTCATCACAAGCCATCACTGGTGGCACATTGCCCGTTGTAGAGCTGGGGCACCTGGTGGCATTTTTTTATCTTTATGCCATAAAAACACTTTGTGCAAGCATACTGGATAAGATTGCTCTGCGTTCTTCTCAATGCAGAAATATAAATAACCAATTGGTCCAATGGTATTACTGTTAATTTGTTTTACTGTTGAAAGGAAAACCCAGTGATGAGATTTGTTTACAGGGAAATAGCTTTTGGATTGAGCGCCTTGATTTTAATGTTTTGTTATGCACAATACCGTGCTGGCACTTTGTTGCCATGGAAACATTGGTGCTGTAGTCAGAGACTCCATGAATTAAGCAGAGCACCAAAATAAGTCTTTAGTCATGAAGCAAATGTACGGACAACCTTTTTCACACCTGGTGTCATACTGTAAATAATGCTTATAAATGCATATGAAACAAGATGCACCAACAGAAGCTTCTAATTTGCTGTTCGTCTGCTAACCCAGTAAAGCCTTATTAGATTGCCAGATCTTTTGATGACACCGCTTAAGAGTGGAGCACTGAATGCACAGAAAGACAAAGAATTCCCTTGATGAAATGAGAACAAGGCATGAAAGACACAACTGTGAGCTGGGAAAAGATGTGTTACCCTTGAGAAAGCAAGCGCTCTTCTGTTGCCATGGTGATGAATCCTATTAGGTAACAGTGTTGCCATGGCACGTGTCTCCTCAGTGATGCAGACCTGACCACACCCACTACGAGCTCCAGCTGTAAGGAGCAGGAGACTTTATTATGGCCAACTGTCAGGAGGGATGTTTTTGATCATGTGCTCTTTTTCCATAGGGTGCTAATTTTAGCTCCCATGTTACAGTACTGCAGAGCCATGTCTTCTGTCTCAGCTCCACTGACCTGTGACCTTTTTTTTTTTTTGTAACAGGGAGCTGTCTTCTCTCCTGGGGTTGGAACGAACATGGAATGTGTGGAGACGGGTCACACACTGATGTCCTGCAGCCACGTCTCATCCCAGGGCTCCACCCGCTCCTCATTGGCTGCGGAGCTGGACACTCTTTGGCATTGTGCACTGCGACAGCTCCATCTCAGTAACATCCAGTAATCCGAGTTCAAAGGATTCCACAACACTAAATGCTGATTTACTACACACCGTAGTATCATGTGCCTTTTATCAAACTGCCCATCCCACAATAACTTTCACCTCCTCTGAACCTTTTGCAAAGGTCACACATTAAATCGCATTTGCCATAAATACTGTCATGTTGATGGACACAAGTTGAAATATGTTTTCTTTGGAGTGAAGCTATATTTTTTCCACTGGCGCATCACCTTGATGGACATGATCGGTGGTGATGGCTTTGCTGGAGCTGGCGCCTATAGCCATATATGGTATTGGACCGCCCGTTTTCATGAATGAAGCAGTTATGGTGCATTGAGGTGTGGGCTCCTTTTGTGCTCTGGCTCCACTTCACCTGCCAGCTGTTTAATCACTGTGATGTTGAGCGCTTGGAGACAGTTAAACCAGACTTTCAGTGAAACACATTGAAGGGTGCTGAGTTAATGCCGATAATGATTTACTGTTTAAGCATAAAAAGCAGCCATTTTTTCCACTATCCTCTTTATCTGTATTTTTATCACACTTTGACTGTTTCAGTGTCTTGCTTGTCACACTTACTTGAGTAATCCCTCAAGAGAAAAATGTAATCTTGGGCTTTTTACCCACTCTAAATATTTATAAGCAGTTGGTGTCCGCAGTGCAGCACCTGGGGATCAGTGACAAGCCTGGGGCCAGTACACAGTCAAGGGCAATGACAAGCTCATGACTTGATGCGTCTAATCCGCTTTTAGAAAAATTTTCATGGCAATGCAGTTTTATTACAGAATCATAAATATCATTCAATTAATGCACTTGTGTGATTTAAACGATATAAAATGTGTACTTCGTAGTAAAAAAAAAAAAAAAGATGCGCTGAAAAATAATAATTCGTGTTTTATTTTATTTGATCACTATTTTATTGTACAATCTGAACTGTATTATCACAAAAAAATTCCCTAAACAGCAAACCAATCAGAACGATCACTGAACACCTTATTAGGATGACTAAGTACAAAATGCACGGTGCCCACCATAATCTGAAGTCTTACTAAACGGCACATTGTAGTTGCCTCTTTGTTGCATTATTGATCCAGTCATAATCGACACAACGGTCTTACTGAGTTGATCAAATCTTGTTGTACCTGACCAGTTTTCAGAGTGTAGGCAGTGAGTTTGCAGTTGTTTTGAAAAAGTTGGTCCCTTTTTTCTAACATTTTGACCTTGTAATCTTGATGAATGTTCACTCCTACCTTAAACTGCTGATATGTGAGATTTTATATGTACTGCACTGATATTAATGTCCAGAACTGAGCTTTTGATGGTTGAAACCAATAGCTATTTCAAAATAAAAAATGTACCATAATCTGTTGGCAATAATATTTTAACATAGGCACTTTTCAAGTATGAACATGGAGTTTTGGCAATTCTTAGTATTGGATACTAAAATACCAATTGGTTCTAAACAAAACATAAATGTAATTCTAAAATGATTGTCAATTGAAATGTATTACTAAGTAATCGTGTCATAGCAGTATTATTAGATATGTCAACATTCAAAGAAGACTGAATATCTATAATCACTTTTAAATATTAAATAGAAATAAATAGAAATTTTAAAAAATCTGCGATGAATACCGTGTAAATGCACCATCTAATTATTTAACTTTACTTGTAAAGTGTGGTGCTTTTAAGCCTGTATGTTAAAACATGGGTGTTAGTGGGTGTTATCTCACATTGTCTGAAACATGCCAAAGGAATGTTAAAAGTCCACTGGTGCAAAGTAGTGCATTCTATTGAGATTGTATACAAAGATGTTACCATGACTGTGCAAATTTGTGTTTGTGTGTTTCATCTATTTCATTTGGCCAACATGACAAGTGTCAGGTTTTTGCCTGGGCGGATAGTTAAATCGGAGCAACATTTTTTTTGTTCAACAAAAAGCACACAAATATCTGATGATCACTCAAAACATTAGTACACACAACTTGAACACACCAAAGCGTATTTACAGCACTGGCACACACCAAAAATAGGCACACAAAATACAACACAGTAACCGTCACAGATACTGAGCTACAGAAGGCTTGACAACAGAACTTTCAGTGCTACATCTATGCTGAGTTTGTGATGTACAGGTTGTCACTGTCACACCCATTTAAAAATGCTAATACACAGAACAATGCTACAGCGCTATCAGGTGGGAGATGGGCCATTATGGGTCATACACATAGTGGTTGGTACACCATGGTTCATAACACAAACTGATTCTGTTGGTTGTCTGCTCCGGTGCTGTCGCTGCGTCTCTATAAACATATAAAAATAATAAAAGAAATTATTACACAAATTATGTTGAAATGGTGGGAAAATGGAGTGATGACTACCTCTGATGCGCAGGCAGAGGTATAATGACGCTAGCTTTGACAGTAAAGAAAATGTGCTCCGTCAGTTTTCATGGTAAATGCTAAATTTACCATGTAGTTCCCATGCTTTAGCCAAGACACCAGACAAAGATAATTTTGGTTGAATTGAAGTTGGTTAATATCATGCCCATATCATGCTGCATCTTACAGGTTGATGTTCAGTCATTGTCATGCGTTGATCTACTTTGCATCATGCTCTCACAGTCAACTGGGATATTCTTGTCTTTTTAATTTTTACCCCAACACAGGGAAACATAAGGTCAAACAGCAGTTAAATGCACTAATCAAATGCTGGAAAAAAAAAAAAAAAAAAAAAAAAAACAAAACATGTATGCATATGCCATTGAATAAAAACGGAGTCTAAACAATCATTGTGTATAAAATTTATTTCATGCAAGGACTTTTTATTTACATATTTTATTTGAATACTTTTCTGTTGCATAACTGTAAAATACATGCATTTACCTTTCCCCAAGTAGTCCCACATTCCCATATTGACATTTTATATTGTTGTTTTTTTTTTTTCACTGTAAAATGCATGAGCATTTTTACCTGCATGTTATCAACATCAAATATTTTCCCCCCATGTGTAAAGTCCATTAATTACCACAAAAGACTAGAGACTAGAAATGTAAAACTATGCTCAGTCAGGATAAAAATAAAACATGTGAGTTGCTATACTTTTTCTCTTTTCAACTTAGAATTTCTTAAAGTGCCCTGAAACCTTTGTGCATATTATAAGGGACAGTAGCAATAGTAACAGTAACAGCACTGATGCTTAAACCAATAAACAAACACACTGCATTTGTCATTGTGATTGTGGCTGACTGGATCTTACCAATCTTACTAACAGTTTGGCTATTGGTCCCCTCTGTTAAAATGTGTTGTGCTCATTATACAAACGGTCTTTAAAGGAACCAGAAGTGTTATTACATGATAATACATTATGGTGCAGCTATAATAAGCATTAGGGTAGTATTGTGTGGTTAAGATACAACACTGGTGTCAAAAAGTACACCATGAAAACAAAGCTTTTGTTACACTGTTATGAGCATGGTAAAGTGTACTGATGCTACACTAGGAGTACTTTCTGATTACATTTAAAATGCACTTTTACTTTGCCTCTCCAGGTATGAAGGCACAGCTGTTTCATCATTAATAAGACCTTTAATTTAGGCAGAGCAGCAGCAGCCACCTGCCCATATGGTAAACTACCTCTAACGTGGATATAAAAGGTATATGCTCATAACAGCATGTGTTGGCTTTATAACTGGCTGGTTGTTCAAGTTAATCTGTTTTGGCTGGAGACCCCAATCAAATAAATACAAGAAAATAAATCTATGATTTTGGGGAAAGGCAAAGAATGGCAGCTACATAAAAATCTTTGCTATGACTGAGTCTCTTGTAAAGCTGTCTCAAAATGCATAAAATGACAAAGCTCTCAGGCTTTTGAAAGAAAATAGTTCTCTACAAGTTACTGTGATACAATTAGCTTTGACTTTAACAGAATATTTCATGCAGTTCATGCAAATGAACAGTTGTAGTTCTTCTGACATTTGATGCATCATAGTTTCACATGAATTGTCATTATCTCCATATTGCATTGGACATTGTGAACATCAAGTTCAGTTTTACTCAAACAACAACATCTGCACTTAAAATCATAACGTCTCTACTTTGCAACGTACAAAGCACTTGAGAGGAGCTCCCTTAACAGCTGGCATTGGTACCTTTGAATGTGCTTAAGCCATGTATCGTTTATGTCCAGCAGTGGGCATTGTATACATTGTATGAGAAAAATCTTTTACAAAGTAGTAAAAGCAGATGAAATTTAGTCATTAGCAGAAGATACATGAGATCAAAAGCAACAGAGCAACAGGCAATGACGTCAACATAGGAAGAGTGGTTGAGTCTGTGGTAGATATAGTAGAGTGCTTTGTCAGCAACAGAGGTGACCCATGCAGAGTGGCTGTGCCGATGTTTAGAGACTAGGATATGATGACACACCCAAGGTGAACCCTTGGGAAGTATTAGCACAGATAAGATCCAGTTTTCTTTTTCAGAAAAATAAAGAGTTGAATGAAAAAGCAGGAGTAAAAATAAAAAGTATAAAATCAAATTGGACAGGAAAGATAGAAGGTGTGGAGAGGCCTTCCGATGGCATTGTATCTGCTACTCAACCATGCTACATAATGGATGGGATGGGAGAATGTGAGTGCTGCATTAGACATGGTGGGCTGCAGGGCAGGGCGGACACTGAGGACACTCCAGAGGCATCCCCGCTCATGCCAGACATGCTGTTAAGGCTCCAAGGCTTTTCATAACCTTCAGTTGAAAAACAGAGAACGTTCTGAGTACATCTGGGTACACTGCAGCACTGAATCATGACAAACGAGTTTTTGCGATTCCTCACTAATAAATACTCCACCTGTTGCTTTCTTGTTTTTGTCTCCCAAGAAACAGGTCAACACAAACTTGAGACAGTTAATATTCTCCATGCATTGAGTGCATCAGGAGTACAGCATGCAGTGGGTGGTATTGGAATGGTTCGGAGTAAAACACTATAGACTAGAAAAGGTAGGCACCAGAGGCAGGGAATGTATACTCAGCCACAGTTTTAGATTTAGACTGTAAGCTGTATTACTGGTACAGGTCCCCTATTATGCTTTTGCACAATTTCTACACCATCTTTCTCGATGAATAAGATACATTTCTTATCATATCAAAAGGCCCAAATGTCCTAAAGCTATTGTGATGTAAAATTAGAATCATATCAGCCAGAGGAGATTTTTTTTAGAGATCATATTGTAACAAAGAACTTAATAATAGACAGTTACATAATTGGTCTACTTTGAAATGTCTTTTGGAATTCAGGTACAAAGGATAAGGACTGAACAAATTACAGCCATGGATGTACAAAATTGACCAGAGCTTGGCAATAAGAAAAAACTTAAACTGGCACAGACATTAACATACAATGGAAATTGATTATAATTAACATAAATAATGAGCATACAGTTAACATTTATTGTGTTGGCTGCATGTGTACAGCTAGGACATTCTGATTAACTTTTAAAAAACTAGAAATCAAATGTCCCACACAACTCTTCTATAAAGTTTACTTGTCATATAAATTTGTTCTATAAAATATTGGCCTTTCTATGTTTGTGTTGTGCTCCATCACCATACTCATAGCACCCTTTAGCAAGACATCTCATGCACCGTATGGTCAATGTACTCCCAAGATTTCAGATGGTAAAAGTTATCAATAAAACACATATACATACAAGTTACACGGATAGCACATAAATACTCTTAGGCATGTAAGACAACACATTCTCTATTTCTTCTTTATAAATCGAAAATAGCTTTCTTACTGGTAAATAAATAGGTGTATACATTATGCATGGTATCAAAAAATAGACTGTGTCAATGTGAACCTTATTGACATTAGTAGTGATTGTGCTTGGCCTTAACAAGTTAAGTGGAGTATTTACAATCAGCAGCTGAGTGAAGCTCAGTATAAAGAGGTTTTTTTTTTGTTGTTGTAGTTTTTTTTCTGTTTTAAAGCGCAACACTACAGGATCTTATATCTTTTATTCCTAAATGTATCTTAAATTAAATTAACTTCTGTTACACAACACTGTATGGATAATACTTTTACAAAGTAAAGAAGTGCATTTATGGGGGGTTGTTCGGACTATTATTAACACATTTTACAACACCATATCATATTTCAAACCATATCATATTTTTTTTATATGCTTTACTGTATTCTCTCTTCAATTCTTTGTCAGTGCTATGATTTATTGCATACTGCATGTTGATTGATCAATTTTAACATATTTGAAATTTTGGGCCATATGTAGAGCGAAAAAAAATCTATGAATTAACTATTTAGAATCTTTACACAGAAATTGTAGTAGTAAGTAAATGAAATAGTTAATGTGAAATTAGAACATTTTCAGTTTTGATATGCACCTTTACATACTAATTGAGCTTAAATATTAATGAAATACAACAATGTTTAGCCTATAGTGTCTCGCTTTAATTAATTTGTATGTAGTCATCAAAACGGGTAGAAAGCAGCCTGTCTAGCCTGTCAGGTGTCAGTGTCTTACAGCGGCCTGTGATTGGCTGTTGCTGTACGTACCCCTGCGCACTCTGCCCCCTGTGTGGTTGGGGCGCTCTGCAGTAGTGACCAGGAAACAGGGACGCTCTCTTTCGCTGGGGCTGAAGATTTCTTCAGGAGAAATGGCCTGGTCTATGTGAGGACAGTCTTCATTCGCCAGAGCTGCGTTAGCTGCCTCGCCGTTTAACTTTGAGTCTAGAAATAAAACACATCAAACAGCAAGGTTTCACAAAAGCCTTTAAAGCTGACATTTGTAGAGTTATTGCAGGAATAACTCAGACAGAAATATTATTGTTTTTATTATGTTCAAAAGAGAAGTTAGAATACTGTGCAGTAGATCCATTCAAAGTAAAATGTAATATATTACATATATACTGTATACTAGTACAAGCGGGTCACTGTTTTTGTTAGATTTTTTTCTTTTGTTTTTGTCTTTTGATCGATTAATTTGGAATACTTTCTTATGCTGGATTCCTTATGCAGGCTGCCACAGTAAACCATGTGGATGTAAAACTGAAGGTGCACAGTTTGAGCAGGAATCAAACCACTAAACCTTTGGCAAGCAGGTATTCAAACATTCTGCATCACTGACACTTTGAAACCCAAGCTAATATCTCATGATATTAGAATCACGTAAGGCTCTGAGGAATATAATTTTGTAATGTACAAATGAGGTGACTCCATTATCAACATCCCTGCTAGGTGATTGCAGATCAGAGGTGAGGAGTGAATCAAAGTGTTAAGAAATACAAAATCAATAGTACAATAGCTCATTGTCTGTCTGGAGTCCTCTTTCTCTTTTCCCCACTTAAATATGTATTACAGCACTAATTTTATTGATTGCTCCCAGCAAAGACGGTTTATTTAGTAAATCATAGAGAAAATCTCTATATACAAAAACAGAAAAAATGCAATACAATGTAAGTGATTTCTATTTTTTACCCTTATCAAATGCAAAATGCTTATCAAAAATATTTTATTTATTTTTATCACTATTGTGTCTTTCATTTGATACATTTGTTGATTATGTAATATTATTAATTCTCTAATATTGTTCTTACCGTGGGACTAAACACCTACACTTCAACCATAACCACATTTGAAATAGAGCTGCTCAACTGGGTAGTATCTGTGGACTAAAAAAGAGAGTGAAGGGAGTTGAGAGGATCTGTGGGTATAAGAAACTCTGTGAGGTATCCAAACTTCAAACTGCACCCCTGCATCTATATATTTGTAATAAGAAATCGAGAAGTAATCAGGGAAGTCGTGCATCAAGTACTTGAAATGGCAGTGGCCTCTGAAGGCAGTCCACATTTAGATTTAGACGATTTTTGACCAGAAAGTTGCAAATTTACCTAGAACACTAGATAATGTTGTTATAGCACCATGTACAGAGTTTAGTAGCAAAAAAAACGCTGATTTTGTACTTAGTTCCACTTTAACTCTAAGGCCTTTTTGCCTGTCCTTTGTTTTGGGCTTTTCTGTGTTGCCAGTGCCATACTGAATCACCTGGCCTCTTATGTACAGAGATTTCCATGTTGATATGTGTAACAGGTTTTTAATTGTGTCTTCCATTGGCTTATCACAGGCACAGTTGTGGTATAAAATTGTTATTTTTTATTCAAATCTAGACTGTTAACAGACTTTCCCAAAATGTACTTCTGGTCTTACCTTGAAATTTGATCTCGAAAACATCATCATGGACGACCACAGGGCTGGGATGTTGCGAGCTGATGCTAGTCTTGCAGTAGTTAGGAGAGCCGAGATGCGGTGGTCGTGGTATGTGCCTCTTGTTTTTCTTTGGTAGTTTCTGTTTCGCCATGGCCAGGGAGTAATACATTCCAAAGTTGTTGACAATCACTGGGACAGGCATTGCAATGGTCAGCACACCAGCCAGGGCACACAGGGCTCCAACCAGCATCCCCGAAGTCGTCTGAGGGTACATGTCTCCATAGCCGAGCGTCGTCATGGTCACCACAGCCCACCAGAATCCAATGGGGATGTTCTTGAAGTGTGTGTGTTCGCTGGCTCTTGGGTCGTTGGGGTTGGCTCCAATACGTTCAGCATAATAAATCATAGTGGCAAAAATTAGTACACCGAGAGCCAAGAAGATGATGAGAAGCAGAAACTCATTGGTACTGGCTCGTAGCGTATGTCCCAAAACACGGAGTCCTACAAAGTGTCGCGTTAGCTTGAAGATACGGAGAATACGGACAAAACGCACCACTCGAAGGAAACCGAGCACGTCCTTAGCTGCTTTTGACGAGAGCCCGCTTAATCCCACCTCCAAGTAGAAAGGAAGGATGGCCACAAAGTCGATGATGTTTAGGGCATTTCTTATGAAGTCTAGTTTATTGGGGCAAAAAGTTATTCGCATGAGAAATTCAAAGGTAAACCAAATAACGCACACGCCTTCAATATAGGTGAGGTAGGCGGCGGTTTCGGTCTCTTGGTAGATGCGTGTGATGTTGTCCTCCAAGTCCAACTCTGTGCGGTTGATGATGGGATTGAAGGCTTCGTGGGTCTCCAGGCAGAAGGTGGTGATGGAGACGAGGATGAAAAAAAGCGAGGCCAGAGCAATCCACTGAGCAGGAAAATAGCAGGGTGAAGAACAAAAGAAGAGACAAAAGAAGAGAAGCGAGGGGAGGGCAGGAAGGAGAACGAGAACAAGAACATACAGAATGTAATCACACCATTTTTAGAAAGGAACAATGCAATTCAATATTTTAGATGGAGACAGCATTGGGTCTAAAAGTAGCAGTAGTCTAACCAACTTCAAGGATAAGCAGAGTATCAGAAGTACTACACTACCTAAATGAGAAAAACATAAGTGCAAAAGATTCCTAATAACTTCCATTGTATTTGCAAGGCTAATTCTGTGTTTTGTTGAGGACAAATGAGTGAGATATGAAATATAAAATAAAAACATAGAGATTGTTCCCTGTGCCCACCATATTAGATTCACACCATACCTTTCAGACACTTGTCACATCACATAAAGACAAGCCATTCAATCCACCATAAGAGAAAATGACAGCGACTCACAGACTTCTCTCCCCCTCTTAATTCAAAAGGGCCTAATCAATGCAGGATCGCTGTATCTGTTTTTTTCCCCTCTGCTCTATCTCAAGGTCAAGGCATTACCAAGGGTGAACTCCATGCATCAGATTGAACATTTGTGTCCACCCCCATGACTAAAATTAGCCACGGCTCTTCCCTTCAGCATGATCACTACTATGGGTCTTTCCTGTACAAGGTCACAGTGTCTAGATGATCAGCTCATGGGAATCGAATCAAGCTCAATCTCTCTCTGAATCCTATAGTTCTCCTATACTACTGTAGCCTTCATTACGTATTGATTACATGATCCTGTTTCATCAAATTAAGCGATGATATTTCTGTTGTGTGCAACATGTAACAGATCCAGCCTGCTATCATAGACATTGATTGTGCTATGATCATGGTAGTTTACATGATGGATAAAGCCATAGTATTTTATAGCAAAGAAAAACAATGGTTCTTCAATGGGTCAGTAGCACAGAATGGCAGACAGGAATAGACAAGCAGAGCAGAGAGCAACTTAATCATCCTATGAATCACAAAAGCTGGATCAATATCAGTGTGCTCATGCATGAAGATGTCTTTATGGGGTAAGTGATGCTGTGCAGTGCTCCTTGTTGAGTAGCTAGCACTAATGAGTGGCAACATGAGGTGGGAGCTTGAGGTACAGGCATGTCTGGGCAAGGAAGATCTGTCCTCGGAGAGAAGGAGACAGGCTCAGGTCTGTGTCAGTAAGATGGAAAACAGGCTCATAACATCTCATCACTGACAATTCATCGCATTGTGTCGAGGAAATCACAGAGGGCTTAGGAACATCTGTTTCCCATCCCTGTTTGTCCACTGGTCCACAGGGTCTCAGCCCATAATAATGAAAGGGGCATCATCAAATTATTTCTCACAGATGAAAAACTCACTTTACATTTTGTGCTCACACTGAATAGCTGCAGTATTATGTCATTCACTTTTGCTACTGTTTTTTTGTATTATGTAATGTTATTGTTTTGGCAACCCACTATGCTGCTAAAACAGAGTGTAACTAGGCCAATATGACAAAGACTGATAGGAAATGTAATGTATAACTTTGATTTCAAAAAGGTGGGTGAGATGATACAACCATTTCTTCTTTTTATAGGGGGGCTTCTAGAAAGGCATTTAGCATTAAACTTGTGCAAAAGTAATATGCACATTTAGTCCCATTCAAGACCCAGTCCTGGTTAAATGATAAAGCTGTATCAAACAGGCTTGCTTCAAGACCTATAGCAAATCAATATGAAAATTGCCAAACACTATGAGGCAGATGATTGCTGTTGTGAGGTTCTACATTACACTATATACTGATCTGTGTTATAATGTTGTTTCCTCATCAAAAACATACCTGGAGTTGTGCTTTGTTTCATTCACACATTTAACACACAAACCCTGTACATTTCTTCTCTCATACAGAAATCACTCCACCATGTGATGTCATGTGGTAGTACATAAAGTGCTCCACTGTGTTGTTAAACTCCATACGCCTTCACTAGAATCATCAGACCAGGATTTGCGAATCGCTGTTGAACAGAAGATAAAAAAGTAGTTGTTCACTTGAAAACTACTGCTTCATGGCATCACAATAGAGCATTTTGAGCTTTGGAGATGTAGACAGTCTAGTTATAAAAGAATGCTCATTACAACATGTGTGAATGAAACAAAATAGAACCCCAGGTATGTTTTTGAGGAGGTAACAACAATGTAACAAGGCTTAGAGCTTGTAAGAGTCAATTTTGTGTAATATAGGACCTTTAAAATGTGAAGAATTTACATGACTCTTTAACCCCAGTGCCCTCCTGTCCTTTCTAAGCAACTGTAAAACTGGCTCATTGAACCGAGGCTTAAATTATGTCTTTGTGACAGTTAGAACAGTGTAGCCTGGAAGGGAGGGTGACAGGAGCATAATCTGTGCCTTCTTATTGGCTAATTCTCACTGTTGCTGGCATAGCCCACAGAGTGATATGGAGTGACAAGGGTTTTTCCACTGATGTATCCACCGTGAATAGAGTCAGTAATTAACTCAGAGGCTCACTTCTAATTAATCTTCATGCCAGTCTTAGTGGAGCAGTGTCAGTTAGGCCTCTTACAATAACAAATGTGTATGTATATATATATATATATATATATATATATATATATATATATATATATATATATATATATATATATATATATATATATATATATATATATATATATATATATATATCATTATCATTAAAAAGCCTGAGCTGCAACAAATAACAACAAACAAATAGCAGAATGACCCAATAATTTTCTATAGAAGTTATTTATTCTACCCTTTACACCTTAAATCTTACCGTATCATATAAAATTGGCAAAAATCTCCCTACTATTGCAAAGAAAAAGTACACATAATAAATATTGTGCCCCAAAATTCTGACTTTCATATATTAAATGATAAGTCAATATTGTAATTATCATGACAGATTTAGTGCTAGTCTATTCCAAGTCATGGTTTTTATTATTCTTTTAAAACTGTACATTTTATCTGTAAAATTGCAGCCATATAACTAATAGCACTGGTAAGGCTGCATGGAGCACTGTGGTCCTTGTGGGCGATATATTGGTCAGATTAACCTCATTATAGAGTGCATCCAAGCAGAAACTTTCCCACAACAAGACCAAAAAGGACACCTCTTACAAATACCTGTTTAGCTTCAGCGGTAGTGCCAAGGACTGCCTTTCCTCTTCCATGCCCCATTTAACTAAACCCTCCCATTGCCCTGGAAACATCGATACAAAAACCTGTGGGGTGGTTCATATCTTGCAGAAGATGGAGCAAAGATGGAGAACGGTGATTTACATTGGAATTATTTAGACAGATGAGGCCTTGGTTGAGTCTACCTCCATTCCCTACCTCCCCCTCACCCACCCCCTATCACTTTCTTTCTATAGTGTCTATACGGTCCATGCAGTGGACTGGAGACCCCAGAGAGAGCAATTTCAAGGTCATGAAAACCTCCCACATCCATCAATCCTTGTCTACCCAAACAAAGGAAGCAGACACATTTACAACTTAATGCACCATTTAAAAGCAGCAAAAAAGGAAAGTGATTTTGACGTAATGTGTTTTAGTGCTGGCAATAGCAATGGATCAGATGAACTATAATTCGAATAGCAAAAATGACTGATGCTTCACATGGCTAATGCCAAAGAAACCTAATTCTCTTTCATTGATTAAGGCTGCTTCCAGTGTATGTTTACTATTGTGTTGTCTGCAGTGCACACAACAGAAACTACTGACAAGCATTTGCCATTTCAGTTGTCAGTCACTGTACAAAATATGGACTTTGCTATAATGTGTTCTTATCAGGAGCCAAACAGAGGCTGTCTCTAGATAACACTAAATATGGCAGCACATAAAAATGCGTATAGCTTAGTTGTCTTGTATAGAGTGCTTATGCTCAAATTGGCCTAAGAGCACAACTCACCCTTGCATATTTGGAGGAGTAGGGGTCTTCAAACAGAGCCCAAACACGTTTTTGCCACCTACTCCATAGGCTCCCAGTGCGCGCGTCCGTGTGGTCCCCCTGCGCCAGCCTCCTTGTCATCTCATCATCATCCTCAGCATGATCTACCTCTGGCTCTGGGTCGTCACTCGCCAGGTCTAACAGTCCTCCCCCGCCGAAACTATCAAGGGCCTCCTCTGCTTCCCGGTGTTGCCTATAGGTCATCCAGCAGCACGGCTCCACGTCTGTCTCATCAATGCCCCAAAAGGCCAGTTCTTCCTCATATAGTGGACCGCACACATCCGCGGGGCAGTGCAGTTTGCCTGTCCTGTAGTAGTTGAGGATGTGAGCAAACACGCCAGGGTGGCGGTCAAAGAAAAACTCCTCAATCTTGGCGTCATAGTCAAAGTGATTGGGAGCATCAGGTTCGGCGAGCCAGGACAACCGGGTGCCAGGTAGGGTGCGCAAGGTGCTGCGGTATGTCTGATGTCTGATCCCTCCCACGTTAATCACAATGCGATCCTTGTCGTCGCTCAGGCCCATCTCGTCCCCTAGGCATGTCTCCTATAAGTTTTCTTCATATCAGAGTAGCAAGGACCACAGCAGGGAAACTGGAAAAGCTATTACATAAGAAACAGGGTACGCTACCTGTGGTTTGTTCCCACTGAGAAACAAATGATCGCTGCTGGACGCGCACCAGGCTACATTCCCTTTAAACACCTGCCATTCACAGCGCCTCTCTGGGCGCACGGCTACACAATCAAGACCCCAAAATGAATACAGCCAATGGCATCACATTAGAAATGGACGTCACATCATCGCTAAATCCAAGATGTCGAGAAAAAAAAAGGACAAACACTGGCCAATTGTTCCTCATATGCAGAACAAATCCGGCTCATCGGAGTCCCCAGGCTGCGCTGACTGATCCCAGCTCCATAAACGGCTTAATGACTTTCAAAGCAAGGTGAATGCGGTGGTGCTGAGGACAGCGCCTGAACAGTGACAGCTCAGAGCGGCTCCGGGCTGAGCTCGCCTCCCTCCCCGAGCAGCTGCCGCACGACGCGCCGCAGGTCTTTGTGTCGCTCCCGCTCAGACTCCCGAGGACCGCCTTTCATCTGCTGTGCATGGACAACATTTGGTATGCCTACATGCATGCACGAGGAAAAAACAAACTAACGTGGGTGTTTTAAACAAAATGTGGAATGAGGCGGCCGCAGGTCTCCAAAAACGCCCCAACTGCCTGTTGTTCACACGAGATGCCCCTCTGATCAGATGGAGCATGCCCAGTGTGAGGAGAGCTGCAATTGTTTAAACACGCTGTCAAGCACCAGCCAATTGAGACTGCTTAAACTGTCATTGGTGCACGATATTTGCTGTCCCTCTCACTCACTGGAGTCCCCAGAGGGTGCTGATAGGTGCGCAGATCCGCCCAGAAAGTCAAACATTTTACATAGTCCTACTATATGCCTGCACGGCTTTTATAATGGCCATTATAGACCGCTGATAGTCTGATCATAATGAGAAGTTATATTAGCCCACATACATTGAGCGTCTCATCTTAATGGAGCATCCCTGTATAACATTATCATCAACAAACGATTACTGTGTTGGGCTACAAGTGTAAAATCAACCAACTTCCACATCAATCTTCTTCAACAGGGGGCGCAGGCGCATATTGAACTTTTCAAAAAGTTAGCAATATTTTTTTTTAAGGATTATCTGATCTGTTTTAAATTGATGCAGTTTTTAAAATCTATGATGCTGTGCAATCTGTGTTAAAGTTAATGTTAAACGTTTTGTTATCCCCTGAATTAAAGGCAATGGCTGTTAAAGACACACTTTATTAATATTATTATTATTTTATCCCATTAACTGTTTTTTCATGATCTATGAGGAAAATTTCTCATGGCGGTAACAGTAAGATATGAACGTCATTAAAATATTGTGAAGGGGCTAAAGGCATACAGTACATGCGGTCTCCAGATGGGCCTTCCTTGCGGTCCTCCTCTTGAGTTTCCTGGGCAGGTCTTGTCCCACGCTCCACTCTGGTTTAGGAGGAGTCAGCAGCTCCAAGAGGGTACACAGTGCTGCTGCTGCTGCCTGGATACTCTTCTGTGTGCCTCACACACTGGGCTTCACTGTTTGGTCAGAGAGACGAGCTAATCAAACTCCAAGATGGCTGTGGCAGGCTGCACCTTGTGTATAAAATACATGCTGTTCTTACTTAATTTTATATTTTGGGTGAGTATTTTTTTCTTTTGCATAGATGTATTTATAATGTTGTTCCTGATTCAGCTAACAATACACACTCCATTGTAAGGCACTATTGTAAACCCTAACTCTCTAACACCTTCTTTCCTTATCTTTAGCCTACTATTACAACAACCCTGTTATTCGCAGTGTTGACAATAACGCCATCTCAGTATAACGGCGTTAGGAACTGTGTTACTTTTACCAGTAACGAGTAATCTAAGTATTCTATACTTTTTCCTCAGCTATAACGCCGTTATAGTTACTGTCAGTGTAATAGGGTTGTTATTTTACTGTGATCCCCAGCAGCAGTCACAGATCAGACTGAGAGCTCTCGTCGCATTCAGAGGAGCTGCAAAGTTATTTCTTTGTTTTGGGAAGTAAACAAGACCAAAGTGATGGATTAGGGACATTGACAGCCCTCTACTCAGAGCTACTTTTCGTTAAGTGCAATTTATTTATTACGTGTTTGATGTTCATATCATGTAGCGTGTATAAGCCTACATCTTTGTAAAGTGCGTTTGGTAAAAGTGCAGTGTGGACAAAGCCTGCTGCGTAAAGGAAACAGTTGTTTGCCCCGTGTTCTTGTGACTGTAGCTACAGTTGTGAGTTCGTGTTAGAATAGCCGATAACGATGACTCACGGTGCATTTGGTGATTTGCAGACACCAAATACGGCTGAATAAAGCTCGGAAAAAGCAACTCAGGTGAATTTTTTACTTAATCTAGTACCCTAATTAGTTACTTTCATCTCCCAATAACGCAGTTACAAAGGCAATTAATTACTTTGGGGGATAAGTAAAGGGTAAGCAAACTTACTTTTTTGAAGGTTCTTGCCCAACACTGGTTATTTAGGAAAACACAGGAAGACTACTCAACTTTTACAGTTACTTTTATGTAACTTTTTCTTTACTGAACTTAAAAAAAAACCAAAACAAAACAAAAAACATAATTGAGTGTTCATTACATGGTGGGTGGCTTCTTCAAAGTTGTTGTTCATATAAATTAGATGAAATTGGGTGGAGATATCCTTCCCTTCCATTGTTTGAACTGGATCACCAGTACCAGTTTCAAATTTATGCTAAAAATACAAAATTTGGTCCTCCAAACCCATCCTCTTCCTCTGTGGACAATACTTTCCAGTCAGTAGTTTTATATCAGAGACACTTAACAAGTCCATTCTACATAGAAAAAGACCATTTCTTTGTGGTTTCTTTTAAGTCTTTTTTTAGATAAACATCACATTAGCATGTCCTGGGCACGCCACTTTTGATGGAATGTTTCCTTTGCTGTTGTTGCTTGTCATGGGCAAACTCTGACAACTCTCTTCCTTAGTTTGCTATTTTTCATGTCGAGGATTCGGCTTCCTGTTGCTTTGAGAACAATGGACTAAAGGTTGTGCCGACAAATGTGCACATCTAGACATAAACATTGCAATAGTTTGGAACGTATCCTCACTTGTCATATGATTTGTTTCTTGTTGCATTTCGCCGGTATACTGAATCAAATTAGGATTTAGTAAAGGCCTGTATTGTGTTTTTTTTTTTCTCTCTGAATGGAAAAATGAAGAATGTTTGGCAATCTGGCCTTACAGCTGGCATCTGAAAATCTTGATTGTCAATAACATATAATTGTATAATATTGACATGTTCTGTATTTCTAAGTGAAGAAACAACAAAGTTATTTTTGTCCCGCAGCTTGCAGGAGGTGTGATCCTAGGACTGGCATTGTGGTTGCGCCATGACAGCAAAACCAGCAATCTTCTTATTCTTAAATTTGAACAAGAGCAGGCACCAGGAACCTTCTATATAAGTGAGTACACACTACAATCACTAGATCTTTTTCTGAAACAAAAACACATATGTTACAGCCCTTGTATTACTAACAATTATCAGTGGAAAAAAGGCCAGTGTATAGATTTTCAGAACATATGCAGTATGCTTAAATGTAATTACTGAAGGGTATGAGAAATGACTAGGTTGGAAAAATTATGTAATTTACCTACATTTTAAGGCCCTCTTAAGTCACATCCTAACAATGTGACACAAATGTCAAACATGAGTCATATCCGTAGCTAATTCAGTAAAGGTATTTTTGTCCCCGGCATCTTCCTTGGCCTTCTTCTGTACGTGCATATGTAAGATCCTGTGAGAATAGCCTGATCCTCCATTTTCTTCTGGCTGTATAAAACTCTTCTTTTCTTCCCATTCTTACTGTCTACATATTTTATTCTGCACATCACAGGGATCTCGGTGGTAACCAAAGTCTCTGCCCTTCATGGTTGACTAGCCCCATGCGAGAAACCATGTGAGAGTAGCTGAAATAGAAAGAGGGGCAGAGTGACCCCCTTTACAAAAACATCCAGGAAACAGGACCTACGTAAATCCGCATATAGAAACTCAACTCCAGGCTACATCAGTTTGACTTATCTGGGCTGTCATTGGGCCGGTACACAGGTGATGCACTCTAGCCCACAGAAGCATAGGGACATTTGCAACTAAATATTTTAACAGCTAAGGCTTAAAAACTCCCAGCCTCTGCACTTTGAGGAGAGGAGCCAGATGGTTCGACAGATGTTGAAGCATTGTCTATGTGGGGAGAGGAAAGCAATATGACAGGGAAAAACATGAATATGTTAAAGAAAGTCAAAAAGTGTAAAAAAAAAAAAAAAAAAAAAAAGAAAGAAAGAAAGAAAGAAAGAAAAAGATAAATAAAGAATTACAAGGGGAAAAATATAAATAAATGCAGTTAGTTAAATTATAATTTGTTCATAATAAGCCATGAACAACAACAAAAAAGATTGGCCAATAGTCCTCAGTACTTATCAGGTAATTGACATTTTTCTCATATAAGATGAATATATCAGTTGCTGCATTTGAAATAGTCACAAATTCTCCATTAAAACAACAAAGTATCATAAAAACTATTAAAATTGTAGTGAGCCTATCCTAAAAGGTCTTCTTATAACCTGTAACTGTACTGAAATTCAGCTAACTTTAAGTTTAAATACTAAAATAAAGTCAGTTTTACTCATGTTTTTAAGACATGAAGGTCACTTGTGGTTGGATTAGATTTACATTTAGGTTTTTAATTACATAGTAGAATCAGAAAAGTTGTGTTGCCATTGTGAAGGCTAAAAAGAATAATAATAATATAATTGTGTGAAGGGTAAAAGTATCATGGAAAAAACTAATGTAGAGTAAAAGGCTTAACTTAGTATGGCTTTATATTTATATTTACACTGAAAGTAATCTATGATGCAAAAAATACAAACCTTTAACTGACCTGTGTAACCTAACCTGCATATATAGCAACGTTGAACCATTTCATCGTCCAGGCCCGTTGTGGCAGCCATGTTAACTGAGCCCATTAATTTACATCGGGACTCTGCCGCTCTCCCATACTTACCCCGGGCTAAGTACAAGGAGCGTATGTAAACCAGGGCTTTTTATAGAGTAAGGGCTGTACTCTGGATTTTAAAGTCAGAAAAAGAGGCCCACCCAAGTGAGATCAAGGAGAGTCTATTTTTTTTAAACGCTATACAAGGTTATTTGAATTATGCAGGGGCGTATGTTAGCGCTGCGTGCATCTGCACATTATCCTCCAAATTAGAGTTTGGAGTGGATGTTTTTAGCATGCTGGCCTGAGAAAGTGGTACTTATGTATGGAAGGAAATTCTGCTCTTTAGGTCTGAAATTATTATTCGCTGTAGTTGCCAGTTGGATGGTGAGGTTAGCATGGCTGTGCAGATGTTTGACATTGTATGCACAATGAAACTTGCCTTCAGGACACTGTATAAACAATATGTCAGACATTTTGCACAAAATGGCAAAAGGAAACTTGTCTTTACAGTTGCATAATGCTTCTTAAAAAGTGCACTACGTAACATTTCTAGTGGAGGGCCGCCGCCTGCTTATCTCCATGGTTATTGCTTTGTCTACAATGTTCCTCAGTATAAATTAAATCTGTGAACAGCTTATAGCACTACACTACATTGCAATTCAGATCTGTGGAGAGTCACCCCTATTCACAGAAAAAAAAAAAAAACTATTGTATTTTTGTGCAATAGAAACACCCATAATGAATAAATGCTAGATGTATATTTTATGTCATACTATGGAACATTCCCAGTAAAGCAATAATTTCTCCATGGAGACAAGCAGGTAGTGGATCCTCCACCAGAAAAGTTGCGCAGTGCACCTTTAACATTTCAAAACCATAACAATGGTTGGTGTTTACTGTAAAATGTAGTCCTCTATAATGTTAATGTGAAATATGATTTGTTCAGTGGCTCAGTGGGTGGAGTATTTATCCATAGAGTATGTTGTTTGTTTGCCAATGTATGTTTAAGTTTAAATTTTCGCCACTATATTGCTTTTATTTCACCACAGTCTTTATTTAACACATTATTTGTTATAAACTTTGTTTTCACTCTAGTTGCCCTTAAGTCACTATGTCAGTTTTTAATTATATGGTAACCTTTTTTGCTATTTTAATTAAGAAAAACAAGAAGGTCTTAGCTTCTGAACCCCCCTCCACCTTTCTGTGTGGAGATTACATGGCGAGATAGAAAATAAACGGACTTCCCTGGTGGTACAAAATGGTCTCCCTTCAGGCCTCAATAGCCCTAAGACCTCGCAGGTGTTGTCATAGTAATGCAAGCCAGCAGAAATAATGTCGGCTTTGGCCACATTGCCGGGTTACTGGCTCTGGTATAAGCTGTTCTTGGTTCAACAACACAGAAATCCACTCAGGGTGAATAAAAGAGAGCAGAAAAAGGGAGAGAGAGAGCAAATGTTGAAGGCATTGCATGACAGACAAAATACAGGCTGAGTTGTCAAAGGGCCTCTCCCAGTCTGGGCTTTTTTACCCGCGCTGTCTATCTGTGCTGCCCTGCATTAGGCTGTGTTTTGTTAACGTATGAGTAAGAGTAGAAAAGGAACCGAAAAGAGAAAATGCCCCCATGCCACTGTGCAAAAAGGACTCACTTGGCCTGATGTGCGGAAACTAGTCATGCGTATAAAGTGCTACCACTCATGCACTTTATTTCAGGTGGTTGATAATTAATATTTATAAATAATTCAGAACTCTCAACCTGTCATGGCATCATTTAGGTTAAGCCTCTAATGCAAGGAGCTGGCATAGTATTATTAAAGCTGTTAATGTAAGAGCTTTTTGTGCATTACTTTGGTGCACCGCCAGGCTTGTTCCCCAGTATGACATTAAACAGCTTTACTTTAGATTTATACAATTACAGGTGGTGTGGTAGCTCAAAAATACCTAGAAAAACAGTCATTCTTACTTTGAATGGGGTTGGCTCTACACTGACGTATAACCTAGTCTGGTTTGGTCTCCATGATGATAGAAATGTTTAATGCCATATTGTGAAACATTCCAGTCAAAGCAAAAACATCACGACGAAGAAAAGCATTTGAAGGACCCTCTACCAGAAAAGTCACACAATGCACCTTTAAAGTCATAGAGAGTGAACATTGAAAAGGGTAAAAATAATTTGCTGGAATGAGTGGTTAATAGAAACAAACTTACATTTTACTTTAAATGGAGTTACAATATTTATTTACAAGTACTTTTAGTTCTAGGAATAGCTATACTTTCATTTAGGTCAGCACAGTCTACCTCTGCTTTCCTAACCAACCATACATGTTCCTCCAAACACATTTAAACCATGGCTGTCTTTTATTTAACAGAATAATAAATGAAAACTTACTTCACTTTCCTGGTAGGGCAATAGCTCAAGGTCAGAGGTCACGGTGGTGTTGAGGGGTTAGGCAGATACTTCCTGGACTGGAGATGCCTCTCCCATTCAAACCGGATTTATCTGCAGGATGTCAATACCATCATGTCATCCAACAGCCAAGGCAAGAGGAACATCCAGGAAGTCCATTATCAAACAATGTGGCCTGCAGATCAATGTGGAGAAATGGGAGTCTGGGCTGGATATGCTGCCCTCTAGTGGCTCAGAGAGAATATAAAACCTATTTGTCTTGTTATGCAGGTGTGTACATACTGATAGCCGTTGGGGCCATCATGATGCTGGTGGGATTCCTTGGATGTTATGGAGCCATTCAGGAATCACAGTGCCTGCTGGGAACGGTAAGTCTCCTCTCAAACCATAGTACTGTAGGAAGAAAAATTGTGCACTTTAAGTATTTTTATTTTATATGCCATTCCCCTGGTTTGGGCACACTCGTTCAGGTTTTTATTTTTTCTTTATGTTCTACATTTTAGATACATACAGAAGACATCAAATATATGGAATTGTGTAACAAAGAAAAATAACTCTCAAGTAACTAAATTTAATAAATTAAATACATAAAAATATTTTACACTCAAATGCTCACTTTTAATCCATGGAGTGGTTGGCTGCTTTTGTGGCTACCTCATTGACACACTGAGCAGTTTTGAAACCTTTTGGGGGTTTTTTAGCTCAGTTTTTAACATCATATCATGGGATTTTAACCAGCTAAGAAGTTTGATTGTGTGAAGTCAGCTGTTTGTTTTTCCTGTATCTGTGGAGACTGCGCAAGAACTAAGTAAGTAGCTAGCTATGGACATTTGACATGCTACAGGCTTTTTATGTGGCAGTAAATGTGGCAGAAGAGCTTCCAGAGGAAATCCTTTGAGGGAATGAACCATTTCTTTACCAAGTGAAACACTAGTGCAGAGTAAGAATGAGGCCTTTCCTATTGTATTCACCTGGTTCCCCCGGAGGTTGCTGTGATGCTGCAGGACACAGAGGAAGGACACTTTTGGCTCTTCCTCTCCTCAGACTACCTTGATACAGATCTGCTGACCCTACCTGACCAGTTCTCCAGTTAAACTGCACTGATGTGTAAATGTTGCAGCAAAACTTGAATTTCCCTCGTGATTAATAAAGTGTCACTCTCCGTCTCTCAAAGTAGCCATCCTTTGCCTTGTAGACAATTCTCTCAATGAGCTTCTTGAAGAAATCTGGTGGTTTTAACATCAAATGGTGTGCCAAGGCGGGGTCAAGAAATGCCAAAAGTGCAAACTAAGGTTCAAAGGAATGGATAGCTATTTAACTTTTTTAAAAGTCTAAAATAAGTTTTGATTTTTTTTTTTTTTTTAGTTAAATGTTGTTTGTTACTTTCCATATGTGTTCAGTCTTAGTTTTTATGCTTTCAGTGAGAATCTACAATGTAAATAATCAGGAAAATAAAGAAGAAAAATAAATGGAAAAACGTGTGTCCAAATGCTTGACTGGTAGTGTACAATAAAAAAAAAAAAACATTGCTTTTAATCAAGTACATGAGCATGACTAATAGAGGCCAGACGGCAGCACATCCTTGTGGAATCACAAAAGAAGTTTAGATTTTTGCACATACATAAATCTTCTTATCCAGTTACACACACACATTTTCATTGTTTTTCTATGGCTATTTGCTTGTTTCTGTCTAGTTCTTCTTCTTCTTGGTGATCCTGTTTGCCTGCGAGGTGGCTGCTGCTATCTGGGGTTTCATGAACCGAGACACAGTAAGGACAAAGAGCTGCAGTATATTTATATGCTTATAAAAGTGGTTTAATCACTACAATCACACAATATATTTTTGCAGATCTCCAAAGAACTCATCAACTTCTACGACTCAGCGTACATCAAAGCAGTCGATGTGACCAGCACCAGCAAAGACTCAGCCATCAAGGTCTTGGACGTTTTCCACACAACGGTGTATGTTAAAGACATGTTATGGCCTAACTCACCATAAGCATATATTATAATAATACTGTTGTGCTCACTTTTGGCTGTTTTCAGCTTGACTGCTGTGGAAAAGGAGGAGAAAACACTTTATTTCAAGAAGTATCTAAAACCCTATGCCCCCGCAAGACAGCCCCCACAACAGAAGGCTTTCAAGAAAATCAGGTACACACATTAGGTTCCTTATTATTTTGTTTTTTTTTAAATGACAGAAAAGATTGTGTTATATCTATGCCTTTACTCATTCCCCCTTTCTTTCTGTACTTCAAATATGTGTATTCTTACTTATTACTGGAAACAATTACTATATTTGCCCCTTGCATTCTTACTCACTAATGATATTGCTAAATTAGTACTAAGCTAGTACAATTGTCCTTAGTACCACTGGAACATCTTATACTAAAGAAGACAACAGATTTAACAGAGTGAAACATAAATTAAGCACAAATTGAATAAGCTTTGCATAATTTCTTACAATAAATAGTCAGATTCCTTTCCCCATATTTTGTCTATGCTTATGTTAGCATTTTGCTGTTGTGATTAATTATTCATCATGTTGTGGTTTCTACCAGGTGAAACACGTGTACACTGTCATTTATAACAAAGAGGCGCCAGTCAAAATGTCTTGACTTTGCACATCTTTGTGGGCACTAGCTTTACTGTCTGTGTCTCATCTTTCAGAATTGTCATGACAAAATCACCATTCTGTTTTCTGAGAAGCTCCACTTGATTGGTCTGGCTGCTTTGGTGGTTGCGGTCATAATGGTCAGTATCAGTAACTACCGAGAATATATAAGTGTATTTTAGCCTATATTCATTTAAATTAAATTGTTTTATTCCTGTTTAGGTTTTCGAGATGATCTTCACCATGGTGCTGTGTTGTGGCATTCGCAACAGTCCAGTGTATTGAACAAAGGTCCTGATGAATGAAGATACAACAGCCTGTTATTTCAAAAGTGTTTCATTTGACAGTGTTATGGACATGCCTTTTTAATGTAGGCATCAAACAATTTTGATGTTACCAATGTCATTTAAAGTAATGACATTGACACAGTTTATTTGTTTTATATTTATCAATAATGTTTGTTTTTTTTACTTTTTACTACATTTTGTGGTGATGTGTTTGACTCTTAAGCATACAGATTTAGATTATTGTAAAATTGTACATTCATAGCTAGTTTAAAACAAAAGAGTCAGACTGTCTTCCAAATAGTTTGAATTAAAGCTGTCTTCAGGCTTGAATAATTTAAGCAGCATTTATTTCTCTGATGGAAAACCATTATGGTTAAACCCTTTTCCTTCATTCTGGTATAATAAGTCTTGTGAATTGTGAATCGTCGTTTTGCACCTCATTTGGTAAGTGTGTGTTGATTACAGTTATAAAATGTGTTTTCATTTTTGAATTTTATAAGTTAGTCAGGTGCAATACTGCATGACTGACATCTTACAATAACAACAATATTCTTTAGGCCTCAAAGAGAAATTGAAACCTTGTGTAAAAATATGTGGTAATGAAAAAAAACTGAATAATTTTACCTCTGTCAAATTACAGTGATACCGGTATGATGCCAATAAAACAAGATTACCATGTATCACCCAATTTCTCTGCAAAACAAAGGTTCTGGGAGCCTCAACACTCACATTTTACAACCACACGGGGGCAGTGTAACGCAAGCACACTTTTTGTTCAATCAGCAGTCCTCGTGTGTCATGAGTACATTTAAAAAGTGATCAGACCTGTATTTCTGGTGCAGTTAAAGGGACACACCCTGCATGTGTTTGCTTTTGCCTCAGTAATGTCATGAGAACGGTGTACCATTGGCTCCAAACCAAATGTTTGCTAAACTCTGATGGACAAGATCTTTTGAGGACAAACATCTCTATTAGGGGTTTTTATGCTGATTTCAAAGTGCAAGAAGACAGTCTGATAATTTAACAAACTAACTGATCAGGCAACAAGGAAGGAGCCTTAGAGCAGTGTCATGTCAAGGTTAATACGATTACAGTATAAAGTCAGAGAATTACTACTGCTACTACTACTATTCTGAGAAAGACAAAGATATTCAATGTAAAGAAAAAATAGCAGAACTCACATTATCACTGTATTGAACTATAAAGACTACACTCACTCAGTACTGCACTAGTACAAGGTAAGTAGTTGTAATTTTTTGTGCTGGTTAACATTGTATACATTTACACAAATACATGTAATATAGTCTTATATTTCTCAAATTCTCACTAAGTACAGTCATCAAACTAAATCAACAGTACATATGTAGATGTAGCCTACTGTATTATTATTTTTTTAAATACTAAGTAGTTTAACGATTTTAAGTAAACAAGCCCAGACAGACAGGCCTAATGGATGTAATGAACTTCTTGCAACAGTTTAAATGCATATATCATCACCTAAAAGTATGCAAGAACAACATTCAAGGAACTCAAAAAGGAATAGCTACAACAGGTAACTCCGGGAGCAGACAAACATAAAGTGCGTCACTCTCGCCGTCTCACTTTCTCTCTCAGACCTACACGCCTTTGGGCTGACTTCTGTATCACGCATCACGTCTCAACATGGCCATGACTTCACCGTGACATCTGCTTACTTACCGTTTTATGAGTCATCACTGAAATGTTGCAAAATACATCTAAAATTCAAAATCTACACACACTACATGAACAACATTTTACACAAAACAGCATTTTAACAAAGTATATCAAAAATCAGCCACAATACATCTCAAAATCCCACTAGAAATCTACCTCCTTGGAGACATTCAGGTGTTAGGGATTTGGGAACACACCCTTTGCCATAGACCGATCTTTGACTCATCTCTTTGTTTCAAGAGCTCCCCATATTTACCTGCCATGGAAGGAACAATCAGAAAATTGGGCGGTAACTTTGCTCTAAGGATTTGATACACTATAATATCCCACCAGATCACTTCGCCCATCTGGCAAGTAGCAGCAAAGCAGGCAGAGGAGGACATGCAGAAGTCTAAGATAATGGTAGGTCATCTATTTGGTTTTATTCAAGTCTTATTATTAATTATTTGTGTGTTGGGTAAATATATTATAATGATGTGTGAATTTTTCATGTTTACTGTATTAAAATGTTGTAATATTATGCTGAAATAAGTGCGGCCTGGGGACACCGTTTAGGATGGTCATGTATTTCCTATAAATTTTTACTAGAAGGGGCACATAAAAAACTCGATATGTGTCCATACAAAATTATGTTAACAAGTGTGTTATAGCACTGTTGCATTATTTAAATATTAAATAAAATAAGGGAAGTTACCCAAATGTAGTAATGCTCCTGCAGTGTTTCATTTGAACTAGCATGAGGTCTGTATAGATGTTTTACACATAAACATTAATACCTTAATAATATCTTAATATTTTGTGTGTTATAATCCGTTGTCCATTATCTCCTTCAAGTAGGGTTCAAGTAGGCCCTTATGCGTGTTCTTAGACAAGACACTTCACACACCTCATCTGTAGCAGTGGTTTGTGAACGGAGTGAGTATGTCTGCAAGATGTCAAATCCAACAACACGACCACCACTACAGAGAGGGCTGAACATTTTTAGAAAAATATCTAAATGCAAAATTTCTGACAAATATTGCGGTTAGATTTGCAATTTATGGTTTAATAACAGAACTCTGTTTAAAGTTCACATTTTTAACATGTCCTGAAGAACTGGCAAGAAGGCTGAAATATGAATTGACAAATTGATATAAGAGTCTCCTTTTGGAACATGTTTGTACAGATCTAAACTACAGTGTTAGCCATTTTTATTCTTTTTATAATTTGGTACTTCAAAAATTGTAGCCTTTGTGATTTACTAATTATGACCATTCAAATCTAACTTTGATTTGATTGTGATTAACCTTGCAGCCCTACTTTGAAAGCCTGGAAAAAAAAAAAAAACATTTCCGCTTTAATAATTTGGGAGAAAAAATGACAGATGACAGTGGATGAGGTGCACAAATACATGACAGATGGGGCTGCTGCTTTAATGTTATTTTTATAATTCTATGCACTTATAGCAGGCATGTCCAAACTACGGCCCGTGGGCCAAATGCAGCCCTCGGACAAATTCTTATTGGCCCTCAGGCTTCCAGGTGATTTGGCCCAAATGACCTTGCATCAATTAAAAATGAACTTTTCACAGCAAGTTCTTTGAAAATCTACTCTGATAAAGCCAATATTGAAGTTTTAACGTGTGGTTTGAGGATTTTAGAGTGAATAACGACTGATGGCTCATTCTAAAGTGTTAAACATGCACATATTTCAATTATTCACTGTATTGAGCACCAGTCTACGGCCCTCGATCGGCCCTCTGCTTCATCTGTGTTTAGAAATGTGGCCCTTGATGAAAAAAGTTTGGACACCCCTGACTTATAGTATATGTTATTATGAAAGGTGAAGCAAATGGAACATGACTTGATAGTACAAAATGTAATTAACTTGACCCCATAATACTGCTGACTGTCCCTCTGTAGTGTAAAGACAGTCCCAAATTAGGGGAGGTGATTTGTTAATGAGGCTCTGATAAACATGATGGGGGTCACCAGGGGTCATGTTTTTAAATCAGCGGCAGCCACTGTAAACTTATTGACTTTGATTTGCAAGAACCTGTGCTGCTCCTCTGGGAAATTACTGACTGATTGAATAACTGAAATTGCAGCTAAACACAAAATGTTTAGCTCTTCTGATTTTACTAATTAATTCTGGAAATAAACAAGAGGCGCTGGATGAAGTCTGGGAACTGCAAGTTGTACTGTGTAGACTTGTGCTTGTACACATAAATATAATAACTGGTAATGTACTAACTGATAGCAGGTAATAGGGCTGGTACTCTCACACTGCATACCATACCTCGGGAGCAAGGTGACTCATAGTTGCTAAGCTCAAATAAAACAGACCAGAAAATACTAAGGTGTGGCTATATAATAAAAGAGGGAGCTTTGACACACCTTGTAACAGTACTTCACTTGCACTTCGTCATTTGCAAGATTTAAAATTTACTTTAAAAATCTGTGCCTGGGTAATTGTTGTTTAAAGGTGCATTATGTAACATTTCAAAAATACTCAAAAATACCTTATAAAAGCAAGATCGCCTCTCTATGGATATGACCTGTAACTTGGCCTGCTGATCTCACCGGTTTGTCTCCATGGAGAGAGATACATTTAATACCATGCTGTGGAATATTCAAGGCAAAGCAATCTCCATGGAGACAAGCTGTTGATGAACACTCCAGAAGTTAGACAGTGCACCTTAAATGGCATGCATGGTAATCAGGGTTGTGTGGTGTTGTGTTTTTGCTGTATGTGCCAAATGAGCTCTGTGTGCGTGGAAATGAATTTCCCCTCAGGGACAATAAAAGTCAAAAGTCTAGGGCTGGGTATCATTGAGAAGTTGCCGATACGATACATACCTCTATACATAGGCCACGATACGATACATATCTCTTTCTGTTTGATATAATATATGTCAAAACAATTCAATACCGTTCAACAAAAAATAATGGCTAAATCATGGCCGTAATACTAAAAGTCTTTGTTAAACCACTTCTTGCGCAAAGTTCAAATGAAACAGTCCCATTTTAATCATTAAACCGGGGAAAATGTCAAATGTGTTGCATGAACGAGTTTCTTTTCTCCAAACAAGCAACAAAACTGTAGTACTGTAACAAAATAATTTAGTAAAATATACCAAACAATACTCTTGGCAATATAGCGATACAGCAGTCCCCGATATGGATACTGTATCATCACATTAAATGATAGGATATGTTGATATTTCGATATTTTTGCGCTACCCTAATGGTAATTCGATTGTTAAATATAGGCAAAAGATTCCTTTTGATTTAATGTAAAAAGTTGATCAACTACTGAATTGTTTAGTTTAGTTTTGTTATCATTTGCAATAGATCCTTGATAAATTTATTTCTAAAGAATCAAATTATTAAAGATTACTAAAATACTAAAGAATTTTATACCAGCTGTTCACATAATCTCCCAAAATGTTCAACACATTGTAATGGACTGGAATCCCAATTATAACATAAATCTTCCATGCTTTCGTCCATCCAGGTATTTCAGTCCAATAGCAAAGCATAAAATAAAATATGGTATGGCATTAAACCTATTAATCTCCATGGAGACAAGGTTACAGGCAAGATTACTTAACATCACCGGATACAAGCATGGACAATGAAAGCTTACGTAGTGCACGCTGAATTTGCATAAATGCACAATATGATAATACTCCAGTAATCTTGACCAAAACTGTTTCAAGATCAGTTAGACCCTGAAACCAGCACTGCAGTTGCGCATTGCTCCAGTAAAGTTACAGATGGACTAAATGTAGAGGACAGGACAGATATATGACATACATTTTCCATAAAGGGGGCACTTAAATTAATGTTAACAGCATAAACTGAAGTCAACTGAACACTTAGGCGCAGCTCACCTGTGCGTCAGGTGCCGTGCGCGCGTCACTGAGACCCCGCCTCCGTCTGTGGTGCCGTGCGCTTTGTGTCAGAGTCCTGTCTGCCACGAAGCGGGATACAAACAACAACCTGCTTCGACCTCTGTAGTTTCACACGGAAAGTTTCGATTCAACAATGCACGCTGTAAGCTCAGAGAATGTATTTTTGTCCGCCCTGCAGCCCAACACGTCGGTGACCACCTACGGGCTCCCGTCAGAGGTCCAGCTGGGCAATGGGAACTCCATGACGGACGAAGTCGCACGGGCGAAACGAGTTCAGCAGCAGGTCCAGATGAGACTGGCGGAGAAGTCCACACTTCCGCGTCAGAATGGGTCCGCAGCTCACTACGCCATGTCAGGTTAGTGTGTGCTTTTTTTTTTTTTTTTTTTTTTCCTTTCTTTTTGGTTGGTTTGTTTGTTTTTGTTTTCTTTATTTTTTTACGGGAAAATAGACCCTATGGTTGTTTTCATTTTACAATATCCAGCAGGTGTCATTTTAGTTATAGGCCTATTACATGCTTTTGATACACAATATGTAAATGAAGCAATAAGCAATTAAAAGTTTTGTGGTGGTTTCATTTTAGAATATATGCCTTGCCCTAATATGTGTATTATATATTATATATTGTATATTATTAAGTTATATTAATGTATCAGTAAAATATAATTCATTAGTAAAAGTATAATTACTAAAATTACTAACTTGACTTATTTTATTCTTGTTTGTTAAGACTTGTATTTCATCCATCTATTAAAAATAGTCTAACTGACATTAATTATATTCTAATGAGATGTCTTTCCTACTTTTCCTGTCTAATTCTTCTTCATGTCTCTTGGTCTTGCATTATATGTGTGTCACATAGCTTACATGTTTTTTCTTGTTTGCTGATTTGCTTTTTTGTGTGCTGTGAAGTCATCTGCTCCTCTCCTCGGGTGGATATGTGTGGATATACCTGGCTACATGAAAGGGTTAATGTTTAACACGCTACAACAAGTGCTGCTTTCATTGCAGTGTGCAGATAGCGGCAGAGCTGAAAGAGTCTCTCTGTGAGATTGAATGTCAGGTCTCTTAGTCAGTCCTTAAAGAGGTTCCAGACGGATACCTGAGAAATGACAGGGTCGTGAGAATCATCTGGTGTATCTTTAAAATGTCTGACTGACTTGGCTGATACTTCTCTTTCCTAAAGGTTATTCCCATGAAAACCTTTTCTTTGCTTTGACTATATATTGAATGCATTTTGCACCAGTCCATTCTATGTTAAATGGACATTCTTCCCGGCTCATAAGTCTCTGTGTTTTCTTACGAACTTTTAAGAAACAAGCTGGGCAGCTAAATGCTAGTTTCTTAGCTCAGTGGGAGAACTTGAAAAGCTTTTTCATTGCTTAGGAGTTTGCCTTTGGCAAGAAAGATGCCAACCTGAACATACATCATGCTCTTCGTCCACTAAAAATAATAAATGTAGTAGTATGTGTGTTTTTATTATTATTACAGCCACTATATTACTCAAAATCCCTTGCAGAAGTGTGTGCACATCTAGGCTGTTAGTATGCCCTTTTCCCTTGGGCTTTGCTGGAGGGTAGGCATCAAGTGATAAAATGTTGCTGTCTACTTTGTGAACCAGTACAACAGGAAAAAACAAACAGGGCCTCCTTTCTTTATAAGTACTGTAGCATTAGCCAAATCATCCACCAAAGCTACTCTTAAAGTGTGTTAGATAAGAGGCAACATACTCATGAGGAGGTCTCGGCAACAATGGTGTCCATAAAAACAAGTCTTAACAGATACAAGCGGCCTCATCCCATGACTGTGTAAATTTATGAGAACCACAGTTATTTTTTCAAAAGATAACAGAAGGAGAAAAATGTCCCATGTCCTGAGTGGAGCATGGGTGTGTACTTGTACTCTGCTCTCAGGTGTGGGACAGGGTGTGGCCGGGGTCGAACTGGGTTTGCGTCAAAGATCTGTCACTAACATTTTAACAACTAGTTTGGTGTGTTTTTCTTCATAAATGACACAACAAAACTCACAAAACACAGATATGTCAGGATTGAGACAGTGTCTATACCTGAGTAAATCGAAAAGGGTTGTGTCATGTAAGGATTGTGTCACTATGTTTTATTATGTTTTATTACATTTTATTACTCATGAATTATTCATTATGATGTGTATTCAATTATAGTAAGTCTGGCTTAAGTTTTCTATTATATGTTAAAGGGCATTGGTGACTATGGCATTGCATTTTTTTGACACTGTTGAAACAGTTTTATCAATAGTTTTACAGGTTAGCATTTTATTCTACATAGATGTGTATATAAATAAAGAGGAGTTCAGTTAATTTGTTATTTTTATATTCTATGTTCAATAAACAATACTTACATGCTTCATAGAAAGTGATCTGTGCATACTCTGATTTGACCTGGACATATGCTTTGATTAGAGCTGGGCAGTGGGCACATGCCTGATTTCTTTAGTGAATGAGATGTCAGTTGTCATTCTGATCTCCTCTGGATGTCTGTTCTTACACTTACTTGTCAGGTTGGCCACGTTTCTGGAGCATAGAGTAAAAGTTCACACAGTATCGGAAATCACAGTTGCAACATGTAATGCATATCTATGTATGTGTCTGTGAAGGTTACTCACAGAGTTGCAGCCTGAAACGTGACATCTGCTATTCAAAGCCATTCTCTCATTAGTCATTTAGAGAGGCGTGATCTGAGATTAAGGCCCACACGTGGTGATTAAATAGGTGTTTCTAAACACCTACTCTAAATTTTTCTGTCTGTGTTCTTTCAACTTTCAAGACTACTGATTTGAGTTTTTTTATGCTTGATCAATATAGAAATGTTAATCACAGTGTTAGCCCTGATTGAATTTCTTAGTTAGCAACTTTGACAAGACAAATTGTATTAGTCTGTAAGGGAAATTATTTGGACACAGTAGCTCAATCATTACGATATAATAACAAACATTTCAAAACTTATGAAAAATAGCAAAGACTGATTATATATAAATACATCTAGCCTATATAATTGTTGTTGTATATCTGGACATTGCTTAAGTTCACCTTTTAATAAAGCTTTAACAAATCTTTTACTCTTCTCACAGTCAGATACTATGGCTCAGTTTTTGCCTCATAAGTAAGTAAAGCCCAGCTCAGCAGCTGTTGACACAACAAACAACCCCATTTAGCCCTGAGACTTAACTTGAAAATGCATGGGACATTTCCATTTAGAAGAAGGCATTTATTTCAATCCAGTTATAAATTTCTCACCAGGTATTTTTAAAGTAAATGGGATCAGACACCATTTCTTTTCTCATTTTCTGACACTGTGATTTAAATGAGCCTTGTTTATGAGTCAACTAAAACACTGATACAAATATGTTTTTATTATACATACATGTACTGGATTTAAATGTCTCAATATGCTTCTTTTCAGACTACGGTGGTTCTTCCACGCTCAAATATCAGACATATCAACCAAACTTCACCTCCAAGTCCTCGTACATGTACGCAGGAGGATCCAGGACCATGGTGAGTCCTCCATCTTTATTATCGACATATTGACCTGTTGATCTGGTGTTAACCGCTTAGCCCCTGACCCTCTATGAGGTACAAATGTGTGGCATTTCTCAAAGACCTGCTATGAAATCACTCCAGAGTTTTCAGATTGAACCTCTACATTCTTCAGCGTTACTAGTTTAAACATTATATCACACGTTGGCACCATTTTCACCATATAAACTCATAACCTTTTTTTCAGCATAGTAATAATAGGCAGTAAGTTTGTGTCTTACACATAACATTATCAGATGTTGTTGAATGGTTACATTTATGACCTGACTTTTTAGATAAATTAACTGATAAAGTTTTCCCAGTACATGAATGCATTTGTGTGATTGCCCGGCTGATGTCCTTCTTTGTTTGGACAGGGTCCTCGTATTTCCCAGAGGACCGGCTTCAGCTCTCAGTCCGCTGGTGCAGATCTGGCGCAGTTACAGCGCATGAGCATTGGGGGGGGCGGGGCCGGTGGTGGGGGGTATTACAGAGAAGAAGTGAAGATGGCTAATATTCATGGACCCCCCCCTGGGATGCATAGGCCCCCAAATGATCTGGAGTCTGCCTCCTTGCACTCGATGCGGCTGGTCAACCCTTGGATACAGGATGACAGTGATGCAGTCAGTATGGCCTCAGACCGGGATGGTGTCTTTAACCGCCAGTACACTCAGAGTCAGAGTGCTATGAACGGATACCAGGTGCGGCAGGTTGGGACTCTCCCTGGCACCATGCGTAGATCCCTCAGTGGGACCCTGTCCCGAGGAGGGGGAGGCCTGATCATGGGAGAGTCAGAGATGGTCACTCATCAGAATTCATTTAAGGGGCCAGCACACCGCACCATCAGTAGGATTAACAACCGCAATAGGACCAGCATGAGCTCCATGAGCGGGACCATCCAGCGGCCCCTGTCTGTGGGAGGGGGCAGCGTAGGGGCTGACAGAGTGGACCGAGGCTTCATGGTATCATCAAACACCTCCTGTGGCTCTGGGGGACGCATGTTCCAAGGAGGTACTCTGCCTCGCACCATGTCCATCAAGAGCATCCACAGTGTGGGCAAAGGAGTGGACATCTACCACGGACAGAACGAGATGGGCATGAGTATAGGCAACCTCAGCGCGTAAGTCACCAGTGAAGATCATTTCATTTCAGCACCACTAAGACTTACAATCTGTCAAATCTGTGTCTCTCAACATTTTCAAATAGTTCCCTTTTGTGTGCCTGGGCACTTCTGGGATGCTGCATGGCACCAAAATAAGTAAACTACCTTAACTATAAAACTGTTGTAACAGTATGAAAACTACAGTTTTGAATGCTGCATACAATGGTACTAAGCTCTTTGTCATTATCGTCATACTGTAGTATCGAGGCATTCTCCTCTGGTGGAACATGTAGTGAATGAGCGGTGGATTTCCTAAGTGCTGTGGATTGGGAGGTGCTCTTTAGTGGCAGGACTGGTTTTGGGTGTGGCAGCTGAGTTTCAAGCCTCGCATTTCACACATCCCACAGACAAGCAAAGTCATAGGAAGAATGTTTGCACAAGAGACAAATTGATTGAAGGAATTTCTGTGATCCCCCTGTTTTCCTTCATTAAATGTATTATCTCCACTATTGCATAAGTATCTACTCATAAACTAATGTGTTGTCATGAATGTCCCTTTTTTGACAGTATCAACAATTTGGACATGCCCACAGCTATCATGAACCTGAGAGATCCAGACCCCAGTGTGCAGGTCATCGGAGCGGCCTACATTCAACACGAGTGCTACAATGATAATGATGCCAAAAATGAGGTACATGTGGTTAGCATCATTACACACTCAAACCCCACTGAGAAAACAGTCATAAATATTGTCTCGATATAATTATACCCAGATGTTTGCATGACTTCTGCACAGTTCAGTTTAACCAATGTGTCACTTGCTTTCTAGATACTGGAATATATTGCGTTGTAAATGCTTTACTTAGACCCTTGTTTGTTTTTTTTGTAGTGAATGTGTTGATTGAAAGAACAGGATGCAAAATAGATGCTGAACATAACTTATTTTAAGTTATGTAAGTTTTGGGCAATTTTATGATTGCTCATCAACAGTTAACCTTCAGTTTACCTTCTGTACAATATGACCCATTCACTTATTTTCACTCAGTAACCAATATAAGAATTATTAATTACACATTTTACCTTATGTGCTGTGCAACTTATAGCGAAAATACCACAGTTGTTTAAATTTTTGTTGTAATAAAACCTGATTCTGTTGCTAGGTCCGACATTACAAGGGCATACCTGAACTGGTAAAACTGTTCAACAGTGAGAACCAAGAGGTGCAGCGTTATGCCACTGGTGCGACTCGGAACCTCATCTTTGAAAACATGGAGAACAAGGTGGCACTGATCGAAGAGGGCGGCATCCCACAGCGTGGAGGCCCTGAAGGAACAGGACGATGAGCTCCACAAAAACATCACTGGTACAATATTAACTATTACACATAAACCATGGCATATTTAAATTTGAAGAAGTCTAAAGAGAAAAAAAGTGTAAGAAGTGAGTTATGATGTAGACTGACAGCAGAAAAAAGGAAAGTCAAGCAGTTCATAGCGCTACAGTTTGCAGGTTAGCACAGTAGCGCTGACAAAAGCAGGAGGTCTGAGCATAGGGGTGTGATAAGGGCCCCGAGGAGTGTGGGAGTTGTCTGGGCCTGTGGACCAACTGTACACGAGCCACTCCCTGTTATAAGTGAAAACCCAGTCACTCTTTCTATGACTTATTTCATCACAATATTTAGTAATTCAGTCATGTCACGTAAGGCAGTGTCAAAAGGCCACATGATAAATAAAGTGTTGCACTGTCCAAAATATACAAAGTGTTCACTGTGTTGTTTGGCGTAGCTAAAGGTTGTTTTTTTTTCCTTTAGGCATCTTCTGGAACCTGTCCTCCAAAGACAATCTGAAGGAGAAACTGGCCAAAGAGACCCTTCCTGAGCTGACAGAGCGAATCCTGATTCCTCTGTCCGGGGGTGAAAACGCTGAGACCATCCATCAGAGTCCCTCCGAGGCTGATATCTTCTACAATACCACAGGCTGTCTCAGGTACTGTGCAGAAAAAACATAAAAAATAGCCCCTAGTTGATGTTTGAAACTGTCCTCTTTTGAGCACGTTTTCCCATGAGCACATTTGCATAAGACTTGTTCTGGCAGGGCAGAGCGTGTGTCAGCTGCTGAAGGTAGAGCCACACCCAGGGCATCTTTTGTGTTGTGTTGCAGAAGCCATATTCAAATAATTAGTGTTAAATAAATAATAAAATCCTTGAAATATTGTCATAAAAATCTATATTGGATCCATTTTATTAGTGGTAATGGCACGCCTGAATACAATACAAACATAATAAAAACGGGCCATACATTTGATTTGTTTTCAGAAATCTTAGTTCTGTGAATGAGAAAACACGTCAGCAAATGAGAGAAACCAGGGGGCTTGTAGAGGCATTGGTGGGCTACATCAAGGCATCACTTGAAGATGGCAAGACTGAGGACAAAGTAAGATATTTTTGCACCCCTCTAAAATTATGTTCCCATGATTTGTTTTCTGTGCTAATTTTCTATAATGTGTTTTATATCCAGGGGGTAGAAAATGCTGTTTGCGTCCTGAGAAACTTGTCCTATCAGCTTTATAATGAGATGCCACCATCTGCCATGATGCGCCTGGAAGGGCCAACCAGAGCCCAGGACACAGGGAAAGCCGAGCCCATTGGCTGCTTCACACCACAGAGCAAGAAAGCCAAAAAGGTATGAGAATGAACAAGCAATCCTGTTCTTGTTTGGGAATTTATTAGGTCATATTTGACTGTATGCTCTGGAGTGTACAAAAGCTGAAACACACTTATGTGCTAAACTACATGCAGAACAATAAACACAGACACAAATATAAACAATACTGAAAAAGAATCATATATTTGCTGTTCAACTTTATAAACTTGGGATAAATTATTTTGAACATAGAGTTATTTTTATTTCAAAAGTGTCTTTTATCTTTTGTCAAAAGTGACAAAAGTGTCTAAGTCTTCATAGAAAATTATATAGCTCATAAGGTGTTTTTGTATACTGCATATACTGGTGTTCATACTCCCCTTTCTTCTGACAGAAGCAGGTGAATCTGTCCACTCTGTCGGAGGTCTCACGGGTCCCTAAAGGCATGGAGTGGCTGTGGCATCCTCAGATCGTGAACATTTACTGCCGAGTGCTGCGTCAGTGCGAGATCAACTCCACCACACGAGAGGCCGCAGCCGGAGCCCTTCAGAACATCACTGCAGGAGACAAACGGGTCAGTACCACCATCAGATAAAGACATACAACTAACTCAAAGTATGCTATAGTAAAATGTTCATAAAGCCAAGTTAAATCTTATTAAACCTTGGCTAAAGAGAAAATTAACCAAAACTGATAAACATGGCAATTGCATTACTACATTACTAAAAGGGGTAGTAAATGTCTAAACCAGGGGGTAAATTGTGTTTATTTCTTTTTTTAATCGGGGACAGAGCATAAAAACTATCAACCTACACATAAGAGGAAATATGTTTGCTAACTTCCACTTTCATTTTAAAGACAAGTTAAGATTGTGATAAACACTGTTGTAATTGAGTTGATTACCAGTGCCATTAACTGGAGGGAAATTATAGACTTCCAGAGGAAGTTTGAGTGCCACCAGTTGAAGAATCACTGAACTGAGGCATTTGGACAAAAATATGAAATTTGCTCTTACACCTAATTTCTTCTTTTCCTCTTGCAGTGGGCGTCAGTGTTGAGTCAGCTGGCTCTGGAGCAGGAGCGAGTGCTGCCCCTCTTGCTGGACCTCCTCAGGACCAACAATGACCTGGAGCTGAGGTCCATCACAGGCCTGCTCCGAAACCTGTCCCGCCACACCAGGGACAAGAATGACATGGGTGAGCCACAAACCTCAGTGAAGCTCAAATATCTGTAAAATCTACTCCTTGGGTCACTCTATTACTAGCGGACCAAATCAGGCCATTAAAAAAATGTGAACGGCATTCGACCAATCTCTGAAATATGTTAGATTTAGTTCTGGTTTACTCGTGGTTTAGTCCCAGTTTAATTCTGGATCAGTGCCCATTTGGCAGAGCACAGTTGGTAAAGCCAAAAGAAATTTCAATCAAATTTAGCAGCTGTTTTATAATCATTACTAAAATATATCTAGATATCTTGTGCAAGCCCACTTTACACACATTAAAAGTCAGCCCAGAGGCCACTAGTTCTGCTGTATTGTGCTAAATTGTATATAAAATTTTATAAATTAGAAAAATTTTTAAATTTATTTAAATTAGTCCATATATTAATTATACATACCATCCTACAAAAACAATGCTTTGGGAGCATAGACTTTCTAAAGAAATAGACTAAGGGAGTGTTACGTCGCCCATAGTGTGCAGCGCCAGGCAAAGGAAGCTCAAAAGGTTAGCTGTATAGAGGGAATTTAGAGCCGAGTTCTGTATTTGGAATAGGAATTTATTTACAGACAAACTAGTAAAATAAAAACACCAGGATCATGTAGAGTTGATTAATATGAAAATTTTAAGACCAAAATGACGAGACTCACTGCAGTAGTTACAGAGAAGGGTGACAATTTCTCAATGTAAAGTCAATGAGAACCAGAGTTGTTCACAAACTATTTGGAACGTGGCGGCTAGCGGGTTAGCTGTGTCCATTTATATACACAGTCTACGTATGGGACACTGATTACAACTGCTAAAATGAAACATGTATTTTATTGTATTTTTAGCTACAAAAGTGGTGAACAACTTAGTGACCAAGCTCCCTGTTGATGGGTATCAAAAAGAGCCGTCCAGTGAAGTTGTGGTAAACATTTGTGGAATCCTCAACAACCTGGTCACCAGCAGCTTCATGGCCGCCAGAGATGTCACCTTTTTTGACGGTTTGCCGAAACTGGTGGGCATCCGAAACAGCCATGACAACAGGTGAGTGTTGTACTACAAAATTAAATTAATTTATGTAGATTTAAAAAAAAAAAAAAAAAAAAAGGTTTTATATGTTTTTACTAAATTATAAATTTTTTGTTTAGTCCGGGGAAGACTAGAGCATCCAAAGCAGCAGCCACTGTCCTCAGTAACATGTTTCAATACAAGAAACTGCACAAAGACTACAAACAGGTACGAGTTAAATTTAAGTTTATTTCTTAATCACTGTAGAGAACAAATTGTTTATCTTTAGTATTTTGTTTTGACAATCCACACCCTTCCTCCCAAACAGCATTGCATTATGTAAGTATGTTGTTGAGCAAGACATTTTACCCACTTTTAAACTTTTACTGATTGTGACAAAATTAATATGAAGTTGTAAAGCCACTTTGTTTATAAAATCATGTATTGCTAGTTTTGTTGGTACAATTTTTATTTTGTTTATTATAGTAGCAGTATTATCTTGTTCTGTCTTAAATTACTTTACAGTTCAACAAGTTTATTTTATTGATAATCCTAAAATCCTAATCTTTGTAATTTTGGTCAGTTAAAGCTACCATTCATTAGTTTAGTGGCTGGCAGATGTGAAACCTGTTCGCCCCTCCACTCTCCCCTCACCTGGCCTTTGTTTGGAACTTCAGACTCACCTGTGGTCTCTAATACTCTTATGTCAGGCCAAAAGTCCTCTATATTTGCCCCACCTAAAGATTAGCAATACATGTGATTGATGTCATCCCTCTGCTCTTCCTTCGTCAATGGATTATTGCGTAAAAAAACTCCACTCTCCCCTTCACTTTCTCACTGTTGGTCTTTACACACCTAGTCATGCAGGTCGAGGTCTGGGCCAGGTCCCTCCCAAAGGCGCGGCACAAGTTTATATCCCAATGAGCAAGTCCTGACACTGAAAAAATGTGCTCCTGCTTGCATAGGGCTCTTAAACGAACAATCACACATTTAAGAAAACACATGTAAAGAGTATTATGTTCAGCAGCAGATAACATCAAGTAATTTCAGTTATTTGGTTAACCAATACATATAGCCTTCTGGAATGCTTCGAAGTGTTTCTAAAAAGATTTTTTTTTCTGTTTTTGTTTTAACTATTATTAAAACAAATATTGTTTATAGTTCTACTATTACTTGTTTATTTATTGTTGTTTACCTTGTGTTTTGCAGAAAGGGTTTTCCAGAGAGGATTTTACTGACAATAGCATCTGATGTGGTAAAGTATTTGGCTTCAGTAACACTTGATAAATGGAAGACATTTTTCCAGGTGTGTGGAAGTCAGTGAACTGTAATATTATAAATACACTGTTTTTATTATGGATGAGATTATAAGAACATTGTAATAATGGACTACAAATCCCAGAAGAAAATTACTTTTACTTTTTATTTTTTGGACTGGAGATTTATGGATCCCACTGTGGACTGCAAATGGACTTTGGTACCAAAGTGTGCACCTTAACTGTTTAATGTACTATTTTAGTTTAAACACAATGCATCTTGTTGTGGATATTTTACCATACTAACCTACTGATAAAAGTTTGGATTTTGTATCTCAAGAATGTTATCAGTTATCAATATTGTGTGTAAATACTATTTTAATACTGTGCTGAACACTGTACCTTTGTATTTTTTACATTCGGGTAAAGAGGTATGTTCATATTTGATGAGCATTTATTTTTGTACATGAAATTCTAACATTGAGTTATATATAATTTTTCTATAAAATAAAAATGACAAATCAGGATATGTTCTGACCATATGGGGTAAAGGTGGTGCTATGTGTTCTCATGTAATGTGCCTATACCAATCACTGTCAAACAAAACAGTTGTTTTTACATTCAAACTCCTTTGATGTGCCACTGTAATTGCTAGTCTACTGTGCTGTATGGGTGAAGGACTGCATTCCTTTGAAATAGTTTAATCTTTGCAAATACAATGTCTATTTAGAGTGCACTTTCTAATTGAGTGATCGCAGAGTGAAAGAAAGATGTTGTATTTCAAACCAGTATAAAATGTATTGAATGTATTGTTTTTACAGCATTTAGAGCACTGTGTCTGGCTGGTTACATGCTTTGTGTGTTGTTTTCATAATACTGGTTATTTGTAAGATTGTTGGATGTGAACAGACACATCATATGGATACTTTGACTTAATAAAGATGCAGAAACAAGACATCATTGAGTTTCCTATGCTGCTGCTGGTTACAATCTTAGTCTCACACGAAGTTGGTGAAATGGAGGCCGCTCCCAGTTTACATATTTTCTCCTGCTCAGACAAGAGCCATACCAGAACTTGCCAGATGGGCTCTTATTTAGGCTGTGATTTGAAGCCATTCAATTAACTCAAAACAAACCACAAAAGAACAGGAAAAATACATAAAACTTTATAATTCAGGTTGTCACATAGTCTTCAGACAAGGCACATGGACATGCAGTAACATTAGAAAGAGTCAGGCTTTCTGCTGCTTGTAAGACAGACAGCTTAAGTCTGTTCAGCAAGTGGCCACTGTCAGTCACATTTTTTCAACAGCTGTAGAGTAAAAACATAAGGCAACTAGAGGTTCTTTTACTACTCTGCCCTCTGCTGGACACACAGGCACACATACATACAAATCCCTGCAAGGCATATAAAAATCATAAAAATGCACAAATCATTTCACATCTGCCATCCACGCATATAAATGTGTATAAAAACAACATAATTACTTCCAAATAATCAACAAAAGGGCATATAAAGGTCCATAACACTCTGGCTCATATATCATTCTCGGTGACTAAGCAGTAGAAATCCGAACGCGCTCTGTAATTGCGTGATCCAAGGTCGGACACTTCAGCATCAGCAGGTCTGGATTCAGAAGTAGAAGCTGCAGGGAGCACCGGAGCTCTGCACACCATGGCCTTGTAAGCCGGGAGACGCACCCCTGTAATATTCATCCAAATGTTACACTGATGAAATCCTACTGTTCTCAACCATAACCAAGAATAAGCTAATGCCCGCATGCATAAAATGGAACCAGTACGAATCAGAATTGTGACATGGGATTGCTAGAGTGTGTGGTTATTACACAGGATTGTTAGAATGCGTGGTTATTACACGGGATTGTTAGAATGCGTGGTTATTACACGGGATTGTTAGAGTGCGTGTTTTGTTGCATCAGATCACTCAGACTTCAATTTACTCTTAGTGATTCATCTGGTCATCCACCCTGTTCTGCAGAAAGGATGCACCCTACAGGATATTTGGAGATAATTTGATCATCACTAGATTTTTTTCTCTTCAAATGTGTTCTTCTTGGTAGCCAAAACGATTATTTATGATAAAAAAAAACACATTATATCTCCAACCTGACCCATCAGACCTCAAGAATTGGATAAAATATAAAAAAGCTGTTAGTGCTGATTAGGTTATAATGTATTAATGCATTATTAATGTTGAAATACTGTACTACAATACTACTTTATTTTTATTTTTAAAATTTTAGTTAGGCTTATTTGATGTGTTGTGTATTTTTCAATAGAAAGTTATAATATAGTCTTCACATAATTCTTGAGCATGTTTCATGTGACCCTATTGTCAAAGCATAGAGTAAAATAGTAAACAGCAGTTAACAATTAATTCAAGTCAAATGAAATGTTCATATCTACAGTGAAACTGGGTTAACAGCCTGCTTTATTCTGATAACAGATGAATCCTAGTTAATCATTAACAGTAAACAGGTGCATCACTCACCAAGGTCTCCGGCAGGGTCTGTGTCAGAGCGACAGTCCAGGTAGTCCGGGTCCATGGTCAACATGGGGTCCTTATCGTCATGGAGCAGTCTGAGGGTCTCCAGATGATTCATTGCGGAAGAAGATGCGCCGAGGCATGATGAGAGACAGCTCCTTCCAGAAGACTGAAGATGGGGTCTATAGGGGTACCATGAAAATGTATTAATATCAAAGAATATAGTATATACAAAGAATATAGTATATCGTCATCATATACAGTATGTTGATTAGCAGAGCTGTTAAGTAATGAGGTACCTTATGACAAGCTTTTAGATTCACTTGGATAGGTTGCAAGATCCAGACTTTGATTCAAGTGTTGTTTTTCTTTTCTTTTTTTTTGTTTTTGTTTTCAATAATTATCCAGTAATTATTCATATTTTTGTTACATTGTATTAATGTATTGTATATTGTATATTTACTGCTTTTCTAATTTCTGAGCATGAACTATTAATATAGTTAATATAATCTCTCTTTTTGAATTTTTAATTTACAAGGGCCTATGTAAGGAAACTGTAACATGATGTTTTAAACCTTTGTTGATCATTTTATTACACGTTAACACAAACTGTACCACAGAGTTGTGTCTCCAGGTGAGTATGGTGAGGCAGTGCTGGTGCTCTGTCAGCTGCTCTTTGACCTCTGAACTAAAGCGTTTACTCTGACCCTCCAGTAGAACCAGGATGGGCCGTGGACACAACTCCAGTAAATGCTGAAAGCCCAGTCTGAACAGAACAAAACACAACAGCGCCCTCTAGTGGTGTACATCACTGACAAGTAAAATCTCATGGATTTTTCAAAGGCTCACTTGAAGTTGTTGTTGCACCAGTCTTGTTCCAGATAGGCATATGAAAGCACCACGATGAGACGCCGGGATCGACTCATGTTCATGATCAGTTCAGCAGACGGCTCTGAAAATATGCAGTGGTATCATTTACCAAAGATAAAAATATGTCACCACATTCTGTCTGGGTGTCACACACATACATCAGTTACTTAAAATGGAAGGAAATTTTACAATGGCCAAGAAATCACAAACTCAAGTGTCTTAGACAATTTTAATAATGCTGTTTAATAATGTTAAATTTTAATAATGAGGGTTTGCAACTTACATTTCTCCATGGAGATGTTATTTCTTTCCATATAATGTTCCACAGTATGGCATTAAACTTATCTATTTGCATGGAGACAAGCATATGATGCCACCTGACCAAGTTACAGGTCAGATGTGTGTAGAATCCCTCAGTCATCCAGGTAGAATCCATAGCAAAGTAGAAATTCAATTTGTCAATTGGATAAAGTTTTTTTTTTTTTGGTTGAATACGTTTCGCAGCTTGTCCAAGCTGCTTCTTCAGTTCCGGTCAGATTGCTAGTGGACACTGCCTTATATCTCCCTGAACTACACTGAAACTACTCTGAAACTAACACACCAACTTGTTTACAGTTTCTGTTAGTTAGCTAGGCCTATTGAACTGCAAGTGGGGAGTCATATTAGCATAATCATTCAGGGCCCTGATGGGTGCTTTCACACCGCTGAGCTTGTCCTGGCTATTCCTATTGTCTTCTTTGTTTTTGATTTAGGTTTGAAGATGGAGTTATAAATGTGGGACAGATGATGTCTAAGCCCTCCATTTCTGTTCAAGGAAGGATTGTCTTTTCTAATAAAAACAGCCCCTTTAACTTCCCTCTCAAACCAATTCTTTTCTCTGGCTAAGATCTGTACTTCACTATACTCAAAGGAGTGGCCCGTGGCTTTTAGGTGGAGACTGAGATCCACTATTGCGCTCGTCTGTGTTGGTACATCCTCTTGTGAAGTGGCTGTTTTGCTTCTCCAATGTAGCACTCACTGTAGTCTTCACTACACTCAATGGAGTAGACAACAATGCTTTGTTTGTGGCTCAGTATTTTGTCCTTTGGGTGGACCAGTTTCTGTTTTAAAGTGTTTGTGGGTTTGAAATAGACTGGGATCTGATGTTGTCTGAAATTCTCTGTAGTTTTTCAGAAACACCAGCCATGTAAGAAATAGTTATACCTAGTTACACCCTTTCTCCTGGGTTCTGGTTCTCTGTTGTCCTGTTTTTAGCTCTCTTTGTTTTATTGAAAGCCCATTTTGGATTTTCCACAAACAGAGAGGGCTTTCTGCCCTTACAGGTCAGATCTATGGAGAGGTGACCCAAATCACGGTCACAATGCATGTTTTGTACATGAGAGCACAAAACATGCAATAAAAACACCAGTAATTAAACAATCACAAGATAGATAATGCCATACTGTGGAACAATTCAGGAAAAGGAACAAAAGCTCCACAGAGATGAGCAAGTACCAAAAATGTTACATAGTACACCTTTAAATTAACAATATCAGCAAGTCGGTGGTGGTATTTGATCTTCCTTACCTGATCACTGATTACCAGACAGACAAAATAATATAAGATTTCTACACTTACCACCACCAGGCAGAATATCATTGTCATTGAGGTGGACTTTATATCCATTTTTATTCTCAAGATGAGGCTTCAGAATAAAATTTACAAACTTCCTGTCATGATCATTGTTCACATATGAGATGTAGGCATCATAGAGTTTCCCATCTACAATAAAAAAAAGGAGTTACAGTTTGTAATTTCATACTTGGAAATTCAAATAGAACTGGGTATTTCAGTCTTACCACTGAGTTCATAGTCTCCGTAGATATTTTTGTACCACATTTTGATATTTAGGTGACACTTGATGTACACAAGAGCAGATACACCCAGCAGGGCAAGCACCATAATGGCTCCAATGACAGCAGCCGTGTGACTTGGTTGAACTACATAGACATACCAAGAAGAAGAAGTCTAGATAAACAACATTATGATCAAGTCTTTTAGTTTCAGCATCATTAAGTTTTCTGCCAAGATGCTATAACGATGCAATAAAAGGACGTCATACCTTTGAGACATAAACTTCCCTTACAGAGCAGTTGTAAAATATTAAGTGCTGCTTTCTTGCATTGATTGATTTAGGGATTTTCCTTTAACATGGTACACAATGTCTTCTCATAAATGCAAATGGCATGACATCATTTCTGTGTGCCAAACACACAGTAATACAGTAATAGTAGTTAGTATTTTCTTACATTGTGTAAGTTCTACAGAGAACTCCATGGTTGCGTTTCTCACTCTGCAGGTGTAAAGACCAAAATCTTGGTTTTCCAGTGTGATTTCCAGCTGACTGCTCACTATCAGTTTACCTGGACCCACAGGCCTGTTAAAGAATAAATAAATATATAATTTGTTTAAATTAGTAATTTACATTTTGTGTTTATCTAAATTAATATTGTGATGATTGTGGAATCAAAATGGGTATTGAGTATTGAGCCTTGTCCTTAAAAACATCAGTTTATAGCAACATTCCCTTTATAATTCCAGTGTATTGAAAACTGGTTCCAGACATGTATTGTTTCAAGATAGACTTTTGTGACATTAACTAGATCTAAATGTAATATATATACAAAAAAGTAAAGTTAACCAAAGTGTGGAATTATTATTGTCTTTTCCTTTAACCCAGGGTTCACCAAACTTTTTTTCTCTGGGGGCTGTTCATAACTGCACTACAGTACTCTGTGCGTGCGTTGACTGTCACTGTTTGATCTAGAGCTTGTCAGGTGATGAAAATTTGGAGGCAAATGTAAATATTTCATATAATTATTAAAAAATAAATATAAATACTTCATTTAAATATAATTTGGAATTGAAAAAATCCACAAAATGCAAGATGCAAACATGTTATTATTTTCCAAAAAGTAATTTAAAAATTAGGCCATGATAACTTTTGAGGATTGCCTCATAGGGCCAATTCAAGAAGTGGGGGGCACAGGGGCTGGGGGGAGCGGTCAAAGGAGCTTGGTGGGCCAGAGTTTGATGATCCCTGCTTTAACCAAACGAAAGCCTGAATGGATCTTTGACTTTTTCTTTTAATTCTAAAACCTAAAAAGTATTTCAGAATGATTCCACATATTGTCCCAATATTCTAAGATACTATTGCGTTCTAGCAGGTCTAAGAACAGTTTTACCAGGTGGATATTTTCATCAGAGGGTGGTGGGTGATGTTCTGTCCATTATGACTCCAGTGCATGGCGGTGTTACAGTGGCTTGGGTCCTTTGGGTGCCAGAGGAGCAAAGTCGTACAATTCATTATAACTGTCTCTCCCACATTCCTGTGCAGTGTCATCCGACCTCCATCTGGGATGAACTCTGGCTCTGTGGAGCAGTTCCTCTCTGTGTAAGAACATACCAGGTTTATCTGTGTTCAATACAAAGGATGCCTTTATGCTTTACCAGGTCTGGTCAGACTGCTATGTGGAAATGAAATGCCTTCCCACAGGTGGAGACAACCTCAGCTAACATACCATAATAGGTTCACATATGTTCAATTATTATTATTATTATTATTATTATTATTATTGACATGCGACATGGTTCAAAAAGTGTGGTTGATGATCTTATTCCGGTAATAGGCTAATTCCTCCATAGCCCAATTATTTGCTGAGTTTAATCTGTACTTGTGTCCTCCTTTGGGCCATTCCGTTTTTATAATGATTGCAGCAATTGCGCCATCCTACTGTATGTTAAGAACTGTTTTAGCCCTGGTTTAGATTGAGAATAGTCCTGTTTTATACCTGGTTTAGATCTGGTGATATCTGGAAGGCCAATATTTTCTGCAGTGGCAGGGTGGTGTAAAATTTTTGACAACCGCTGGAAAAAAAAAACAGTTGGTGCTACTGCTGTCAAAAAGGTACAAGACTAAAGTATTAAAATGTGCCTGGTTGGTTGAAAAATGACTAGCCAAGTTTCTGCAGTAATACAAACAGCTAATTTGATGTCCGGAAATAGTAATATTTTTCTTATTAAGAATCTAGATAATCATTAACACAGAACAAATAGGTACCAGAAAAAATATTGTTCTGGTATAGTTTAGATAAGCAAAAGAAATGAACAGTGTCCAGCCCTATACATAAATATAGTTTATGCTTACCCTGAATGATCAGTCTCACTGTATATGATAATGAGCCGTCATTGCCATTCGCACAAGTATAGTTCCCCTGGTCTTCTACATTCAGTGTGATGAACTCCAGGTAGGATTTCTCTGTTTGAGAGTGCAGCTGCACACAGTCTTTGAGCCATGTTATCTGCGGAGACGGATCTAAAGGACACTGTAGACGGTATGAGGGAAACTGCTCGCCAGCAAACAGCACCTGCTCCGTCACACGTCCAGGATCCACACAGCTTTGAGCTAAAAATGAAGAGAGAGAAACTCTTTGTGATAAATGTTATTATTGTATTTAGTTCATAAATCAAAGTTTATTCAAACATATTAAAATAGTAAACTGTCAATGCGAGAAGAAATACTCAACACATTGGAGTAAAGAACATTTAAATCTAGCCATACCTCCAAGGTGTATTAACCTATAGTGATGCAAATCATAGATAAAGCCATTCATAAAGACATGTCAAGGGCCACTTGAGGTGTCCTTACGGAGGCGTAATGAAAAAATTACCCAATAATACATAAATAATGAGTAAGTAAGTTTTTTTATTCATGTAGTGCTTTTCACAGACATTTTGTCACACAGACGCTTTACAGAGCATTATTCAGTCACTCCACACCCGGTGGTTGTAAGCTACTATTGTAGCCACAGCTGCCCTGGGGCAGACTGACTGAAGCACAGCTGCCATTCCAATCGGTGCCATTGGCACCATAGGTCCCTCTGACCACCACCATCACTCACACACACTCCACATTCATACTAGCTAATGCGGGTGAAGTGCCTTGCCTAAGGACACAATGACAGTTTTTGCAACTGGCGAACCACTGTGGCACCTGATTTTCCCAGTGGTCTCCCATTCAGGTACTAACCAGGCCCTGCACTGCTTAGCTTCTGAGATCTGTCAGGATCAGGCTTTGACAAGCTGGTATAAATAATAATATGTACATTAAATGAACATTTGCATGTGATGTTGTGATATTACATAAATCTGAGAAAATCATTCTTTAAAAAAAAAAAAATCAAAATAAAAAGAAAGCAACATCTGCAAATGCTCTAGGCCTATGAAAATGTAGCCTACAGCTATTTGCATAAGGCTAGTGGGTACAAAAACTTTGCATAGTCTTTCTACAGCAGGTAACTATCAAAAAAGAGTATATTTATTGACAGATTTATTGACAGTTGATTACACGCTGTGGGTTCATAATAATTTAGATGGATTGGTTCAACACAGTAGACCTATATACAGTAGATAATAATAGACTAAAACAATAAAAATAAACGTAAACGTATAGCGTAAGTAGCCTAAATGAGACTCGTTTTTCAAGTTTGGCGTATGCGCGTGACCAAAACCAATAACCGGCCGAACCAGCTGCGTATACGGCGCCGTTTACCCACAGTCGCGCTAGTGTCCACAGTATCTGAGCTTTTATTTCTCTGTTTTTCCTTCAAACACTGAAGGCTGCAGCAGACCCGGGTCTAAAGTCTGGGACTGGTTACTAAGCAACAGCATGTGACTGTGCGACAGATTGTGTGACTCCGCACGCTCGAGCCGCATGGGACCGACCTAATATTTACCCAGGTCAAGTTGCATCCCGCAGTCCTTTTCTGATGCTTTCAAGTGTATCATGGGAATTACATACTAATTTATAAAAAAATAGGTTAGGTCAAAATCTGTGTCTCAAGGCAAATATCTTTACAATCAAATAAATGAACTAATTCCCTTACCGACTACGAGGGAGGACGTGTCAGACAAGCCGGCGCACAGCAGAAGGAAGACGGCTAACCTGAAAGCCATAAAGATGCCTCCTTAGTCTTTAAGTGGAAGTTGGAGGTAGTTAAATCATACCTTTTCTAGTAATAATGCGTTAACAAGGCTGTAGTTGTAACAGTTGTAACACCTGTGTGTGTCTAGTAGGCGACAACTACAAGGACACCAGCCTCCACTTTCATACACTTACCTGAAAAACACCGAAACTTAACACTCTATTGGCTCTAGGTGATCACGTGACATGCGCGTCAGCTTTCACCTGTTTAGATATTAACCTGATGCGAATAAAGAAAAAGCAGCACTTATCTATGAGCGGCACTTCCTCTTCAGTTTGGGTAAATAAATGCTGGTGGTATGTATAAAAATAAACACCTAGTGCCAATAATCTCTAAAATGTGCAGCAAACAATGACCAGGACAGAAATATATTTTAATCAACATATAATTTAAATAATAAAAACAAAACAAAAAACATACTTCAGTAGTTTACATTAATTGGCATGGCAGTAATGACACTTGATGAAAAGCGCTTTGAGTGCCTCAAAGGTGGAAAAGCACTATATAAAAATGTGACCATTTACCATGACACTGTATCACAAGGCTCAAACTAAATAAGGCAACACTGTAATAACGTACAGTGCAAGAGCAGTATAAAAATGTAAACCTTCAAAAAGCACATTACAGAGTATAGGGATTCAGCAGTATACAATCATTGCATCCTTGAAAAAGCGTATACTCGCCCTGCCCAAAGCTGTAACTGAGCACTTAATACAGTTTAAGAGTGTTTCACATTGTGAGTCCATTGGCCTGTATTTCATATCAGATCGTAACCCAGGACACTGTGAATACTTCACAGCCCAGCCACGCATTTTGCATTGACTGTCAACACATTTTAATGCACAAGGCAACAGGGTCATAAGGCTATTATGCTTCAAATGACCTGAAAAAAATTTAAGAAAAATTTTAAAGTCCAGCAAAATTACTTTAGAATAATCAATAACAGTGTAGTATGCGAGTTATGTGTGACCTACTTGAGTTCCTCTTTCAGCCGGTTGAGTTTATCAAACAATTTGTCATTTTTTACTTCCATAGGAGCGCTTGGAATGAACCAGGATGCTATGAATTTACAGATGACAAGAACATGCTGCAAACACACAATGTAAAGAATGTGAGCTCATAGAGTATGTTGTGGGCTGGATCAGGTTTTAACTGTAAGAAAATAGAAAAATTACTAACCTCAAACAAGATGACAAATGCAAACCGCACTGCCAAAATTAACCAGTACTGAGGGGTCAGACTGTAATCTTCATTGCTCCGATAGTCTTTATAGCTATAACAAAAGAGACCAACATTTTTGTATATTTGTAAAGATTCTTCAGCACAGTAAACGTTTCTTTTAATTATGTTTTGTAAGTACCATACCTGCAATACGAGACATTCATCCCACTAGGGGTCACCATTTGACTTGCTGAGAACTCATTGTATATGCCCTGGTCTTTGACATGTGCTATAGAAAGGGTGTTGTTGATGTATCCCTCCATACAACTGAAAAAGATGAGTATTTATATGTAAGTAAAACAAAATCATGACTGCTAATTCAAATGATCAAATTAATTACTACTTACTCAGTATCTGTAGCTGTTCCATTGGCACAGGGACCATAGAGGTAACGGTACACCAGTCGAGGAATGAAGTCTGATGATACTCCAATGACCAGTCCATTTGCAATAACAGCTAAAACTCCAATAGCTTCAAGCACATGTATCCATACACCTGGTGAGGAACAGCAAGCAAAGAAAATAACTTCAGCCTAAAAACAAAGATCCATACAACAGGCTCCTACAGCTCCGCTCATACAAGTCTACATTCATACCATACACCATACAACTGTACAACTCACCCTTATGTAATAGATAACTTTCTGTCACATGTCAGTCACTATTTCATCTTTGCACTTTTCTCCTTACCTTCTTCTTGTATATAGCTGAGATATATTTGTATTACTATATATATTTTTACTGGTACATATACATTTATAAGATTATGCCTTATTAGACCCCAGTCTCTTGATATCTTGCTACTTATTTTAATTTGATTTTTGATTGATTTTGCTATTTTTTATTACAATATATTGTGATGTGTGAGCTACTGTGTCCAAATTATTTCCCTTGTGGACTAATAAAATTTAACTAAGTATGCGTCATACCATTCTCAAACACCTACGACTCCAATTAGTCTTAGTATTTGATAATTAATAGGATCAAAACTTAGCTATATCTATAATGTAATAGGTAGGTCATAAGGATTAAAAGTGTACTGCTTGGGTTTCTTACCTATGTCATTGGTCTTCTTTGGGACAAGTCTTCTCTCCAGAGTGACCATCTTAATAGCATCCAACCGTATCTCTATGATGTTATTGAGGAGTGCAAGTAGAGGAGCAAGAGGAAATGCAGCCACAAAAATAGTGGTGAAGCTGAATTGGATCACTGTAAAAAAATAATGCAAGAAACATCATTAGCTGATATATAGTTATAGATATTTTTGGTCTGATTTTTGTTTGCATACCCATCTCCAGAAACTCATTGAAAAGGCTGAAAGAGTCAACATCATTGAGGCGGTAGTTGCTGAGCCAGTCTCGAAGTTTGCAGCTTTCACACAGTTCAGACCCAGAGTCCAGGGTGTCATCTTTGTGATAACAGTGACCACATTTTCTCTGCAGTTTCTGTGTCCTTCTCCTCTTCAACCAGCGTGAAAACCACCTGAAATTAATACAAACATATCACACCACTTATCACAGTAATTAAGTAAAATTGTTAGAAAAAATAAAGGACTTACGGGCCAGTGAACTCAAAGACATTGCTAATGGTTTGCTTCAGTACCATTATAAATGCCATTTGGATAAACAAGTCAGTCAGACATCCACTGGGGTGACACTGCAAACAGAACATAAACATTCAAACTCCCAATCCGACCACCAAAAATACACAACTGATTTAATTATTGTGTTTAGTTACCTCTTCAAGTCTCCATATTCCTGCTATGCGCACGTAACCACCAGGATGACCGTTTATTCTGGTAATGAATAGATTTCATAGAAGTGAAGAGGAAGTATAAGCTTGTATGATACTTTGCAGTGACATCATGCTGGGGGTGTTCTACATGTTTTTCTATGCTGAAATTTCAGAAGTTATTATGGTGACATGATGCATACATTAGCAAACACTGTCAAATCATTTTAGATTGTCTGAAAACTCAAGAAAAAACAATTTCAGGAGCCTGTGGTCAATACAAGCATTCATGGTCCTGTGTTTGATTTTCAATAAAAAGGTGAGAGTGCCTAATGAATAAACATTGGTTAATATGAGCTAGCTTGTGATTGTAATTTTATGTGTGAGAGACTTGTTTAACAGCACAAATCATCTCACCTGTTGTATTTCCAAGTAATAAGTCAGTTCTAGTCAGATTGCATTAAAATAAAGCTCAGACTCAAATCTAACAAGCCTCAGAGCAGAGCCTCTAACATCACACCCCAGGCAATGTTGATGACATCAACTGCAAAGTATCAATGTTACGTAAGCATATAGTGCATTCTCACCTGCCAAGAAAAAATGCCACATAAAAGAGTGAGGAGAAATAAGTGAAGAACTGAAAGGTGAACATCTTGATGGTGAAGCTTCTTTCAGTTTCAGCAAATGATCTGGTTTTCTCTGTAAAATACAATACAATCTTCCACAGTTCATCCAGGACAGGGCAGCTTAAAACACTATTTAATCTGTTGATCACATTTCTTCAAATAATCAGCAAAATTAGTACTTTTGTTTTGTGTATATACAACAGTGGAGACAACTAACAAAAAATACATAAATAAACTAAAAAACAAAAAATAACTTAGAAGTAATTTTTGGGATAATCTTAACACTTCATAGTATTAATCTTCATGCAAGCATCTAAAATGTTCATTAAGATATTTGTAAAACTAATTTACCTAATTCACACAGCTTCATGGCTACAATCCTGTTTATCTGCAAAAAAATAGGGAAAAATATCTTAGTTATTTTACTTATTTTATGGATTTATTTTGTGAAATATTAAAAGTTCTGCATACCCTTGTCATGACAATAATGATGACATAATGAAAAAGAGCCCCCAACATCATGGCCCCACTGTTGGAGTGTGTGCTCAGAAACTCCGATCCTTCAGCCAAAAACACAGCCGCAATCACTCGAAAAACCACCAAGGCGTGAGTCAGACCAATGATGACCAGAATCTGAGGAAAATATTACTGCCTTAACTTTCCAAAGGGAATCAGCTTGGAGCACAATTATTTCAGAAAAATCACATGTCACCCACCATTAATGTCACACAGATCAAAACTAGTGTACTTCGCAGGTAAGAGTGCTTGTACTTTCGGGGTTCACAGTTAACATTGTTCACGATTTGCAGGATCAGTTCCTCCTACAATTATTTAACAGCATTGGATGTATATCATGTCATGAATCATATAGTAGGATAAATATGAGCAGAAGTACACACACAGAGGGGTCATACCTCCTCTTCTGACCAGTCTGACACTTTCCACTCACAGACGTAACATGCACGATGACGCTTCCAAAACTCAAGAAACAGAGTTGCTGTTAAATGTAGCAAGAAATATACTTCTGTGAGTAAAACATTTAAATATAACCTTAATTGTAACGTTCTGGTCATTCAGCATTTGTAATTGCACGTTTTTCATGCAGACATTCAAATTAAACCAGTTTGAATATTCAATAAAGTGGTATTATCCCCATAATAAACAAAAACTAACCTAACAAATAGGGAGTTTTTCTTCCTCCAAAGGGTGCTCAAACCCCCTAATATCAAGAAACCACTGAGGTCTTGCATATGCAATTGCATATGTGCAATATGCAATATGCAACTAATTATAAGAATATGCAAATTTCCTTGGCAAATACTGAATACAGAAATTGTATGTGTATACACACACACACACACACATATATATATTTTAAAGTACAGTCTAAAGTTTGCTGGACCACCCCTATAACAGATGGCCTCGATGAAAAAATAATCGTCAGAAATTTGTCTGGGTGACGTGCCATCAGCTGGGTGCTTTTACACCCAAGTGTAATATAAAAACTCAAGGCCCAAGTATTTAATCTCCAGAAAATAATTAGAAATGACTTACCCCAAATTGCCATGAACATCGCAAAGAACACAGTGCCATTGTTGTCAAAGAGAAGTGTCACCTAAAAAAGTAATTTTGTTATCATTTTTACATTTTACATTTTTATTAAAATCGTGTACAATCAGTATTCACACCCAAAATAAGTAAAATAAATAAATTACCGAATAACAAAACAGATTCTAAAACAGTCCTGAACCAAAGCTAAAGAAGAACAAAATATGACCAGATACTGTGGTCTATATCACTGAGTCATGTGTTAATGAAGCCTAAACCAAGGGCTTAACAGTGACCCCCTTTACGAATGTTGAAATGAATGGTTAGTCATAGCCTCTGTAGTACTATCAGCAGTGCATAATAACATTACTAAATAGTGGTTGTAGTAGTAACTGGTAGTGACACTAGGAACTCCTTTTGTGAGACAATTTGTGTGCTTAAAAAGTCTCTCACATATAAATTACAGTTCGGTTAGTCACTCTCACTCTTTTTTGTTGAAAATCTAACTCCTAAACAGGACCACAAACTCTCATATTGACCACAGGGTCAAGAAAATGTGTTGTTTAAATCCATTTTGTAGATTTAGATTTTGTGAGTTTGCAGACTATCTTAAAACTTTTTTGTCTATGTTTGCTAATATGTGTACTGTGTCACAATGTAGAGCACCCCCAACATGATGTCACTGCAAATTATCAATAGTAAGATCTTAAAACATAGAGATACATACCTTGGCATAAGTGCAGGTTTCAGAGAGCATCCAGACTTTACATCTTTTATCACAAAGAGGACACATGACTGTGTCTGACTCACACACCTCCTTTCTACAAAGGGAGAACATCTTAAAACAAAACTTTCACAAAGGTATAATAAAGTATGGCCCCATCTTTTCTTACATTAAGGGTGAAGTGTTGAAGAAGGCCAGTCCATAGAGAAACACAATGACCCCAATGACAGCAGGTGGGATGAGCAAATACGTGTACCAGCCCAGCCACAGGTAGTAGAGGGCCACTTTCTCCCCAAAGTAGTTCCTAAAATACACATACATATAATCTGATCATGTCTATACATCTTTTAATTTACAGAGTGGATAAATTTTTTTTATTTTGTTTCACACATTAATGCCTCATTGGCTCAGGTTGCGATATTAGCCAAGTAAGTAAGTAAAGTAATGAAAAAATAAACAGTAATTCATATAATCTAGTTGCTTTCAGTGACCACATTTCTTATTTACACAAACTGTCAAATACAGGTGTGAAGTAGGGAAAAAGTAGCACTTGTTTATGCTGCACATCACAACTGAGTGAAGCATCATTCTAAGTGCAATCCTAAGCAAAGGTTGCAAAAGGTAGTGGGCGGGTGCTCAAATATTGGCTGCTGTCAATACTTGAGAGTGCTTCACAGTGTCATAGATGGAGAGAATTATTGGCACAATAACGACAATTGTGGTGAGAAACATAATAACTGGGTAGTGCGTTGCAGTGCGAACCTGACAGCAGTTATGGGTTGCCCTTGGAGACAGGCTGTCCATCGAGCCCAGTTTTCCTTCAGCTCCCTTTGTTTCTTTTTCTGACACAAAAACACAAATCACCCACATCATTTACACAGCTGAAATACAGATCAGTTTGAAACGGTTTATATAAAACTTATGTGTCTATGTGTCCAAATATGTCCATCTAAGGCTGATATTCAGACGCTGCATTAGTCATGTTAATGTTACTCAGGTAGCTTTTGTTCATGAAATACTTCAGGCACTTATGCATTGCTTAATAAGGGCTGTGCCAAGTTTCACAGTTCACACAAATATGTATGTCAATATTAATATGTAATACCACATTGTCATTGTCTTAGATGCTTTAACTGTAACTTTGTTGTCTATGAAGTAAAGATTATGTAGTATTTACCTCATGTAAACAGAATTTAGCCTCAAAAACCTTCATCTTCATTAGATCTCGTATGCCCTCTGAGGAAAATTAAACATTACGTTATTTCTTAGTTGGCAAACTATTCACTAGGCCTGTCAAGATAACTAATTTTTAACAGCGATATATTTGTGACGTAAATATAGATGATAAATGATAATATTTAAACCTAACCATAAAGCAGGATTATCCCCAAAAAGTATTTTACATGTAGAATATTGTAAAAAAACATGAGCTGCTATAAATAACCCCTAAAAGAATGCAAAACTTAAGTAGTTTGTTTGTCTCTATAATGAGTCATAGAAGTTTATAATTCTACCCTGTAGAGCTCAAATTTCATTGTAGTACAAAATAAACAACAACTAAATTTCCCATTGTTCTTGTTCCCACTAGCAATTGTAAGAAAAAGAAAAATATTGACCCCAATAATTATTGTTCCATCTATCATGTATTGAACGATAAGTTGATATAGTAATTATCGTGACAGGCTTACAATTCACATTTCGTGTGGTCTCACCTCCCGTGTTAGGCAGTTCAGTGTGATTCAGAATGAAATGGACAATCCTTATCCTGAAAAATAAAGGTATTACTTCAGCTGAGTTTATTTAAAATACAACAATTATTTAAAACACAGCTTAAACTTAATATTTGCCACTGTTTACCTGGTGCTGAGGGGCACATTGTTTTGGTCCGAGCTCCAGTTACAGGCGTCAGACACTTTCAGTAGATACCTGTACCTATCAAAAATCTCTTTTGGCGCTTGAATCCCATAAAAGACCAGATCCTCATCTATAATTTTCTAACAAAATGGAATCACAATTAGACCTTTGTATTATCTTCTGTTCATTCATCTTTACACAATACTCACTGTAACTTTGAGATTCTTCTTTTTTAACTCTTCAATAAATTTTGTCTGTTTCTTGTAGGCGTGTGTCTCTTGGTTTTCCAGTGTTTTGGCCACCAGCACATAGTCATATGAGAGCGGAGTGTGCTTTGAGTAGAAATAAATTTGGCTTTTATTGCATTTGTCTATGTATTGTGTGGGCTAGTGAAATCAACTGAATGAATTAACACATCATACCACAGGAGGAAAGGACGTCTGATCACTGCCATTCTCCTTCACGACTCCCATCAACTCCAGGAATTCAATACTGGCCTTTAAAACAGAAACTCATACATGATTAGGGTTCATTCAATATTTTCAGGACAACTGAATAAGCTATTTTTTAAACCTTGCCTTAAGAGAAAAAACAAACCAGTCATTCATTTGGGAGGTGCGCCAGTGTGAGAAACCCCATGCACCTGACTCACACAGAGGACTGTCATCACAAAACCAGCTAACCCAAAACTGACTACTCAACATGGCATGAGCTCCCTGCCAGTCAACCCTGCCTAAATACAAGCCAAGAATATGAGGTGTGGTGAAGACTACAAAGCAAGATGCGTGCGTAAAATGTTTAAAATATTGATCGTATATGACATTGCTGTTGGCTAGCTCAGTCCAGACAAAAAGCTAAATAAATATAACTTAAATATTGTACTATATGAGCTAGCTGGAAACATAAATCGTTTCTTTTTGAAGGACAACGTAAAATAACTTCACATACCTGTCTCCTGTGACCCTTCTGCATGATGATAGGGCGCTGAATGCAGAAACGAGCTGTCAATTCAATGCCAAAGAAGCACCACGAACCAGACTACCAGAGCTGTCGGCGGTGTAAACACATGTAGCCTATAAAACGACATGAGTGAACTTCCGTACCTTTCCTGGGAAGGGACGCATTGTTGTTTTTTAGGCTGAGGAATGTAAAAGCCACTCTACCTGTTGCTGTGCTCTGATTTATAATGTTGCACCATGCGCACGCCGCCTCACCTCTCTCTCATTTGTTGACATTGTCTATCTGTACAAAGTGCAGATGTAAAATAAAGGCTATAGTCTATATCATCTCCCGTGAATTAAAAAGGACTCAATAACAAGACCCTCGCTATTGTGGTGCGATGGCATGACATATTCTTCTGTTACGTTTCTCCCCTCCTACTCTCAAGTGATGTGAGTTATACGGTCTCGCCACTAGATGGAGACAAACATAGCGTCTGTAGGCGACGGGGACCGTGACTTGGGCTCTTCCCACACAGAGGAGCGCAGTGGTGACATTTACCATGGGAGTGAGTCATGACAATTGCAAACGCCGAAACATCTCCCTGTTTGAGTCTGATGAGACATAGCTACATTTATAAGCTTGGAAAAGAGTAACAAGATAAACAATTGCAGAAGATGTTCACCACCATAGATTTATTGATACTTTACATTTTGAGGCTATGTTAGTCTTTAATCTCTGCTTTATTTTAACACAGTCTGACCAGAAGGAACTGATTTAGTTGGAACTACATTAGGATAGTTGATTTGTTAAACAAGACTCATATAAGATTACAGTCACAAGATAGAGAGCATTGGCCAACAGTTTTTCTACCCACACACTCACCATTTCTGTTGAAAATCAAGCTCCTAAACAGGACTATGAACGCTCATATTGATCACAGGCTCACGAGTGTTGTTTAAATCAATTTTATGGTTTTCTTGAGATTTCTCATAATCTTAAAACTTTTTTTTTTTTGCTAATGTGTGCACTATGTCTCCATGGTAACTCCTAAATATTCCACCATTAGAGATGCATGTAGAACATTCCCAGCGTGATTTCACTGCAAGTAGATCTTTAATGCCAGATAAAAGAGTACATTAATCAATCATGTTTTGAATTTTATTGACTTATAGTCAGTATGCTATATGCTCAGTTAGGCTACAGCTATTTTGATGCATGCAGTTAAAGAAATGTGGAAATATTAATGTTATTAATATTATATAAAAGTTTAAGGGAAAAGGTGCATTTAAGTTATCAATTAAGTGAGAGGAACTCAGTGTATTCTGGAAGACATAAAAACTGTGCAGCCCTTTTATCAGCATTAAAAATATTGATAATTTTCCCCCACAGGCTGCAGTGAAACCTCAGTTTCCAGATAAGGCATATTCACTGAGAAAAAAAAGGTTACTCGATTGGCGTAAAAAAGTTATGGAAAGCGGTTGCATGCAATAAAATTATGTTTAGGCTTTGAAACTTATTTTGATCCTCTATACACATATTTTTCTCAGAACATGAATGTCACCTTTTCATGTTGATGAAATTTGATCAAATCATGCTGAATATGCATATTTATCTTATGTTGCCTTACGGTGAAATGTATAAGTATGTATAATTTCATTTAATTGATCTAATTCTGTAAAATAATACAAAAACAGTCGTTAGTTTTCCACAGTTCTGTATTGTCTTAAACAGAATCAAACACACAGAGAGCACAAGTACAGAGACACACAGTTTGGAGCTGGACAGTGTGATGATTTATTCCAGTGAAGACGCTCTGGTCTCTGCCTGTGGACACACGAATAACACATGATGATCACATTATGATGATCTACTCTGTTGTACATGTTTAAATACATTTAAAGCACTTATTACTACAATAATGGACCAGAACAGAATCACAAGAACCTTAGAACTGTATCTGCAGAAACAAAACTCACCATGTGCTGCTTTTCTTCCTCTAAACACAGTAACAGGGAGGGCATCTGGTATAAAGTCCTCCTAGTGCCACATCACCCTGTAGAAACACGATAACTGTTTCAAAAGGACGTTCATTTTGAAAAATTTGTTTAAAATCATTTTAGTTGAGTTACTTACTTTGTTCATCTGTGGTCTGTGTTTTGATGGTTCTCAAACATCTTCCTTTTTTCTGAAACATCAGCTGTAACATTCATGAACTTCGCCACAGCTCCAGCAGAGCTCTGGACGTCACTCTGTGTTTGCAGACGACTCTGGAAACAACACATTAAAATCTGAGTACAACTGTCACAATCTTGATGGACAGTCAAATACAATTTGTTTCATGGAAACAGTCCTTACATTAACTCTACTTTCAAATAAAACACCACAAACATGTTTTAACAATGACGACATTCTAGGCCAGAGAAGCAAATAAAATCTTTGAAAAGTCTTATCTCCAGATCAGCTCTCATAATCCTCCTGCTCCACACTGTGTCCTCTGCTCCTGTAACTGTCCTGTGTCCTGCGACATTTGAATTTTCCCTCCAAAAGTTTTGGGGAGGAGAATTCCAGAGGGAGGAGCCTCACCAGAGATTATAATAAAGTCATGTTTCCTCAACCTTTAAGAATTAAAACATGCAGATCTAACATCGACCACAATCAAGCGACCTTTGTAAGATTTAAACATGCTGGACAGAGAAACGTAAAAAAGTCATGTTATTGTCAAATTAGTTTTTGCAATTTGAGCAACCCCTCTCGGACCATTTTTTCAGTGTTTACAATTTAATTTAATTTAATTTAATTTACATACATATGACAATATGTCCACTTTGTTCAGTAATGCTAATTCTTGGTTTGTATTACTAACCTTCCTCAGACATTACTGATGCCGTCTGACATGGCATTATAGATACTCTTTATCTTGGATTCTTGCAAAACCCTTTTCATGTATTGGAGATTAAGATGGATGGGTTTCAATTTTAAGCCTCCAAAAACGTTATATATAATAGCAAGGCCCAAAGGAACTAATTGTAATTGTAATTCATATTTCCTAAACTTGGCCTGCCTGTGGCCCTAGATACAAGGTAAACATATTCATGTCAAAAAGCTTTTATTATTAGCAGTTGTAATGCAGATTTATATTTTGGTTCACGAAAAGATTCCCATCAGAAAACAAAATGGACCTCACTTGTAATCCATTTGGGTTGCAGCTTCAATGCTGAAATGCAGTGGGTCTAGATCTAAAATACCTCCGTCTGACGTAAATTCTAATGTACCTTTCTTAAAAAGTTAGAGCACAAACTGTAAAGAGTTCCAAGTAATATAACTATAATTTTATAGCAAATTTTGAAAAGTTTCACAAATTATTGTTTCCAAAAAACACTTGTTCCAGTCTCAGTTGTGCATCTTTTCCACTGCTGTTACATGTGATTTATCTTGTACCATAAGAGAAACTAACATGATGGGTGGCCTCTGCCTTGTTATTAAGGCTGATTTTCACCAGTGGTCCTCAAAACTCTGAGGAGAACAGTGCACACCCAGATGCACCCACATGTTTCAGAAGCAGTCGATTCGAGATCCAAGTAAATGTGGTCCACCAAATAAGTAGCTGTATTTTGGTACACCGGCACACCCCACATCACATAATTACAGTAGTGTTAGCCACTTTAAAGCTAACACAGAGAGCAGAGACTGCTCCTAAATCTGCCTTGTGAAGGGCAGAGACAAGGAGGTGGGAGGACCAGATCAACCCTTTAACTATCTCAGATGCCCTGTCAGACTAGATGGATAGTGACTGAAAAGGTGCCATACCCCTTGATATTGAGTACAACGGACATAGCCTCTAAAATCTTAAAGATGTGTAAAAATCTGCAGTGTTGCTATACACATGTTCAGTCTTATGGCTAATAGAAACAATATGTTTCTACAAATTTTTTTTTTTAATTATCTGTGTATAACTCTTCGATTTAAGTTAATAATGTCCCATATGATCCAAAGTGTGCTTTCTATAGGCTGGCCAGTATAGCCGTTCTGGTGGGGGGGGGGGGGGGGGTCTGACACCATCTTGACCTCCTATGCCTTGAATGTTCCACAATATGGCATTAAACATGTTTATTCAGTGTTATTAGATTTTCTCAAAAGTACGTTGGATTTTTTTTCTGATTTGCAACTTGGCCTCGTAGCCTCTCCTGCTTGTCTGCATGGAGACTGGTGAAAAAAGTTACACAGTGCACCATTTAACGAAAGGCCATAACCATTAAAAATAAAACTGAATAACTTCCTAGTATAATCACTTCCTCTAATATTCTAATTTGTAGTTAGCCAGTACCTGTTGTGATGTTAGTAAAAGGGCAAACAAAAAAGTTGAGAACATTTCCATTATCCTTATTCCCAGTTGTGCAGATTTATAGGCTGGAGAACGCGGTGGTGATGTTGCGCACCCGAGGCTACATATTTTTAGGCGCAGACTCGCTCTTGTCGCTTTGGGCTCAGACTATTAGACTATTGGCTCGTGGTGCAGAGCCACTCCCCTCTCTTAGCTCCTCTGGTCCCATGCGCACTGAGCGGCCAGAGGGGAGCGAGGGCAAGCTGGAGCGGACCTGTCTGTCTGACCGTGGGGTTTGCCTTGGGCGACTTTACACGGGACCTGCTGTAAGGAGGAAGGCGGATCCGGGTTTATATGAAGACCACCAGACACCGCGTGCAGCATGCATCGACTCTCGGGCAAACGAGGAGGGGACGGTCTGATTGAGATGAGCCCAACAGACTCCTTCAATGGTCGGTAAACTCTTTATTAGGCACTATTTCTGACTTGGATATCATTTTGAAAGCTAGCGTACATCAAATTGGCCTATTTTAGATCAGAAGGCTACACTAGCAACTTTATTACCTTTCTGACCATATCTTAAATAAACTTAAATCAAGTTTTCATATCTGCATTGAAAAAGGTGATATACTCAAGTGGAGCACATTTTTATATAGATACCAACATTATATCTGCTCCCCCAACAACTCTGGACCAATGTAAACAGTAAGAACCCTTGCTCTATCTATAAATAGCATGGTGTCTACTCTGCCTGGACAGATTGGTGGACAGATTGCTTTAATAGCTGGCATATTTTCTATAAGTAACCCTTCAAAAGTGAAAGTTGGTAGGCTACTACTGTATGTGTTAAAGCTTTTTTCCATGTTTCAGTTTGTCCCTGTACATCTGCATGTGTTTATTTTCTAGCAGTGCCTCTAGCTAACCCAACAGCAGCTGGCCTGTTGACTGGAAACACTTGGTCATGACAGACAGCCACTGTAACCGCCAGTACAAACCCCCAAATCCACAGTTTTATCTAAATGACACCTCTTAACAAATAGCTAGACTTTCTACTGGTTCTTTTTGCCTTGTATGGACTTGAATAGTGTCTGAATAACATTGCATTTTCTTTGCTGACTCACTGAAATTAATGGCTGGCCCAGTGCTTTTTGAGAGAATCATAATATAGGCCTACAGTAAAATGAGGAGTACTAAACCTGCAGTCGGCGTTGCCATGGTGCTCTCTGTTTATTGATTTGCATGTGTACTGTTTACCTTTTCCATCTCAGTTAAATTTTTAATGAGTTTGCTGGAAATCAATTGAAAGTTTGAGTAAGAGTCCAGTTATGTTGTCAAGACAAGGATCCAAGCTATTGACAATTAGAGCAGTTCTGAGAGGGAGTCCCAACTTGTGTGCATAATGAAAATTTACATTAAAATGCAAATCAGTTCACAAACTCTAACAGGCTACTGCGTTGATCATGTCAGTCCCCGCTAGCCCACGTAGGGAGGGCATCAGGAAGAGCTTTCGAAACGTGTTGGCCTATAATATATGAAAATGCTAAATTAGAAATACAGAAGGAATAGAAACAACATAGTGGAAAAAACATGTACAGTGTCTAAACTTTGTAGTGCATAATGTAGCTTGTGTGACTCTCTCAGTTCATTTCCATTTTGACTTCTAGCACTTGTTTGTATGTGTGTGTGTGTAACTAGCTACAGATTTCTGACCTCTGAGCTTCCAGTTGGAAAGTTTCAATATTTGGAAGTGAAACTGGGTTAAGGTTTTCATCATTCAGTAAATTGTATGTGATGATTTTGTTTGGCTCCAGTGTACCTGTTTAAAAAGAAAAAGCAGTTTGGCTAAAGTAACTATATGAATACATTTAAACAGCCTTGTGGCATTTTTGTAATCAGCTGCTCTCAGTTGAACAAAGATGTAACTGTGGAGGAGAAAACACAGTAGCTAATGCTGGGCCTCCATACTGTGGCCAACTGTGCAGAAATATGCTCAGCTGTTTGTTTATTCCTTGAGATTAGATGTAGATTTGAACTGGATTAAAACAAAATTACATGTAGAACTAGACTGATAATATCCATATAAGATTTAAATTCATTAACATAATAGCCTGGTTACTTTCAGTACTTTCAATTGTAATTTGGGAGGTAATATTTAAACCTTGGAGCCCTTTTGAAAGTTATCCATGATCTAATTAGAATTCAAATAATTATTCATTTTAGTCAACAAAATATTATTTACAACTAACTTAAAAATGGAGCCCCTTTTGATTAATTTGAGATGTGTTCATGTTCATACTCAGTGCATACATTTTATGCAGAATATGTAGTAGAAAAATGTAATAAACAAGGAAAAGAGTAGCAATTGATGCAGAATCTTTTTTTAAATTATTGCTTACTTGGAGGTCAAGGGCAAGGAGTGAAAGTACAGAGGAAAACTACAATGCTGTTATAAAGTTTAGATACTTTCATCAGGGTTTGTGTGTTTTCTAACCATTGTACTTTTTGGGTGTGTTACGATGATATATTGACACACTGGTTCACATAGTCTATTACAGGGCAGTGGTGGTTAAGAGGTCAGTGTAAGTTGGGCTCAGCCTCAGACTAAATATAACATTACAGGCACCGTCAATTATCTTCTGTTTTAAACATAGCAGCTTTCAACTTGCCCATTTACTGATTCTAGAAAAGTCTGCAAAGTTAAAGAGCTATGGTTAAAGGGCCTATCTTGTCTTTGTTACACCCTCACATTTGTTTATGTAAATGGCCTTCGTAGAATCTCTCATTTGAAAACCAATGGTTCAATTGAAACAACCAGATGCCGTGACTCTGCCTTCAAAGTTTCTTATTACTTTCCATTGTTAAATCCAGTGGTGGAAGAAGTACTCAATTTTGTTACTGAGTACTAAAAAGTACACATACCAGAGCAAAGAAATACTCAAGCAAAAGTAAAACTATCACATGAAATACTCTACCTGTTTAAAATGTACTTCAAGAGTAAAAAGTAAAAGTATTTTGCGCTGATTTTGAGATCTTATAAGGCTTCAGATGTGCTAAATTTGTGCTGAATTTTGTTCAACAGAAACAACTGAACTGATTGTGATCAGATACCTAAATGTTTTACTTCAGTACAGTACTTCATTACATTCCACCACTGGTTGAATCACAGCAAAAAAAACCAACAAAACAAAACAAAAAAACTGCGTGCAAACATGTTTTGGCCCTGCAGTCAGTGTGCTACAAAAAGCAGCACAAATATAGAACATAGAGTTAAGTGTCTATCACTGCACCATCAGAAACTCCCCTTCCTGAAGCTGCCCGTTGTCTAATGTGGCGGTGTCCTGTTGTTGTTTTGGATGTAATTAACTACAGTATACTCTCTCATGTTATTCTCACTGGTCATTTTACAGATGATGTGAATGGCTATGGACAGCATACAAATGAAGACATGGGCTCCTTCCACCATGACGGACCAGAGGTAAATGTCACAAAGCACAAAATATTGTTAATGTATTATTCTCTTCTCTGTTATTATTTATTTACTTATTCACATGACAGTGATATTAACAATTTCTCATGTTATAATTTAATCTTACATTACATTGAATCTTTGTTTGATTTGGTGTAGCTGAATTTGCCTAAAGTAGGTACTTCCTTTTTTCTAAGACAAAGCAGGCAGTTTATCCCACACTATATGCCATAAAACTTTGCAATATATTTATTACACAACATAAACTGAAGAGGACATATCAGTATCATTATTAAGGCCAGGAGTCTGTCTGTTTTTGCTGGGCACAAACTGGTCAAGTGCTTCCTTATTTTTCCACCATTACCATTACCACAGTGTTTTATATGTTTACTTGTTGCTTATATAGTATACTCCACCAAATAACAGGAACTCAAGGAAGAGATAATGCTTGATATTCACTTTATTTATTAATGATCTTAATGTTATGGATGATCTCTATATTTATTTATTGTTTATGTTTATTAGGGGTGGGACAAGACAGAATTTCCACAACACGAGATTGTGTCCATGAGAATGAGATTTAACATAATTTATAATAACTGAATTGTGCGGTTGTGTAGTTCAGTTCACAGTTTTAGCCCTTATAATTCTTTGTTTTTTTTGTTTTTTTTAACTATGGCTTCTCAAAATACTACTGTGTCCAAATAATTTAAAGTTTGTCAAAGTCTAAAAAAATCCCATAGGATAATTTTACTCCTGTGTTTAATTTACTTGAATTTTGTTGTTTATTTATCAGGGACAATGCATATAAAAACACTGACCTACACAAAGAGTTAATATGTTTGTGCCAGGTTATAATAAAATTGCTAATTTCCACCTTCAGTCCCTTGACAGGTTGATGTCACAAATGGCATACATGCATACATCAAGTGAAACTAGTCCCATTCAATCTCACTTAAAAGCCATTGTTTGGTCAGGCATGTACAATCTTGTGACAATTTTGATCTTGCAAGATTTTGTGGAACAAGATCATGTCCCATCCCTAATGCTTACATATTTGTGTAAATGTGTCAAATATCTCGCAGTAAACGCTGTAATGCTCCTCTTGCTTTCACACATCAAGTCTTCTGTAGCTCCCGAAGTGTTTGTTGACACGTGTGAGTCTCTGAGTGGGAGTCTGGCTTCTGTGGCCTCCTCGGACCACAGTGACAGTCCACAGCGCGAGAACCCTGCCTTAGACCATATCAGTACTTTGACTGGGGTAAGGGGGACACAGGAGCACCCCACTGTGTCTCTGTGTGTTTGACATGGCTAAGCAGAGGAGTGAGTTGTGGTTGTATAGTAGTAGTATAGAGAACTAATTTCAGCATGATAATTTCACCTTGTAAATTTACTTTTGAACTGATGTGTGTGCATTTAAAGGGCCCATGTTTCAGTATTTTCTGATCTATGCTATAATGTTGTTTCCTCATCACAAACAGACCTGGAGTTGTGTTTTGTTTCAGATTTGTTCAACACACACCCTGTATATTTAAGCTACAGGTTCTTCTCTCGAACAGAAAACACTCTGTTCCACCTTGTGATGTCATGTGGTAATACTGGAAGTGCTCCAATATGTTTTTAAACTCCATACACCTTCACTAGATTAATTTAGATGATTTCACAAGGACCATTTTGGGCTTTAGAGATAATAATTCAGATGATGTGTGAAAGAAAGAAAACACAACTCCAGGTATGTTCGTGAGGAGGTAACAACATTATAACATGCCTTAAAACACACAAGAGTCAATTTCGGGTAATATAGGACCTTTAAATATAGAAGAATTTGAGGTCTTGTCCTTGGTGTTACTGTTAAATGAAGTACGGCTTTCCCCTCATTGTCCACTCGGTTCCTCCACAGTTCTCGAGAAAACGCGCCCTGTTCCTGAAGTTTCGTTCCCGGGTATGGCATGGTAAAATAGCCTTGTTTGTGAAGCATCCTTTGGTGTGTGCAGTTAGGCCTGTCACGATAGCTACTGTAGCAACTTATCGTTCAGTATATGAAAGCTCGAACAATATTATTTGGGGGTCAATATTTATCATGTGGACATATTCTTTGCACTACTGAGACATTTTTTGTGATTTTTTTATATTACAAGATTTAAAGGTGCCCTATGTAACTTACTGGTTGGTGGTCCATCACCTGCTCATTACTATGGATATGTCATTGCTCTGCCCGGAATATTACACAGTATGAGATTAAACAGTTCTACCCTACATTTATTCAATTACAGTTGATTCTATAGCTCAAAAATATCTAGAAAAACAGGCATTCTGACTCTGAGCAGGGTCGCCTCTTCACAGATCTGACATGTAGCTTGGTCTGGGTTGGTCTCCATGATGATAGAAAGGTTTAATGCCATACTGTAAAACACTCCAGACAAAGCACAGAGAAAAGGTTTTGACCCTCCACCAGAAAAGTTACACAATGCACCTTTAAGTTATAAAAAGTTGAATTAATAACTTCTATGACTCATTACAGGTGCAATCTAAGTAGCAAATTTTTATTTTTTATTTTTTTTTACAATATTGTAGATTTAGAATAGTTTTTGTGGTTTAAATCTGCTCTGCTGGTATAAGTTTAGTTTCAATATTATTGTTTATCATCTATATTTACTTCAGTAATACATTAAACTTAATTTTTTTTTATTGTGACAGGCCTATGTGCAGTCAGTGTCTGCTTTTAGACATTTTTTTATTTTGTGTTTCTCAGCACTTATCAAACATACAGAGGAAATGTTTGTGGAGAAGTCCCTTTTTCCTGCTGTGTTCACACCTGTGATTATTCTCTGCTTGACTTCCTGGAAAGTGTTGGTCTGGATTAGCAAAATAATTAGAAGGTTAACGCTTGTGTAACAACTTGGAAATTAATTCCAAAACAAATATAGTGCATTTTTCTCTGTTATAACTCCAGTAATTTTAGCAAATGTAAAATGTATAATGGTATATCATGACTAAAACCAGGCTAAATTGGGAAAAAAAGATTAGTTTCCCCCACTATGGATGCTGCAATTATCATGATAAGAAATACCAAGGAAAAATGACCATGTATCAGGCTATTTTTACAAATCTCCACCCTCATTGCTAAAAGAAGATACAGAATGTTGAAACACCCAGTAGTTATGGCTAGGTTTGTAAACGTATAGTGCCTTATATGCCAGATTCACAGAACAGGGCTGGTCACAGCACATGCTCTGAATCCATATGACCGATCTGTAATTATAGTAAATTAGAGGCCTTCATTTAAAGTTCAAGTACCCACCCTACTACTACTACATGACATACTACGAAGGATGTAAGGTAATAAGGTTAAATACACAATGTATTTTATTTTTATGTTGTTGAGTGTGTAAGACGGCATGTTTTGCATCTTGGTTTTGTGTAAATATGTTGTTTTCTATATTTACCTTTAGACTTGACCTAGCTGATGTGGATAATCAATGTAGTCAGTGGTAGAAGTACTCAATTTTTACTGTATGTAAAATTACAGATATTGGAGGAAATAAATACTCAAGTAAAAGTATAACAAGAAAAAAACTAAAAGTTATTAAGGTACCTGTTTTAAAATTTACTTAAAGATTATTTCCCATAATTTTTTAGATCAAATAAAGCTTCAAATATAGTGATTCTGTTAAAGATTTGTGCTGAAACAAATTAATTCATAGTTAATTCCTAGCTCTTTACTTACTTATACTCAGTGTTGGGAAGGTTACTTTTAGAATGTAATCCCCTACAGATTACAGATTACACACCCCAAAATGTAATTTGTAACGTAATCCATTAAATTACTTAAAGTGAGTAACGTAATCTGATTACTTTGGATTACTTGATATTGTCATGTTTTTTTAAACGACATGAATGTAGCAACCACATCCTCAAAATTCGTGTTTGTTGTCTTCAATCTGTCTGAGCCCAAGTCTCCATGAATAAGCAACTGTTTGCTGTAGAGAAACAAAGACCACGATATCTTAATATAAGAGGTTTTGTCTGTTAAGTTGTAGGCGATTTTATATTTGTTTTTTTATATATATATCTCACATCGGGAGAAGAATTTCCAAGACACAAATGCGTTTTTACCAATGCACTGCTGCTTCCACTGTGTGACTGACACCGCCAACTTTAACATGACGTTTCCATCGCTCTTATTGCGCGCGTTCTGTTTGGGCTTCAGGCAATGAGTGAAATTACCGAAATAAAAAAATAAATAAATGGGATGTAGCACAAAATGTGAAAACAGGAAAATACCGCCTTGTAATCCACTTATTTCAGCAAAGTAACTGTAATCCAATTACCACTCATTGAAGCAGTAACTGTAACGGAATACAGTTACTCATAATTTGTATTCTGATTACGTAACGGCGGTACATGTAATCCATTACTCCCCAACACTGCTTATACTTCGTTACATTCCACCACTGGTTATCAGTCAGGGCTGCTTCCTTCGTTGTTCTTATCAAAGTCTTTTTCCGTCACATAACTCTGTCACATTTGAAATAGGGGGTCTTAATTTAATCAGAGTCCACATTTCCTTCTAGTGCTGTGTATTTATTGCAGTGAGTTGGCTGGCTGAAGCTTCCACTCTGTTTACGAATGTCATTTGTATAAATTCTGATGTTTTTCTTGTGGGACCACATTAGTGGACTGTAGAGCATCTTCAGAGGATAAATCTCAGAGTCAGAGTCACAGGGGCGGGGCTTGTGAAATAGGCACTTTAGCTCAGCATCCGGTCTTTCTGCTGGTGCATTATTGCTTTAAAAGGACCTGGCAATGGAGGTAAAGTGCTCGTGTTTCCTGTCCTGTTGGAGTAGCTAATTCTACCTGGACTACAAAATTGTTCTGTCTGGTGTGGGATATGTAGTCTTTTTCAGTTCAAAAAATAGTGTAGGCTTTTGTGGGCAGCTAATGCATCGATGTAGCTATTGACTGTGATGGATGCAAAGGGGTATTTTTAGTGTTCTGAACAGCTGAACCTGCCTAGAGTGCAGGCAGTGTTGGTTTGTTTTCCCTTGAGGCATTCCTGTGTAGTAGCTTCAAGGCTAGCATTAGCCTGCAGATGATACTTCAGTTTTCTGCACTTACAAATTTGCCTGGTTGCTACATTGCTGCAGACATGGATTACAAGTCTTACCTATAAGTAAATTCATTTAAAAATGGGCGCTGCATTACATCATCTCACTGCCTTTCCAAGAAATTTAATTACTTTTTGTTTGGACACTAAAAGAACATTGTGCTGTGTAATAATAAAGCTCTTTTTATTGGCTATGTAGTCTATACATTTTAACTAATATGGTTTGCTGTGAGAAGTTTGCTGTTTTTGTTTGTCACTGATATTAATCTGACTCAGTTATTTCAGTAATGCAAGACTTGTGGGTGACTGTTCACATCTTTACCTCTTTAATAATATATGTTACTTCACAGATTGACAAACAACACCAGAGCAAAGATTCCATATTCTTTCGAGATGGAGTGAGAAGGATCGATTTTGTCTTGTCCTATGTAGAAGATAAAGATGATGGTAGAAAACCGGTAAGAAATAATACCATATATCACTATGTCACATAAACATATAATTGAATAAAAAGAACAGGCCCCTAAAGGATTTCCTCAAGTTTGTGTCAGCAGCCCAGCCTGATTACTAAAAACACAGATAAACACAGCCTGTTTGTTTGATCTGTTCTAGGAAATTTGCTAAGCTCCCTTACATAAAAGTTAGTCTTATTCAAATACACTTTATTTCCATACTGTGGCTGCCTGTTAAATGGGTATAAAGTCAGGCTCTTTGCTTTTGAGCGATGGCGCTGTGTTTCATAGTTAGCTGTTAGCCTTCACATGTCGGTGCTATGAGCACTTTGGGAAACAGAGTCAAAGCTTGTCATTGAGTCAACACAAGAGCTCTGCCCTTGTCAGATACAAACATTTTTCCACTTTGTGAGCAAGAAAAAGTTCCTGTTTATTTTACCCTCTCCCAGTGTGCATGTGAATAATTTCTCAAAAAGAGGATGTTCTTTTAAATGGTCTTACATGATTTGTTGTATTTATTGAATTTACCTTTTTAGGAGAGAAGGAATGTTTTTGAGGAGAATCTCAGAAAAGTTGGTTTGGACCTGGAGACAGAAGACAAATCTGTAAGATTATTAAGTACATTCAATGTGAACTTGAAATATTTTTACAATCATCATGTCAAATGCTTTCCACTTCTTCAACTGAAGTGCATAAGAATAACTCTTCTATTTAACAAATTACATACAATAAGAGTACTGTGAAATGTGTACAACAGTATGCAGTATATGTGCTTTGTTAAATTTCCGCTCCCTTTATTTAAATTTGGCCCCAGCTATCTTCTGTTCTTTTGATTTTCTTCCAATATTATATAATCTTTTTCTCATCAGGAGTCTGAAGATGGAAAGACATATTTTGTAAAGATTCATGCTCCGTGGGAGGTTTTGGCAACCTACGCAGATGTGCTGAAAATCAAGGCCCCATTCAAGGCTAATGACATCCCCGAGAACAGGGAGATGCCCATGGGCTGGCTGGCCACGCCCATCCGCCTCCCAGAAGATATCATGTATCCTGAGCCAGACTACTTCACTGCCCCCTTTGACAAAAACAAATCAGACTTCTTTCTTATCGATGACAAGGATACTTTCTTTCCCCCATCAACCCGGAACAGGATAGTAAGAAAAAATTTTATCTTTTTTTTGTATCTGGTCTTTAAAATTATGCTTCACAATAGTTCCCATATACAGAAGTGCACAGCACTCATTATAGGATTGATATATTGACCTCAGTGAGACCGCAAACACAGGTGATAATGAAACCAATAAGCTGAGGATCAAAGTATGAGTGATGGTTTATTTATTTTATGAGGTCAATAACAAAACTGCTTAGTGGTAATACTTGGAAATGAGTACACCCTTCGTAATTAAATGTGTTTACTTTCATATAATAGTATTGTTTTTTCTCTGTTTCTATGCAGGTTTATTACATCCTGTCTCGAACTTCATACTTCCATGACTGTGATAGGGATAAAATCGGAATAAAAAGGTTACTGAACAACGGCACCTACACTGCTGCCTTTCCACTTCATGATGTAAGTCCTTTTGAAGTATTTCTGCCTCAGCAAGGGAGGAAAATCTTTTGTTGTAACAGCAGCAATATGTTCTAGTAACTTGATATAATGCACTAAAAAGATTATTCTCACTCTCCTCGCATGCAGTGCAGATACTGGAAAAGCTCCAGCTATTCCAACTGTGAAAGTGAAAGATATAAACTTTACAAATACTGGGCAAGATTTCTATGTTTTTTTAAGGAACAGCCCATTCATCTAATACGGTAAACAAGAAGTGGTATTAACATAATAATTAGGCTTACATAATGTTATTTGATAACAATAACTTATTTTATTGTCAACAGGAAATATTATGGAGAGAAAATAGGTCTTTATTTTGCATGGCTGGGCTTCTACACTGAGATGCTGTTGTTTGCTGCAGTTGTGGGCACCATTTGTTTTGTCTATGGGTTGTTGACCTATGAGGAGAATGAATGGAGGTAGCTTTGGCATTAACATTCCACATGTTTTTACTCTGAGAACTGTATAACACTGTGATCAGCAAATCTTTTTTCTTTCAGTAAGGAGATTTGTAACGAGGACATTGGAGGCAATATTGTCATGTGCCCACTTTGTGACAAGAAATGTGGCTACTGGAAACTCAGTAAAATATGTAACTCCTCTTGGGTTAGTACACAGTACACTGTACACTGCAGATTTTAATGAAGGTCATGTGGCTTATATGTTTTGTTCTTTTCAGCAATCACATCTATTTGACAATGTAGGAACAGTGTTCTTTGCCATCTTCATGGGGATATGGGGTAAGTTATGTATGTATTTTAATTAAGAGCACCACCTAGTGGATACTAAGCATAAATTGCTCCAGATAGAAAATATGCATGTACTGTGTTCATTTTTCTAGCCAAACAGAAGATTAAAAATCTTCATTATTTGATCAATTAGTTGTTGGTGCTAAACTAGAATCTGAGTTTTTGAGACTCCAGATTTCTGACTGTCTCAGATGTTCCCTGCAGTGACCCTGTTCCTTGAGTTCTGGAAGCGGCGTCAGGCCCGTCTGGAGTACGAGTGGGACCTGGTGGACTTTGAGGAGGAGCAGCAGCGGCTGCAGCTCCGGCCCGAGTATGAGACCAAGTGCAGTGAGCGCAAACTAAACGTCATCACTCAGGTGTCTGTGGTCCTTTCCCTCATCAGTTACTCATGATATTTTTGGTTTGTCTTGTTGCAGTCATTCATTTATCAAAGACGGTTCTTTAATTAAAAGGTGTTCTGAGTAGACTAGGACCCGTAAAAAGGAGGTACTTTAATTTGCCTCTAATCATCAGGAACTGGAGTGGGTTCTTAACAGGACTGCCCCGAGTCTTATGGCGAAACTGTTAATTTGCTGGGTGGCTGTTGTATTTTGGGTAAGGTAATGCCAGTCTAGACATGGTCATGTTTTGTGGCAATGTGTTTAACAGATGTGACTGGAAAGACAGAGGGTCAGGTTTGTGAAAATACAGAAATGTTTACAAACATTTTTGTTGTCATAAAAAAGCACAGATTGGAAGAATTTTGATTTTTACTTTGAGATTCAAGATTTTATTGTAATTGTCAAAACAACACAATTACGTGGCCTAGAGGTACTGTCTTTTCAGGACATTGTGTGACTCATTTGTGTTCATGCTTTGCTTATGACATAGGAAGTGGAGCCTTACTTACCTTTAACAAGCAAGTGTGTACGCACATGTCTGTCGGGAGCTACAGTCCTGTTCTGGGTGAGCATTGTATTTTTGTTTTAGTTTAAAAAATTGTGGTTCTCAAGTGCAGGTATGACCTTCAAGTCTTTCTAAGAGATATCGACTGACTCATTTGAAAACCACTATTTTGCATTTCATCCATTAGTTGTATTCCACTATGTGTTTTTGGTGTATTGGCTGCATTTGTTTGTTTGTTTGAACCTCTTAAGCACGTTCAGTTATTATGTTATACTTTTGAATAATAAACCATTGTCCATGAAGTTGGTATTAAATATATTGTAAGTCTGTGCAGTTCGAAATACTGTGAAACTGTGAATTGCTAGAGATGTCCTGGACAACATAATCTGTAAAATAGAAATCCAATTAGTCATGTTCAAATTGGCACTACCGTAAATTTAGCCTGGAAGACCTAACTTCATTCCCATCTACCGCACTGCTTCTTCTGAATTTCCCTGCTCCTCTGCCTTCATCGCCTCACTCCAAATACTCCCCGTTGCTCACCACACCTCATCCTTGTCCAATCTGCCCTGAGTTTACCCAATTCAAACCCCCACTGTAGGTCCATGGCTGCTTTATTTTTCCTCCCCAGCCCCCCTCCGGCTTCTCATCATCTCAATGTTCCCTTAACTCTGCTCATCGTCTCATCATCCCCTTCACTATCCTTCTTCTTGGCCTCACCTCTACCACCTTCAGTGTTCAGGCCCAGGGGAAAGAGGTCTCCTTTATGCTGTCTAACCCACTATGCCATTCATCACAATGTCTCTTGCTGGGGTCTGAGCACCAAAGCTAACTCATTCAGTAAAACTACTAATACTTTCTTTTTGTGTCTGTCTGAGTCTCTCCAGGTTGAAAAATGCTGCATTCATGGGCAACAGTGTAATTGTGTGTTGTATTTGTGTGTAATTTAAGATGCTTTTCTACATTGTCACTGTTGTCTCTGTCCTGAAGATCACTTTGATCATTGCCTGTATCGTGGGGGTGATTGCATATCGCCTGGCTGTATACGCAGCATTTGCCAGTATCATGAAAGACAGTCCCACCAACCAACTGCACGTAGTGGGCCCCTACATCACCCCACAGCTGGCCACATCTGTCACTGCCTCGTGTATCAACTTTGTCATCATCATGCTGCTCAATCTTATGTATGAGAGAGTGGCTATTTGGATTACTGACATGGGTAAGAGTCAGAACATGAGGCCAATTTCAAGCCTTTGGTATACGTTTTTATATTTTATTTCACTTGAAATATTTCTATTTTACCATGACAGAAATCCCAAAGACACACCTGGAGTATGAGAACAAGCTGACAGTGAAGATGTTTCTCTTCCAATTTGTCAACTACTACTCCTCTTGTTTCTACGTGGCATTCTTCAAGGGCAAGTTTGTAGGATACCCCGGAAACTATGCTTACTTTTTCGGGTCATGGACCAAGTTAAGAAATGAGGAGGTACAGTTGTTTTGTTCATGTTTTTCTCTTCTAAATTTCTATTGTATTTTGATGAGATAATGTTGAATCTGTATATTTTGTTTTGTTTTAGTGTGATCCTGGTGGCTGTTTGATTGAACTCACAACACAGCTAGTAATAGTTATGACCGGCAAACAGGTGTGGGGCAACATCCAGGAAGCCTTGGTGCCGTATGTATCTTGCATTTCTCAAATAGTTAATAAAGGTTTGCACTTTGTCTGATTAATATATTTTTATTTTCAAAAGATGGTTAATGAACTGGTGGGGTAGCAGGAAAGCTCGATGTCATCCAGAGAGTCTGTACAGTCGCTGGGAGCAAGACCACGACCTCCAGCCATTTGGACAATTGTTGCTCTTTGATGAATACCTGGAAATGGGTAAAGATGGATAACATGCACTTATGTGTTATATTTAAACATAATATAGTGTAACATGTCAAAAAAGCTGTAAAGATGTGATTTAATTTATAATTTCAGTATTTGCATATTGTGTGTGAAGTACTGTTAACATTGTAGCTGTATTATAATTGCCAAAATGGCTTATTACTAGTACTAGTACTGGAAGTATTTGACACAGACAAAATGCTTTATTTGTAATCATGCCAATTATTCAAATAACAGTAATGTTGTCAACCAGCCTGTAGATGGTGCTGTTTCTATCATGTATTTCTGCCTCCCTGATATGCAGTGATCCAGTTTGGCTTCATCACGCTGTTCGTGGCCTCTTTCCCCTTGGCTCCGCTGTTGGCGCTCTTCAATAACATAATTGAGGTTCGAGTTGACGCTTGGAAACTCACCACTCAGTTCAGACGTCCTGTGGCAGCCAAAGCCCACTGCATTGGGGCCTGGGAGGAAATCCTCAACGGGATGGCTGTTCTCTCCGTGGTCACTAATGTAAGGGATCTGTCTACACTTATTGTGGGACAAAATAACAGTTTTTTCCTGGCATGTTAATGAAGGGTTCATGCACAGTGGAGATAGTGCAGATAGTACTGTCTTCATTCAAAACAGCAAGTCATTTTAGTAGATTATTCAGGAGTATGGGTGTGTCAATGATTATTTACTCCAAGACTAGATTAAAGTTTGTTATTATTTCAAAATAAGATAAGTTATTTCTTAATAATGTTTCTTTTTCAGTGCATGCCATAAACCCTGTTCTTTATTTTGCAACTTCACATTTCTCTTTACATAACTTAAAACTGTGTTCAAATCAACTATTATTTTTAAGTTAATACATTTGCTTTCTCAGCTACTATAGACGCACATTGAAACACTTCAACATAAAAAAAGTCATAAATGTATTTGTTGTTCCCTACTGTTGAAACCATTCACTTTAATATTGTAATTTATTATAATACTGCCCATCGGTTCTTTCACACAACTCAAACTCTGAAACAAAAATGTGTTTTTTTGTCTCCAGGCCTTTATTGTGGCCTTCACGTCTGATATGATCCCTCGGCTGGTCTACATGTACGCTTATCAGCCCGACGGCCAGATGAACATGAAGGGCTACATCAACAACAGCCTGTCCGTGTTCAACATCACCGAGTTTCCTGCAGAGAGTCGGCCTGAGGATGGAGAAAATCCCTCTTGGTTTAACAGCTCCGTTACTACCTGCAGGTACTGAATATTACATTAATGAGTTAACTATTGCCTAAATAGTGTTAAATTACAAACGCACACTCCTCACAACTCGGTGGATAGATTTATTATAGTAAGTTCCTATGCAATCGTGATCTGAAATATTATAGTTGCTTTTAAATGTCTGTATTACACAAAATTGACTCTTTTGATTATTAAGCCATGTTATAATGTTGTTACCGCCTTAAAAACAACTCACATGTCTGGGGATGCAGACAGTGTAATAAACCAGCATTACTCAAAATGCTGTGTTCCACCTTGTGATGTCATGAAGCATTAATTTTCAAATTAACAGCTCCTTTTACCTTACATTCAGTACAGAATGGCAATATTAGGGCTGAAATCATCCAGATGATTCTGGTGAAGGTGTGTGGAGTTTAGAAATACAGTGAAGCACTTTCTGTATTACCGCATTAGCATCACAAGGTGGGACAGAGGGCTTTCTAGTGTTTTTTTTAGAGAAGAACTCAGCCTAAATATGCAGGGTTTGTGTGTTAAACATGTGCGAATGAAACAAAACACAACTCCGGGTATGTTTGTGATGAGGAAACAACATTATTACATAGATCAGAAGTATATAGTACTATAATATGGGCCCTTTACATGTTTAACCTTAATTTGTAAATTTAGTACAGTAAACACCATATAGATTAGGTTATGGTTAAAAAAAAGTTTTCTGAATACATATTTATTTTATTTTAATTAGATACCGTGATTATCGCTATCCCTCTGGCCATGAGAATCAGTACACCCACACTATGCAGTTCTGGCACATATTGGCTGCTAAGCTGGCATTCATCATTATCATGGAGGTAATGCATATTTAAATAAGATGACTTATAAATACTGTATATTTCAAGTAATTTGTTTGTTTTTTCCTTGCAGCATGTTGTGTTCATGGTCAAGTTTGTGGTAGCTCGTTTGATTTCGGACGTGCCTTCTGAAGTGAGAGCCAGAGTGAAGAGAGAGCGATACTTAGTCCAAGAATATCTCCACAACTATGAAGTAGAAAAACTTAAAATGCAGCTCCAAAAACACGAGGAAGAAGACTGTACATGCCCGCCAATGATATACCCAACAATACCCAACAATGATTTTGTTTCAGATCGTCTTTAGCCCAGGATGAGCTGAAATGACACGAGGCGTGGGATCCTGAGACCTGCTAAAGTATAAGACAATTTACCACCCAAGTGTGCTACTGTACTTCACTAGAAATACAGTTATATACTTGTAAAATGATGCATACTGCTCAAAAAGCCCTAGCATGCTGATACCAAAGATGAACTAAATCCTTAATGTTACTAATTTTCTACACTTATTATGTTATGGACAGTACCACAATTTACTGTAAGACAAATATCACTGTGCTAAACACGTGCTTTTAATCTATTTAAAATGCTAGAGGACAAGTTCTGCCTTAACCTATGAATTACCTTGTATGTTATTTAACCAAATAATGTTATGCAAAGTATAAAATAACATGTGAAGTGAAATTATATGAAGAAGTGGCTCACTGTTACTGATGTGAGCAGTAGGATCATCAGTTGTTTTGCAGCATCTGGTGGTGCATGTTATGATAAAAATGTTAACAGAAAGACTAAAGAAAATGTGCCTCTATAAAACTTAATGCTGTTAATGAAAAGGTATCTTGAATTTGTCAGAAGAGTCCAGGTGTGATTTATGTTTGCACAGAGCACTTGATACATGCAGCTTTTGGTTGGAAGTGATTTTGTTTTTTATGTATAGTTTTATACAACTTTTTTCAAAATAAATGAAGAATATTATGAATTGAATAGACAAGAATTATGTAACTGAAATTTATTATTTAATGTCATTATTTTAATTTAATATTTGTCAATATCATAATTTGTCTGCCTTTTATCTGTTACTGAATCTAGCATAAAGGTTATGCATTATTTATACACTCAGATGCCTTAAATGTAATTACAATGACTATTTTTCTCCTTTTCAAGATGGCTGTTTTCAAAGTGAAATAAGGGAAAGCAAACCACTTGACTTTTCTCATATACTAATATATATATATATATATATATATATATATATATATATATATATATATATATATATAATAATAATAAATGTTTTTTCTTTGCATTTTTTTTTTTTTTTTTGTACTGCAGGCCGTTTACTGTCTATACCTATAAACTGATCATGATCATATGAAAAATAAAAATATAGCCTACATTTACAAATGACTGTGTAACCATAGTTTATTACCAAAATATTTTCCATTCAATTAATATTACAGTTTGATGACAGTTTGATAAAAATATTCTGAATGAAAAAATGAATACATAGGTCTATGAATGAACGCTAGATGGCGCACCTTTCCAGTAAATAACGTAGAGCTCAGTGGAGTCAGTGGAGCAATAAGGTCAGCATTTCAATATGTAACGGGGATAAGATAACATTAAATAACAGTGACAGATACATAAGATAACATTAAATGACAGTGCCAATGAATATACTCCATTCAAAGAACAACTGTGACCCCTGATCTGTGCGTAAAGCTGTACGTAAACGATCAGATCTGATTTACCTTCAGTAGTTTTTTAAATAACACTGCCTCTAGTGGTGGAACACGTTCTGTAATGTATCTGGCTTCTGGGATGTGTTTTTATAGCCTACATGAGAGCCTATAAGAGAAAAAATAAAGCATGCTATTTAAACTATTTATTAGATATTTAGGTGAAGTTACAAGAGTATTAATTGCAAAAAATACAGGCTTGTTGCATTAATTAAAACCATAAGGCCTCGTCTATGTAAACGTGCGTAACCGTCATGTTAGCGATTAAAAACACCCAAATACTAAGTTTTATTCCGAGGTGCGAGTTATGCAATAGCGTCCAGGCTTTGGGAGTAACACATCGCGCGGAGGCTGAGGAGGAGGGGCTGCTGACAGGTAGAGTCGCTCTCCGTGGTGCTGAAGCGTGATCCTCTCACAAAGGGCACACACCTCCGCGGGAAGACCAGCCCCTACACTGGTTAGACCTGCAACTTTTTATTTTCATTTTCATGTTTTTTCGTCGTGTGGATCTCAGAATGGCAGTGCGTGGATTAACATTGCAAATGCGGACTTATGTGACTGTGGAGACAGCTCGTTCATCCTGAACGTGCCTTTTCCCGCTTCAACTGGAGACGTTCTCTGCTCAAAAGAAAGACGCGCCCCATTGGATTTATATTTCAACAATATGCTATTTGCTGCACAATTTTTATTATAGTCTAACTGAGTACTAGAAAAAAATTGGATATGGAGCCAGGAAAAGAAGGAGCACTCCCTACTTCCAAAGAGGGGATAAAACAGCTCGCTGGGAAGGCCCTCGGCCATCTGTACAGGTAAGGGCATTTTTACGCAGCACATCGCCTCAAATTACTGGGTTGCGCTTAGAAAAAGATTTGTAAAAATGATCGGAAACGAAACCAAAGATGGATTACAGACGTGATGTGAGATCGAATATTTAAGGATGTGATATTTCCCTGGAGGACAGCCCCTTCAGCAGCTGCTCGAGCTGGTTTTAATAATTAATGCAACACAACGAGTCGTGACACAGGGTCTGAGGGTATCTATTACAGTGTGTATCAATCTGGATTAAAGCAAGATTTATTCACTGATTTGTCTTTAGATATTATAAATCCTTCACGGAGAAAACACATTTGAAATGTGCACGTTTCATCGGCAGCTAAGGGTCAAGTTAGTTATTAGACACAAGGCATTAAATGTGAGTGAGTAAAATGATATGTAGAATACAGAATATTGTTCGGGGATGAAATAAAAATAAAAAAAAAGTAAAATAAAAAGATGCAATGCAGAACATCCTGAAGCAGAATCGTGACTCAAAACGAGACAGAAAAATGCTTTTCAACATATGACATACCTAAGACAAAAAGGTCTTAGGGTCTCTGGATCACAGGCAAACCTAAATGTATTGATAAAAAAAATATTTAAACGAAATGTGTGGCACGGAGAAGACCAGCGCCATTTTACGCACGAGAAACAAATTAAAAGCTGCATTTATGGAGCAGCTTTGTCCTTATGCTGCTGCAATGCGGTATGAAGGTCATTACTATGGCTTTCTGAAAGTGAACATTTTATAAGATAAATAAAAGTGGGGAAAAGACGAGTTTCACTACAACAGGCCTTTTTTTTTTATTTTGGAGACTCAATGGGGCCTTTTGGGCCAAGACACTGAAGTTGCAAATGTAGTATTCAGCAAACAACAGCATCAGTAAGTCAAATTACTTAGTTACTTCCCCACATTGTAAGTCGGTGAAATTTGGAGCTGAAGCCACGCATCAGTTTTCACTTTAACCAAAAGAATGCATGGTAAAAAGGTGTGTGGTGCAGGCGGCTGGAGAAGAAGCAGCAGACGAGTGAGGCCATCGAGCTGACGGAGGATGGGAGACCTCGCGGAGACGAGGAGCGCCGCGCTCCGCTGTGTGACTGCACCTGCTTTGGGCTGCCACGGAGATACATCATCGCGATCCTCAGCGGCCTCGGCTTCTGCATCTCCTTTGGGATCCGCTGCAACCTGGGTGTGGCCATCGTCAGCATGGTCAATCCCCGCACGGTCCACGAGAACGGGAAAATCATCGTCAAGGAGGTACTCCCAAGTCCCGCCCCCATCACAGAGAATTCCCTTTCATAAAAATAAAACTTAAGGCCATTTTGTACAGATAATGAAACCGTAATAAACATAAAACACCACTGGCAGTCTGGATTTTATCATTATTTTTAGCCTATACATTTTTTTATTTTTTTTATTTTTTTAAAGAAATTACAGTGCCTACAATTTCTTTAAAAATAGGCCTATTATGATCATCTTCAATTGAAGTACATTACTGTGGGAAAAAAAATAAAAAATACACATTAACACTCAAAAGTCAATGTTATATTTTTAGAAAGCTAAATTCAACTGGGACCCTGAGACTGTGGGGATGATTCATGGATCCTTTTTCTGGGGGTACATCGTCACTCAAATACCAGGAGGCTACATTTCTTCAAGATTAGCTGCTAACAGGTAGGCAACTTTGTGCTGTTGGTCCATATTTTTATTGATACGGGATACCCTTGGTTTGATGAAGGGTGTGTGACCTCAGAGCAGATAAAATGAGGATTTGGCTGATTCGTAGCAGGCGTGCCTTCTCTTGTTAATGAGCTCCCTGGGGACGACCGTGTCTAATCCTTTATGTTCAGAGACCTGGCAACCACCGCGCGGCCAAAACGCTGAGTGAAACGTGGTGTGCGTAATCACAGTTTTCTGATTCAGCGCCACGCACCAGTATTGAATTCAACTAACAGATGTTTACACTGAGAATCTAAGACAACGGGATTGTAAATGCCCGTTTGAATTATCAGATACCCTCCTGCGTTAATTTAGGTCTATTCAAAATGATTTTAGCCTAAATGTGGAAGCTGTTTGGCAAAATGAAAGACATATTCCAAGATACTTTAGATCACAGAAAAATGTGCGTAATTCAGTCTAAATAAATATCTATAGTATTAGTATAGGCTATAGGTTAATGTTATGTAATTAAAGCAATAATTTTAAGGTCCCCCTTGACCCAGAGAGAGTGAGAGAGGAAGGGCATCTGTTTTAAATCACTATTTCCAAATTGTGGAAGCAACACTGGAAGAGAAATGTTGAAAGGAAATCTAATGCATCTTGAAATACTTAATATATGTGGACCACAGACTGTAAATATAGTATAGTTAATAATATAAGTATAAATATAAGTACTTCTTTAGGTTTATGGTGTGGACCAAATTGATGTATTAAATATGCATTGTACATGTGCACCTTTATGTGCTCATTATTCTTCACTGACACATAATGGTTTACACAGGGTTTTCGGTGCTGCCATTGTGCTTACGTCTACCTTGAACATGTTTATTCCATCTGCTGCCCGAGTGCACTACGGGTGTGTCATCTTTGTGAGGATATTACAAGGACTGGTGGAGGTATGGACCGAACACAAGACAGATCTACATCTTGACATTTCCAAGACACTAAATTATCTCGTATTCTGAATCACTGAGCTGATGTAGTGAAATTTAATTGTTCTTACTAATGTTTTCAGACGGTTTATTGAGATCTTTATTTGTATTTATCTATTTATCCTTATCTAACCAGGTAAAATGCTTGAGAGCTAATTGTTATTTACATGATTTGGACAAGCAGAGACAGAATACACATACAAAGCACTTCGGGTGTCCTAAAAGGCTCTATATAAATGCAATGGTTAATTATTCAATAGGCTAAAAACAAAGAAGACTGGTGTAAAAGTGTTAACAAAGAACACAATTTCTGGAGTTTGTGTTTAAAACCAAAGACACACATCAGAGTAGTGAGTTTAAGGCTGCTCTAGTGTTTGAATTAGCTTTATGTTTGAATTAGCAGTGGAAATACACTCCATTAAGTACGAGTAGCATTTCCATTCATTACAGTGAATACAGTTGGATTAGTGTGCAAACAGTGGTATGTATAGTGGACCATCACGCACATATTACTTTACATGGGCGAGATGGCTTCATGTTCACAATGAAACACATAGAACAAAGAACATAAAAACCACTTGATGGGGGCTTGGGATAAAGGACAAATTCACTCTTTTCAATTTGAAGGTCAGGCTGCTGTTGTTATTTTTTTAGCTACACACACTGGTTTCAATGGCAGCGAGAGAGAGTGAGAGCGAGAGAGGGAGTGAGAGAGAGAGAGAAGGAGGGAGGGTTGTGTTTAGTGGCCATCAACTTATTATTGCAAATTAAACATTAGCATTTCAGGGTTCCTCCCATGCACTGGCCCCTGCAATTTGTGTCTATCAATAGTGGATTGTATGCCACTTAGTGAGTAATGAAGATTTAATAGGAGCAATTCAGTTTTGTTTTCATGAGGTGTGTAGTCAGCTTGAATTTGCACTGACTCACACTCAAGCCATTACTCTGTATTAGAAAGGTCACGGACAGTACATGCTGCACTAATACAATTTGTCTGATGAGAATTAACACAATGGTTAACAGATCTCACATTGTATTTTGTACTTTGTTCACACTGAAATATATCCCATTTAATACAGTAATAGCAATTTAGGCTTGTCACAAATTACTATATTGACTTGATGGAACAATAATATTTGAGGGTCAAAAATGATTGTGGGTGTGTTTTCTTTGTACTAGTGGAGAATCTTTAGTTATTTGTATGTACTACAATTACATTTGAGTTGTAGAGGGTTGAATAGATCACTTCTATGATACATTATATTATTTTCTTTAAAGTGTGTTTTTGTACGGTATTGTACATTTACAATCGTTTTTTGGACAATTTTGTTTCATTAACATAGTTTATCGTCTATATTTTCTGCAGCAATATATCATTCTTCACATTTTGATATCGTGACTGACCTATGGCTATTTTTTCAATGCAGCAATACACCTCAAATGTTAATGAAATGATTCAACAAAAAGGTGTTAAGAATTACACACAGATACAACAAAAAGTGATCAGAATGCTAGATTTGTCTTGCCCAAGAACACAATGAAAATACTATTGCCTTCTGTGCATCTATTATTATTTTTATATAGTTTAGATTCATTTTATGGAATTGCATATTATGTATTCTTCTACTATTTATTCTTTGAACTATACTGTATACTTGCTGTAGATACGATAAACAAGTTTCTTTTGTGTAGGGAGTAACCTATCCAGCCTGCCATGGCATCTGGAGTAAATGGGCACCACCGCTGGAAAGAAGTCGGCTGGCAACTCTGTCCTTCTGCGGTATGACCTGTGTACTAATAGAGTTTCATTGTTTACTATAAAGGGTTTCAGATTTCAAAATATTGTGTGTAAGTCTATCCTGGAAATAGATGTTCTCTGAATCAGCAGTCACACTTTTGCTTACTCACCCTTCTGTTCAGGATCATATGCTGGAGCAGTGGTAGCCATGCCTCTCGCTGGGATCCTGGTGCAGTACACGGGATGGTCCTCTGTCTTCTATGTGTACGGTAAGAGGAAAAAAAAACATTATTTTAACATTTCTACAATGTTTTAAAGGGGAGGTTTTCAAATTATAGACATATTATTACATTAACAACATGGTTTAAAATTCAGATATGGATTAAATAGATTTAGATTAAGATTAGGCACTAGAACTATAGCTAAAGTAGGATTATTCTCCAGTAAATTAATATAAATCCAAAGCCCAAATATATGGAAACACATCATGTATATGTAGAATTTACTACTAGGCCTACTATCTAATCTACTTTAAAGTATAACAGTATAACAGGCCAGTATTTTCTGGTCCAAGGTATAATTTTGTTTCTTCACATAGTCAGAGGTTTAACACACAAACCTTGTATATTAAACTCTATACACTTTCGCTAGAATAATTTGGATAATTTCAGCCCCTGAATTGTCAGTGTTTGCTGGACTAAAGGAAGACTATAGCTGTTTATTTGAAAAGTACCCCTTCATGACATCACAAGGCGGAACAGAGCATTCTGACGTTTGGGGAAGTAGACAGACTAATCTTGCAGTGTTACTTAAACACATGTGAATGAAACAAAATGCAGCTCGAAGTACGTTTTTAAGGAGGCATTTTAACAAGGCTAAAAGCTCATGAGAGTCTGTTTTGCATAATTTAAGAGCTTTAAGTGGTACTTGCAGGGATCTCTTTAGCAACTAAAAAATATATAGAAGGTATAAGTAACATAACCGGACCCACCAAGTTTAACTGACCAAGGAATGCACTAAAAAGTTTAAATAAATATAAAATGAAATAAGCAGTTAAATAATCGTAACAAAACTGTGATAAACCCATGACAAACAATGTTGATATCTTTGACAGGGAGCTTTGGTATTGTATGGTACATGTTTTGGATACTGGTGTCCTACGAGAGCCCTGCTGAGCACCCCACTATCAGTGAAGAAGAGAGGCGCTACATTGAGGAGAGCATTGGGGAGAGTGCACAGCTTATGGGGGCCATGGAGGTGACTGGACCTATTTCAAAAATATATTACTGTGCTAAAATTGTTACAACCTCCTCTAATGTTTTATTATTTAATAGAAATTTAAGACACCCTGGAGGAAGTTCTTCACCTCAATGCCCGTCTATGCAATCATCGTGGCCAACTTCTGCAGGAGCTGGACATTTTACCTGCTCCTCATCAGCCAGCCTGCCTACTTCGAAGAGGTATTCGGCTTTGAAATCAGCAAGGTAAGTGAACAACTGAAAATAATGCATGTACCAGGGGTTATGAAATAGATGATCTTGTCAAACAAATGTGAATGGACTGCAAAATTACTCACAGTGCCCTTGTTAAAAGAATACAATGCAAGCCTGTTACATTTTTATTCTTAATCAGCTGTTTTTGCAGAACTTTGCTTTTCTAAATAAAGTTTGCATATCTTCAAAATAGTATTCACACATGTTTTCAAAAGTGTTCACAATAATTTCACCCACTGCACCAGATTATAGAGAGAGAGAGGAGGTAATTCTCAAACACTCTCCTATAGCGCTCCATACAACTGTACAACAACTCACCTTTATGTAACAGACAACAATATGTCCTGTCAATCTTTATTTAATCTTTGCATTGTTTTATTATACTTCTATATTTTATTTTTACTTGTACAAATACATTTATATAATTACGCCTTAGTCTCTTATTTTGAATGTATTATCAGTTTACCCTAACCCTAACCCTATCATAATATATTGGGATTTGTGAGCTACTGTGTCCAAATAATATCCCCTGTAGATGAATAAAGTCGATAACAACCATAGCCATTCATCCAATTAACAAATTAAACTTAAAGGACAGATAATTGTTTTGATAAAGGCTAATGGCAATGTTACCTTTCTGCAGCAAAGATCTCCCCCACAACAGTTTGTATGTGCATGGCTAAGAAACATGTCACAAAGGGGGGATTCTATTGTCTTATGTTTAATAGTAGTTGTCCTATTGTAGCTGTAAGCCATGAATCAAGCTATTTTGACAGTTACAATTGAAGTTCAGGATTAAACTGGGGACAGTGATAAAAAAGCACACAACCTTTTGTTCACGTGTTATATTAGATTTGTCCCAAGTTGGAAGAAGTGATCTGGCTGCTGTCTCATATATCAAACTTTTTTTTTTTCTTTCATTATGCAGGTTGGGGCTCTCTCTGCTCTTCCTCACTTGGTTATGACGATTATAGTGCCACTGGGAGGACAGTTAGCCGATTATCTACGCACACACAACATCATGTCCACCACGACGGTCCGTAAAATTATGAACTGTGGAGGTAAGGCAATGATAATGAATAATCTCACAGCTAAAATAATAGTATATTTTAAAGGTACACTATGTAACTTTTTGGTTGGGGGTCCGTCATCTGCTTGTTTCTATGGATATGCCATTGCTCTGCCTAGAATGTTCCACAGTATGACATTAAACAGCTCTGCCTTACATTTTTCAATTACAGGTGGTTTTATAGCTCAGAAATACCTCTCCAATCCATTCATTCATTTGTTTTTCATAATAAAACCAAAAGTAAGAAAATGAAAAAAAAAAAATTTTCTTCATTATTTGTCTCCAAAACCAAAACAAAAAAACAGATAACAAATCGTTGTTTTTTTTCAATTTTCAATTTTGTGTTTAAAGGAACCAGGACTAAACCAGGTCTAAACCAAGTCTAAACCAGGACTATGTCAGTTCTAAACCAGGTCTAAACCAGGACTAATCTTGGGTTTGAGAGAGAAAGAGGGAGAACACTGAGCCTGTGGAGAAGGGTGTCTGCAAAGTGTGACTGGGCGACGGCTGCGCTTTGCCCCGTGGAGCACAGAGCTCTGCACTGGTTCTTTCACCTGCGGTCACCCGACAGTCTACGCGGGCACACCTCTGGGCCCGTTCAGACACTAGTCCTCGTTCAGTCCTGGGTCACTCCGTCAGTCTTTTTTTTTTTTTTTATTCATTTTGTTTTTGGAAGCAAATAATGAAGCAAATAGTTGTTTTTTAATTTTCTTATTTTTGGTTTTAATTTGAAAACCAAAGGAACGAGTGATACACGGATTCTCTCTTACTGCCTCTCCACAGACCTGACCTGTAACTTTGTCTGTTTGGTCTGGAAAGGTTTAATACCATACTGTGGAACAATCCAGACAAAACAATAACATCTCCACACAGAAAAGTGTTTGACAGCCCTCCATCAGAAAAGTTACACAGTACACCTTTAACGTATGCCTGTTTATGTGTAATAGGTTTTGGGATGGAGGCTACACTTCTGTTAGTGGTGGGTTACTCTCACAGCAAAGGAGTCGCAATATCCTTCTTAGTTCTAGCTGTGGGCTTCAGTGGTTTTGCAATATCAGGTAAGTCTATACTATGATAAACAATAACTTTTAACATATACATAACAATAATGTTGAAATGTCATGTGTAGGTTTCAATGTTAACCACCTGGACATTGCTCCTCGCTATGCCAGTATCCTGATGGGCATCTCCAATGGTGTGGGCACTTTGTCAGGGATGGTCTGTCCTCTTATAGTGGGGGCCATGACTAAAAACAAGGTACGTTATCAATCACTGTATAAACATCTAATTTCATTGGTTCATGTCAAAATTGGAAATACATGTTGTGTAGATTCTGTTCACATAGAAAATATTCCAAAATGAAAAAAAAAAAAAAAAAAAAAAGATGTTCAAATTACATGGTCAGCCAGAACCACATGCTCTGATAAAAAATTACAAAGCACAAAACGCAACATAATTAATGATTGAGAAACAGCGTGGATATGCTCAGAATCAACAACTGAAGCACCACAGTGTTATTTATCTCAGGTAAAGGAAGTTAAATATTTTGTTCTGAGTGCTACGAGAATTTTCAAGAGGAGATGTCTTCCAGATTTGAGAGAGACATGCTACAAATTAGAGTAGAGACTCTTTATCTGTGGTTAAAGAGTCTCAAGTTTGGAGAGAGTTTTTTGCGCTCTATGGTCTAGCCGCAAACTCTTCTGGATTCAAACAGAATGTAAAAGGGACTGGCAAATGCTCAATAAGGCAAAATGCATTTTTCAATATGACATATGATAAATTCATTACATGTTATATTAACTGTGTTTTCAACATTGTACATGACAAATAAATCTATCTGTATCTATATTCTAGAATGCAGATTGTACATCTTTGAAGCACTGAAAACTGTTGTAATTAACACCAGAGTGAATAACAAATGTTCTTTCCTGTGCTTTAGACCCGGGAGGAGTGGCAGTATGTCTTCCTTATTGCCTCCCTGGTGCACTATGGTGGCGTTGTATTTTACGGTATCTTCGCTTCGGGTGAGAAACAGCCCTGGGCCGACCCCGAGGAGACCAGTGAGGAGAAATGTGGTTTTATCGATGAAGACGAGCTGGCGGAGGAAACCGGAGACATCACACAGGGATACGGTGCTATGGCAGGACCAGGCTAAAAGCTATGGAGCGACTGCCCAACTCAACGGCGGCTGGGTACAGGACTGGGACAAGACTGAGGAGTACGTCCAAGAACCAGCGCAAAACATGTATGCAGAGGGAGGCTATTCTTAAAAAGGTGGTGAGTCAACCTAAATGGATTGCACAGATGAATATATAATTAGCTGTTTAAATTGTATCAAAGTACCTATGACTAGTTCAAATGCCAGTGTAAACAGATGCGTAGTTAGTTGCAATGCAGAACAATCCCAGTTAATTAGAGTTATTATCATTATATCTACTGTATATAATATAGTGTAGTAGTAGGAAACTGCAGGCTACAGTGCCATGGACGCTGTGATTTCCCTGTGTTGCTTTTGGGTCCGTTCCTGCTAAAGACAAGTCACCTTATTATTATATCAGAAGTCTGCACAATAGCATTTAATAAAGTCATATTCTTGTGACATGTATACTGAGGTAGTGCCCATTTCACCATTTGCGTTATATAGAATAGTACTGCATAGGCCCACATAGCTGCCAGTGGTTTAGAGATGTTTTCTTAATGCTATAAATATGCTTCCTGGCACTTCTTTTTGTGTTAGGTTCGAGCATTTTGTGTAGTGTAGTACTTAAAGCACAGACTTTTGACATTATAATAGGACAATGGAACTATTTTTGGCAGGGATTGTCCTATAGAATGATATAGATGAGATATTCCTGGTTCAGCAGTAACATAGAAATTCCCAAACCTCATTGAAGTACTTGAACAACATGCACCAGGAAACACTGCAGTTGACTATCACATCGGGTCTTACCACTTTGATTGCACTCAGATAAATATAAGTATTCATAATCTAAAAAGAAGACTATTCCGTTTCTCAAATGCGTGTATGTACTGTATATATCTGTATACTGTTTCTGTGAGACTATTGTGCACTTGGGTCGTTGATCTGTGTTTAACATGAATATAAAAAGGCCATATTTTTCATGGACAGAACCTTTTCAGGGAGATGTCTGCTTGCAAAAAAGGCCCCTATCTCGTGATCGAGGCCTATAAATAAAGTATAATATCAAAATAGCGTGAGTGCTGTTGAACTGTAGAGTTTTAGTGTGTGTTTGTTGCATGAAGTTGCTCAAATTAATGTTGACCATTGACAGTCCATACAACATACTGCAATGATATCTGAGTGTCTTCTGCCAATATAAATAATAATAAATGAAACTCCTAAAAATCAGGTGATGGTTACAGACCAAGAGATGATTGTTTTTAAAACATTGTTGAATTGATGTTCGGTGTGCATTGCAATAATTTCTGTGAACCAGCTGCCAATCCATCACACCATATTTTGCAATGCCTTGCTGTATCTAACTGTAATTGTTTTGAAGTCATGTGATGAACAACATTTAAGTGTTTTATCAAATACTATTGTCTGAAGTCGATTGTGCTCCCAATGGCCAGACATGGTATTGCATTTGACAGCAAGAATGCAGTGTACTGTATTTGAACAACCAGGTTTTTGTGCTTTATTGGTGTTTTTCATTGTCACCAACTTGATTGCCTCTTTGATATTGTCAAACTTGAGTGAACCATGTTAATAGATGGCTCTTCCACCTTGATTTCTATTTGCTCAAATTTGTTGCTGCAAGGATATTTAAAAATATAAGAATATTACGAATGTTTATGATGACCAAACAATGCTTTATTGGCTTTGTGCCTCGAGTTTATGTAAAACAGACAAATGTGATTTTATGGCTTCTATAATTGTGTTTATTGAAGAGGTATGTAGATGTCAAAGGTATTATAGAAATGCTCATATCATTTTATATAAAAATATACAATATCAAGCTAGTTTTTGTTGTGCTTTCTTTCTGTTTGTTGATGGGAACTACATGTTGAATGGTTACTAGTCCTTTGAGACTGTTCACACACCTAACCAGCTTCCCTCTCCAGTCTGTGTCATGCATTTCCAATTCATTCTGCGTTTCTCATTAGGAAATCAATGGCCTTGGTCTCTTGAGTTCAGGGCAGAGCATTGGTCCTTGTCGTTCACTAATTGGTGAAAGGGGATAGGAGCACCAGAGCTAATGCTATTACAGTGTATCTTAGGAAACTCCAGTTATTTTCGACTTCACTAGCGTCTGGCATTGTTTATAGGCTGTGTAAAAGGTGTCATGTGGGTGTATAATAGTCTGATGAACCTCTTAGCAACAACAAATCCATGGGTTTTACAGTGATAAAAAATTTAGCTCTATCTAATCTAATCTTTTGAATGTATAACAATTCTGAAAATATCAGCTATAAACAGGGAACTGAAACCTTAATGACTGAATCTTGATTAAAAATTGATTAATTGCACTGCCCTAAGCCAGTGTATGTTAAAGTGATATGTAAATCATGACAGTCTTGAAAGCAGATGGTAATTAAAGAAAGGGAAATACCAAAAGGAAAGACGAAAATCACTTGTGTGTCCTCCACTGTTACATGTAGGGCATTCAGATATTGACCAGTGTGAGATAAAATCCCTGTCCAGTCAATAATGTTTAAGCCTGGCATATGTAAAACACCATATGTATCAGTAATTATTATGCTTAATTCAACACAGAATAGGAATGGAAATATTTCAATTAATCATATTTGTACATTCCACTGTACAGCAAACTATAGCTGGGGTCAAAAGTGGTTATACATTTTGGTTTCTAATTCATGTCTCACAATCGACTATAACTTGGGGCATTTAATGTTTCTTGGAACAACAGTTTGCCTCAATGGGTTGGATTTGAAGTAAGGAAACTAATAATTTATGGATGCAGCGAAAGAGAGTTGGTTGGTGAACAAGAAGGGGACACAAAGCAAAGAGCTAAGGGTAACACAACGATTCTCTAAGCGAATGTTTAATACAAAATTTACCAGATGTTTACAGTCATACTTGTTTCTTTTGCAGCATATGTGAAGTCTAATAAAAGCCCGAGCACCTGCTGAGGCATCTTAAGTGAGAGGTGTGCAGAGTGGAGCTGTGATGATTCTCCCTCTGGCAGATCATTCAACACAAGCCGACAAACCACAGCCGCCTGCCTCTGACTGAGCTGCTAAATTATTCAGGGAAACATGGCGCCCATTCACTCTTTCTTTCTTTCTTTCTTTCTTCGTCACTCTTGTTCTCAGCACAAATTACCAGATTGTTGTAAGGCTTGACTAAAGGTGAAAACTATAGCTATATGTTAAATAATAAGAATTGTTGCAGTTCTAATTCAGTCAGATCAGGAGTTAAGAGATAGACTGATATATTGGTTTGCCAGTATATCTGGTTGGTATTTGCACATTTTTGCCTAAACCTTCTGTCTAGGGCAATATTTGGTTTGGGCTCACGAATTACTGCATAAAGTTTTATTTTAACACTTTAGTGCAATAATGGCATTAACAAAATGAGATTACACTGCTCCGTTATGGGATAAAAGCATAAAAGTATAGACAATATTTATGTTAGAAATTTAAAATAGTATATTTTTTGGCAAAAATGATCCAAATCTGCCTTGTATATCGACCCAAAAATCTGTCAGAGCTTATTGGTTGCTATGTATTCTAAACAACTGGTAATGGTACTGGTATTGGTATCATGAAAAAAATATATCGGTGGATCTCTAGTTGGGATAGGTGACATAGGAAAAAATATATACAATTAGCTTGCAGTTAGATAACAATTATGATTTTTATTGGTGGTGAATAAAATAATCTGCTTCTTTTGAAATTTCACATTTCACTGTGACTGGTTAAATTCAACTGTCAACTCACTCCCTTACAGATACTAAGCAATAGAAGATGTGAGTGTTTGAGCAGAGGGCTGCGGATCACAAAATGAAGATATGACCAAAATAGCAGATAGTCACAGGGATTAAATTATGATTCAGTTTTATCACCATATTGCCCAGCCCTAATTTGGGAGAGGCAGTTTATAACAAAAGTGAAATACTTCATTAGTTTGTATCTAAAAAACATGGTGGCAGGAGTTCAGATGGTAAAGTGTTTGTCAATGTCCATTAATCCAAAGCTTGGTGATTCGAATCCAGCTCTTGATATAAACAGAATTGGTTGAGTGTTCAGATCCACTGACTCACAGGTTGACCCACATGCTATTGTTGTGTTCTTGATCAAGACACTTAACCCACCTTACCTAACATGTCTGCTTACACTGGTGTATGAATGTGTGTGTGTGAATGGGAGAGTGGTTCCTTTATGAAAAAAACGATTTGAGTGCCTTGAAGGCGGAAAAGCGCTATATAAACATGTGACCATGACCATTTATCATACCTAGTACTGTATGCAACTGCTTTTCCTTCTAAAGAAGAAATGATGGACAGGCAGGAGGCTGATAACAACAGGAGGTGCTCTGCTTACATCAAGTTTAAACACATGATTGACACTTTAACTACTGTATATTTAGCAGGCAGAAAAAGAATATAGTCAATCATAGTGCTGTTTTATTTTGACATCCCCCAACTGAGTTTTTGGCACGTCAAACTTCACGACTGCTTCCTCCAATAACCTGCTCATGCCAAAAGTCGAACCGTTTCGTGAGTTGTAACTTGGACTTGTTAATTTGACAGAAAACCCAATTGTCCCGGCAGCCACGTGGAACATGTTTTCTCAAGCCTAACCAGCCAGAATGGTCACGCCTGGTGCACCAGAGATGTGCCTGTTAGGCTCCCACCACCAGTAATTGGAGGAGATCTGCCAGAATATTTTTATCCAGTAATCCAAGCTAGTATACTGAGTTATGTATGGCCTAAAGTGTTAGGAGACAGGGATAATGTAATGAATATGTGTATAGAAAAATAAAATAAAGACTAGAGATGTGATGAAAAACTATTTCCACAATACAAGACAAGATTGGGTCTACGAAAATGAAACAAGATGTGATTTTAACATAATTCGTAACATATAAATTTTACTATTCAGTTTCAAACTTTGGCCTCAAATGTTTTTATATATCTATATTTTGTTTTCATGCAAGCATTGCTTTTTGGAGCTATAAGAGATGTAACTCACTAACACATAATCTTTTTTTTTTTTTACAATCCAAATATAAACACTTGGAAAAAGATATTGAGATAATTTTTCTCATGTGTGCCCAAGCTTGTCAAAATTTTGTCTCGTGATATCTTGTACCATCTCTAATAAGGCCATAACAATATAAAAAAACTTAGTTTGGCCTCAGAAAGTGCACAAAAATAGTTAACAATCCCCTAAAAAATTATGATATTTTGTGATATCTTTATGTGGGACATGGTGGGGGAATTGATAGTGGTCTGGGGCAGGTGCCGTTTGACTCCTATGGGACTGTAATGGGATGAAGCTCAGCCAGATGAGTGTTTGATGACAGGGGAACACTCTTCCCCTGGGACGCTGCCTGCAAGCAATTACACCACTGATCCCCTCTCCTTTCTCTCCGGTCACCACTCACTGCTGTATTCTCAATATCTTAAAAAAAAAGGTTTGCATCTCACAAATACAACATAGTATCAAATTAATTACTATTTTATGCCACCTCTAGTTATTTTTCAACCCGGGTAAATTTTGTCTAAACACAAATGCCTGGCTTGTGTTTTGCTAATTGTTTTATTAATGAAGAGCTTGGAACACCAAATCAAATCTGTCTCATAGCAAATAACACAATACACATCTTATCCACATTCTAAATAATGTAGAAATAGCCAAATTATCACAGATGCCACCAAATAGTAAGTGTTAAGAACTGAGAATGAATCGAATAGGACTCCATCTTGCTTTCCAGAAAAATAAAGATAGTTATATGCATGTGAGGAAATCCAAGCTGGTCTTCGCCATCTCCCCTCCCCCACAGCACACAGTGTTAACAGCTTCTTCACAACCACAGCAGACAAAGGAGGAGGAGAGGATGATAAGATTTTACACGATATTGTCAGCGATAGCACTTCACACAACAAGCTCTAAATTGATTTAAGCATTAAGGTAATGTGAGGAGAGCTTAGTCTGTCAGTGGTGGGTGTATACACTGGACATTCAAATGATTAGATTTAATTAATTAAATATTGTTGGGGCTTATCGGATCTAAAAAAACAAAAAACAAATATACAGTAGCTCTACTATAGGGGTGGGACAAGGTCTCGTGCCGCAAGATCTTCTAAGACAAAATTGCCACAAGATCATGCAAAATTGTGAGAAAAAAATGATCTTTTGAGATGTTTTCCATGTGTTTACATTTGGGCTGAACTAAATAAGGTTTAAGTGCTGGTCACTTGCATATCTTGATAAGCTTTAGATCCAAAAAGCGCTACACTGACAACAAAAATATAAATAAAATAAATGGTGAAGCCAAAATGAAACTGTACAATTTTATATACTCTAATAATGACATATAGAAAGTTGAAGCTTTGTGAATCTCTTTATGGTGTGACTTTAAAGGTGCAATGTGTAACATTTCTAGTGGAGCAAATACCCCCTGCTTGTCTCCATGGACATGTGATTGCTTTGTCTATAATGTTCCACAGTGTAGATTAAACCTATCTACTACAAGGGAGACAAGCAGGTTGGAGCACTAATAAACATTACAACATTACAATTCAGATCTGTGGAGAGTCGGCCCTATTCACAGAAGGAGTTCATATATATTTTTGAGCAATAGAAACACCTGTAAATTAGTAAATGTTATGTTTAATGTCATACCACCGAACATTCCAGGCAAAGCAATAACATCTCCATGGAGACAAGCATATAGGAGACTCTCCACCATTGACTAGCTATAATAAAGCTTCAAATATAGCACTCAACATCAACTAAAGCGGTCAAATATGCCACTGGGTGTATTTTTTCATTAAAAGTACCATAATCACTCACATGATTCTGATCATTTGATGTGCAACGGCATCAAATATAAAAATTACAGGAGCATTTCTTTAATTACAATAATTTCATCCCAGTCTTTGTTATATTCTTGCCTGCGTGTTTGCTGACAGTGGCCTCTCATTACTGGGGATGCCCTGACTGGGACACAGGTGTGCACTGGCCTCTCTCTCGCCTGTGTGATCTGTCACCAGACCCAGACGGAGGGCAGACTGGAGCGGCTTAGGCACGTGCCACTGTGGGATGGTCTCTCCCCCTCCTCCTCCCCCAACCCGCCCCTCGAAAAAGCCTATTCACACACCAGATGGGGGCTGGATCTGAGTTTTAATGAATGCTAGCCTTCACAACCTTTCCTTCCTTTATTACCACATGCTGACGGAGAGCAATCTAACACCAGAATTACATTGTGCTGGTGGGGAGACAATCTCAGGGATATGGTATCATGATATCAACTACGATTATTACAAAGACCTAAAAACTGTTCAACCCTTTTGTTGTACCAGAAAGCAACCCTATAATTTTCCATTTAGGGTCACAAAAAGGGCCATTTATTCTCATTTAGCTTTGGATAAATGGGAGGGGAAAAGCTGGGTGGGTAGTTTGCGGCTTTTACCACAAAGCTTTAAATATAATATACATCAATAAAAAAATAACTGAATATTTCAGCAGACATTTCAAATGCAAACATATTTAAGGTTTGAACACAACTGTAAACTAGAGAAACTGCAGAAATTGATAGACTGGTAAATAGATAATTAAATGCCTTAATTATCACTATAGTTGCTACTTCTGACAAAGTGTTAAAATCCAATCCAAATCCACTTTATATCTATAGCACTGTTTCCAAAGTGCTGCACATAGAGAAATATAAAATGTACAATGTAATACAATAATAACATAATAAAACACCAGAGTAAAAACAAATAAATATAAAACAGTAAAGTATACCCATAGGAATACATAAATTAAAAAAAACAAAACAATTAAAGACAAGAGAGAACCACACGACTCACGTGGTGTTAAAAACCACAGAGTAAAAGTGGGTCTTAAGACTGTAGAAGAGAATGTATGCAAATATAAGCACTTTCATTCCCTACAATCTTGACACAAAATATTTCTTTCTGGCTATATTCATAAGTCCAATTCAGGAAAGCAGTAAGTGTGCATTGAAAACATAGCTTGTATATATATGAGCACACTATAGCTAACCCGCTAGCTGGGGTATACCAAATAGGAAGTGATCATGGGGACACTTCCCGCTCCATCGACTCTGACTCCTTTACATTTACTAGTAGAAACGGTCACCCCTCTCTCTAACTGCTGCAATGAGCCTTATCATTTTGGCCTTAAAATGTTTGTATTAACCCGCTCTACATGATCCTAGTGTTTTTATTTCGCTTTTTTGTCCGTAAATAAATTCCTATTGCTAACATGGAACTTGGCTCATAATTCGCTCCTATAACTGCTACCCTTGTGAGCTTAATTTGACTGGAGCTGAATGCTATGGGCGACGTCACACTCTCTTAGTCCACTTCTTTATACAGTCTATGGTTGAAACTTACACACACATCACAATTGGAACTAAACCCAGAACTACATCACAACAAGACCAAACTGGGTCTATATAAAGAGCAAGCTGGGCCCAAACCAGGACGTCATATGAACACTCCCCCTGAATCACTGCGGTAGGGTGCATATGCTGTAGACTGGCTGCTCATAAATTGGGTGTGTACACGTGGAGCCCTATTCAGTGACCCCTGTCTGTCTCTATGTGAATGGCTGGTGGCGAGTTAAACGAGCCGTGGATTGTTGGTGTTTCACGTCTGGTGCGGTTATGTCACACAGAAGCCATTGTTGTTAGAACTGTGATTGAACACGCCTCATGTGGCTAATTGATCCCTTGCTGCACATTTATTGACACATGTTCGTGAATTAGTGGCCGATCCAAACTATCAATTTAAAAGAAAGTTGCTTTGTTGTCACGATTTTATTTATTGATTTACTTTTTTGTTTTTGTTATTTTTGCCATATAGCTTACTGCCCCCACGCACACACACACATAAATTTGCATTCTTAATTCTTGTCAATAGTGAGAGAAAACAAGCATACCTGAAGGGAATGAGCTCTAAAGAGGATGTGACTCAGTGATCATAGTCGAAAAGGACTGAACCTTGAGCTGAGCTGGGAGAACAAAAATGAAAAGAAACGGTTTAAGTAAAATCTCATGTTGCCTTGCCTAAAACAATACTATTTTGTATTCAAATTGTCATTAGAAATGAAATATAACAAAATTACATTTAATATTATAAATACTTTAATTATATTACTTATTAGGTGCCATGGTGATGATGTGGGCACAAGGACAATATTGTGAAGTTGAATAATGAAGCCATCAATCTCCTGAGATTAATTTTCCCACTGCAAACTGACAATTATTGAGTCAAGTCACATGCTGTGCCTGGTTAAGGAGTGCACATGCTACCATCTGTTCAGAGAAACGCCACCAACAAAATGCTTCTTCCAAAAGAAATAAGGAAACTTTTTGTCCAACTAGACAAAATAACATTGTAATTTATTTTAATTAATAGAGAAAGTATGTTGGCTTGACCTGAAATACAAAATGATCCTAGAATGATACAAGACATTTAGGCAAATAATAAATAATATATAGTTTATAAGAGCTAAAAAAACAACAACATCTGAGCTCAGCTTTATGGCTTCAATGAGATTATGAACGTGTCATTTCAAAATTTCAGACAGTAGATCTCCCCATATACTCAGCCCTCTGACATCAAAGTCCCCATCAGTAAACTTTAAAGCCTTCAGCTCAGTTTCCAAATGGTCCTTCAGAGAAACACTGCCTTTAAACAAGGATACAAAGTGCTCCGTCAGATTCTGGAAAGATACAGAAGGATTTTTGCTGACTGGAATCCACTCCCCGTTATTTATATCATACTCCATTTCTTTGGCCCACTTTTTGAGGACATCACAGTACAAATCTCTAAATCTCAAATGCTTTTTGGCTATGTTTGTGAGAAGTGACGAAGGCAGTGAATGACACATGTATTCCAAAAAGTTGTGCTTTAGCTCTAACCAGTCCAAAATTATCATAAATTCTAAATCCATTCTTGATTCATTTTGTAAAGCAGCACAGATTACTCCACAAAAATGTTCCTGTGCATTTTCATATTCTCCAAGAACAGAGTCCAAAAACTGGTTTGCTCTATGGCCATCACTTTGCGTCACCACAGCATTTAGTTTTTCCAGTAACAGTTCAGATTGAACCTCAGCATCAGCACCAGTTGTTGATGGTATGTTGACATTCCCCAGTATTTTGCACGCAGACTTACTCTCAATAATACGGCTGCAAATACCTGTCACGTCCTGATAACTATTCCCATTATTGTTTAAATGTGTAGATTTATCAAATAGTATCTTCATGATAGCTACAGGGACGTGAGTATTGCGTAGAAGTCCTTCCAGCAACAGGTTTTGACAGCGCGACAAGTCACTAAAGCAGAGCGCAGTGTAGTTAGGGAAAACTGATCTCAAGCTCTGGTTTGTCATCTCCAGCTGTCTCTCCATCACCTTTCGTATGGCCGGGCTATGATGAAACCGGCTATGGATGTGCTGGCAGTACAGGGCCCAGTGAAGCGCCCTGGACAGCGTCTCCTCGTCCCATCGTGCCACGGCGTCACTGTGCGTCGCCACGGCCAGCAGCTCCATGGTGCTCGACAGGTTTCTCACCATCGCCTCCATGTGGCGATGTGTGAGCTCCACGGGCAGGGTTGTTTTCTATGCGGACGCTCCACAAAATTTCATGATTTGAGCTTCAATCGCAGAGACATGCTAGGATGGAGAGGAAAACAATGAATTGAATCGTTCACCATTGCTCGCGCACATAACAAGAGTACACTTTGATCTTAGCACTAGGCAAGCAAAGAAGGCTAAAAACAACCCTAACCCGAGAACTAAAGTCTTCATAAAACGTGTAAATGGTTCAACTATTTATTCAGAGGTCAGTGTGTTATTCTGGATTAAAAATGCTGGCATTAAAGACTTACTTGGTTGCTCAAAGTCTCCTTCTTCACCTTCTTTTTCTTTTTGTGTAGAAGTTCTACCGGTTTCACTTCCGCGCATGCGCCGTTTGTTGAATGCGTGACCAACTTTTTGCATAATATAAACAATGATGCCATGCCATTTGATATCATCCAGCAAACACGTCTGAGCACTCCTCGCATTTTTTTTTTAATGTAAGTATGAAAATATTTTGGAAAATGCGTTATAAAGCAAAACAGAATATAATAGTTAAATAGAAATGAAAGCCTGTGCAATTTACTCATTCAAGCTCTCTTTTAAAATAGTAGACGAGATTTTTGGCAAGAGGAATAAACTTGGACTGAGACGACAAAGACTGGAGGGGCGAGTCGAGAGGGGGCTCATAGTCGCGGGACTTCCCTCCCATCAGCTGCAGCGTGCTCTGACTGCATGTGTGTGTTGATGAGCGTGTATGAGGCAGTCTTGGGTTCAGACTGAGCAGAGAGGAGCGCCAGGTCCAGTCCGCGGTCCACACTCCTTCACTATTTATGTGCCGAACCTGTGGCTCAGAACTCCGCTGACGGGAAAGCATGAGAGCATTGGTCCAACGGATGAGTGGACGTGAGAGAGGAAGCTGAAGCCCAAGGGTAAGGACAGTTTTGGAATCATATGGCACACCATGATGGAGGTGAACAGTCTCATATTTAATGTTTTAGTTTTTACTCTATAGTCTATTTCTCGTACTTGTTTTGTACATTTTTCGTCTAACCAGATAGTAAAAAATGTAAACCAGCTTTTGGAAACGTTTTTTGTTTAACTTTTACAGTTTTTTCCACAGTAGCCATGTGGATTTAGATCCATTAAAATTCAATAGGCCACTTGACACAACCCTCCCAGTTTTTCATCTTAAATTGAAAAATGTTTGTTGTGGTTTTGTGACACCCTTAAGAAAGAGACAGCCTTAACTTTTTTATTGCTGTCTGCATTTCAAGTGGACAACTCTGTCCAAAACATTGTAAAATCCATTAATTTAATGTGTTAACATGTGGTTTGATGAAACCCAGACAGACCTTTGACAATTCATAGAAGACATGGGTTAGACTGCTATATTGCTCTGTACAGTAAGTTTTTTATTACAAGGATATTGTGCAGAAACTATTAACCATGTACCCTGTCTCTGCTTATGGGTCACTGTGAGCAAACGTATTAATCAAAAAATTACAAAGCAATTTAACTTGTGTTTATGGCTGTAATTTTGTGAATTCCTCTTTTTCTGAGATATGCTATTCTAGTTTTAGACAAGAATATAATACTGTGAGAAAATAAGACCTATAAGATCTGACCTAAGCATAATGGGTTACCCAAACAAATCACAGTCTCTGTTTTGGTATGCCAGATAAAATATTATTTATATGCCCTATTGTAAACAGCATGTAAGCGAACAGACAGTAAGGTTTCCCTATGGCCGTACTGTGCAGAGGGGAAAAGCATGATATTCAGGAGGACAGAGTCGCTCTTGTTCTTTATAATTGACGTGATTCTGTTCAGTTGAAAAAATCCCACCGTGTGCTTTGACTGGAGCCATCTTTAGCTGATGGCAGTATGTTATTGCGGCTTTACTGGAGTCATGAGGCCAATGTATCTTTTAATGCCCCATGATAGAGGTTATCTGTGAGCACATCCAATCCTGAGTCTAAATAGGAAAACAACATGGTTAAATAGACAGGTGATACTCGTGTGTTTTTTGAGTTAGAGTTGAAGAGGTCAAGCTGCAGTGTGGTGAGAGGAGGCAGGTATGTCCAAAAACAACTGTGGGTGTCTTGGGACCATTTCTCAAGAAAAAGAAAATATGCTATGTTTGTTCACTAAAAATGTAGTTTTTGTTGTTATAAATTTATCAAGCAAGAAAATACAATGGTATTGCTCAAACTTGGGTTCAATAAAGTTTGGATACTGTAAATTCACTGCAAAAATCTTGAGACCAGAAAAAACTTTAAGTTTGAGCTGTGCATTTGTTTTCAGTTGTGCACAATAGCTGCTTTGTATGGCTTGAAAAGTTTACTTTTGTGTCCCTTGATAGTGCCTGATTTTATTAAAACAGTAGGTTATACAGGGTTTGCAAATCACTCTATTACTTTGGATTTCTTTACGACACATTTACATTGACTGTGGTATGACTAGACAGAATATGTCAGCAAAAAAATATACAGCAAATGGCACTGTTTGAGTGTGTTTGGGCCGTGTTGCTTGTTCTGTCTGTCATGCTGGACATGGGAATCTTACACTTGAATGTTAGTGCTGAGGTCTGGACTTCACTGTGTTTGGGAAGTCTTTAAGACGACAAGACAACCTTGGTCTGACATCAAGGTCTTAATGCTCATAGTGACACCATTGTGTGATTCGGTAACAGCCGACTACAAAGGACCTTGAAATGTTGTACAGTTTTAGTGCAGATTCCTTGCATTGTGTCATCCCCCATCTGTATTTGATATCACCACACAGAATAAAATGACTGACAGATTTCTTGTTTGCATAAGGCGGTTCCTCATTTGCCTGCTGTGTGTATTTACGCAGAAAGATACAATGCCCCAATAAAATGCACTATGTAGTCTTGACAATGAGGATTTGGATGAGTGTAAACAAATCTGTTTTGTTCTTTTATAGCTTACCAGACAAAGTAAAGATTTATTGTGTCTTTAGTGTAAAGTATAAGTAAATTCATAGGTAAGTTCGATTGCTTTGTAAATTTTGATGGAATATCTCTAGCATAGTGATAAATAATTTTCTCACACACAGTTAGTTGTTGTAGATATCAATGACTGCCTCTTGATAAAATTGTTAAGTGGAGTGTTGACTGTATTGATATGCTCTTAATCAGAAGCTACTCTTATGGTGTGAGACTAGCTTGATGTGCTTTATTATTAAAAATTATTTAATCAATACTGCTTGCGTGCCTCAGAATGCAGATTACACAGTGAACATCCTAACAGAAGTCAAGTGATTGAATAAAGCATTATTACAGAAATGGTCTGAAGGAAATGTGTTCCCCTTCACTTCTATAGGGAACCATGTGCAGCTCCCTGAGTCCCAAACAGACCATTGGTCCGGGCCTGACTGACATGCAGCAGTATCAGCAGTGGCTCGCCAGTCGCCATGAAGCCAGCCTGCTGCCCATGAAGGAAGACCTGGCCCTCTGGCTCTCCAATATGCTCTGTAAGGCCAGCTCATTAATATTGTTCACATATCTATAGTGTATACTGCATTTTATTTCTACTGTTGGCAAGAAACTGTTTAAATACAGATCAGTCCAAAAATAGAAGCTTGGCTGTGATGTTGCTGAATGTGCTTTTTGGGCGCTTTACAATCAATGTGAACCTCATTACTGCTGTTAAGTAGCTTGAATTTGTGAACTTATATAGATTTTGTACTAATGAAATGATGGCCATCGTTAATAGTTACTGATAAACACTGTAACTTGAACTTGAACAAAAATGGCACAAGCATCAGCAAAGTGAGGATGAAAATTTACAAATGAACATGGATGAATAAATGTCCCATCTATTGCAACCTATGGATCACACATGTTGTGAATAAAAGTATTTGATATTTAGCTATACATTCTTTAGTAATTCATGAATTCAAAACAATTCATGAATTATCAATTCTAACAGATTGCACATGAGACAGACCAATTTTCTTCCAGCATCTCTTTATTTAATTTATGAAGTCTGACCTGTACGTCTGGCACCATGTTCCCAGCATAATTTGCACTGGGCTCGCATTTTTCACACCAACTATTTAGGTTCCTGAAACAGACACAGATTTGAACATCTTAAAACAACTTCTCTATCAGGATTGCTATCTCTGGCTGCCTATGTGTTTACACTGGAGTTAACTGAATTACACACCAGTACTCTGGATATAATTGCAAATAATTGAAAATCATATTAAAATGCTTAAAGGTCCTATATTATGCAAAATTGATTCTTGTGAGCCATGTTATAATAATGTTGTTACCTCCTCAGCAACATACCTGGAGTTGTCTTTTGTTTCATTCACATTATTACTATTAATTATTACTGTCACATAATTATTATTTGTTTGTTTGCATCTCCAAAACTCAAAATGCCCTGTTCCACCTTGCAATGTCACAGAGTGGTAGTTTTCAAGTTATCATTTACCTTAAACTTTCAGTTCAGTAGAGATTGGCAATTCCAGGGCTGAAATCATCCAAATCATTCTAGTTAAGGGGAATGGAGTGGAACACTTCCTATATTAGCACATGACATCACAAGGTGGAACAGAGTATTTTCAATTTGAGAGAATAACTCAGGCTAAATGTGCAGGGTTTGTGCGTTAAACATGTGTGAATGAAACAAAACACAACTCCAGTTATGTTTCTGATGAGAAAACAACATTGTAAGAGATCAGAACAAAGCATAATATGGGCCCTTTAAGATGAGTCTATTGATTGAGTAGGTGGATACCCACTGGCTGCTGCATTGGTGACTCATTTATTTGAAAAGCCAAGGCATAACATACATAAGGGTGAGTATTATATATTTTGCTATGGATCCCTTTGGAGTTGATTTTTCCTATATGTGCAATGCTTAGTTTAGTATAGGCATAAAACTAAAGCTGGTTGAGTATTTTTCAAGATCTCCATTTTCTGGCCACAATTACAACATTTGGAACTCATTAAAAGCCTCAGACCCCCTCCTCCTATAAGAAACAGAAAGGGTATAAAAAAACATCTCTGGAGTTACTTTCCCGTAGACACCACCCCCCATCACCACCTCCAATTTCACTATGATCTAACCTAACAAGAATGGTCGCTTGGAAGTCAGTCAAATGGACAGCTCAAGTTGATCTTAACCCATATATCAGAATAAATCTACTGGAGAATGTGGTTCTATCATGCAATTCCTATATGTACAAAGAGCATTGCAAAATTAATGTGCTCAAGATTTGGATACTGCAGAATCTACAACTATACCATTATATTTCGGCAAAAACTGAACCACAAATGGGATAATAAATGCCTGGTGGTTAGTTATTCTTTTTTGATGAATTGTGTGTGCTGGTTCTTTATGCCTCCCCTGGTCAGGTCTGGAAATCACCGCCGAAAGCTTCATGGATCGCTTGGACAATGGCTTCCTGTTGTGCCAGCTGGCTGAGACACTGCAGGAGAAGTTCAGGCAAAGCAACGGAGTCCTGTCTCCACTTGGCAACAATAAGGTAACAGAAAACCTGAGTGTTACAGCAGCGATAACAATCTCACTTTTCTAAACAGATTCTAAAATGACTTTGAATATAAATGGTTGAAAGGGAACATTTTAGGTCCAAAAAGCCAGGTGCTTTGGACTGCATATTGGCAAATGTAAGAACTCAAAAATTAGGGATGAATTGTATTCGGGATGAAAAGCAGTGATAACAGTTGAAATATTTGCATTTCATTATTAATATAAACAAATATTAAGATGCTTCAATTATACATTAAAGGTACACTATGTCATTTTTCTGGTGATGGGTCAAACTTCTATTTGTCTTCGAAGCACTTATGAAGCACTTATTTTACTACAGGGTTATTGTTGCTCAGAAATCCCTTGAAAAGTAATCATTCTTATTGCAATTAGGATTGCTTCTCCATAGATTTGACCTGTAACTTGGCCTGGAGGGGCTCCCTGCATGCCCCTTAATACCATACTGTGAAATTTTCCGAGCAAAGACAACATATCCACATAGCAAGTGGATATGTTGAAAAGCAACACAATGCAGTTTTTTTTAGCTGTGTTAGCAGCTTTTTCACAGTTTAGACAGGCTTAACAAAACCTTTTATTCTTTATGAGACAGAAAGCCTAAATTGGGGTATGGAGTGTGTGGTTTTAAGCAGGGCAACAAAAACTTTGGCAAGAACTCATGAACCATTGGGGCCCTATCATAGACTGTAAGAAGTGGCAAAGTATGTTTCCTTTTAAAGACATGAGGATTACAAGGATTTGCTTTTCATTAAATTGCATTTAACTTCACAACAGGGTTTACTCATAAAAATAACTGTTTACACAAGTTGAGCATGCACCTGAAGTTGTCAACAGATGATGGAAGAAGTCAGTGTTTCATCCAGTCCAACAATTTTGAAATTGAGTTAAATAAATAGAGAGCTTTATTACATTAATAAAAGAATCACGCGGCTGTATGTCTTAGTAAACAAGTCCTTTTGAAGTCTCTGGGTGAATGTGATTTGCTCCACTTGATAAATTGTCCTCACTTCCTTTGCTCAAAGTGGTATAATTGACATTTTAACCTAGTTTTATTGTATACTGACTCTGCTAAATCTTATTTTCTGAACATGAACGTTTGTTTTTGAAAGCCTTTTCCTGTTCACACTGTGTATAGCAAGCTAAAGGCATATTTCTGGCTCTTCTGAGGGACTTGTTGATGTTTGCACTGTGGGGCTGGTGATGGTGGGTCTCCTGATCTCAGTGTGACGCAGTGTAACAGATGTAAGGAAACTCTCGGGTCAATGACCGTGAGACAGCAGAGGATGCACTGAATACAGAGTCTTTTCACTGAAGACATTGAGAAACAAGGCAATACCAATGTGACGCAGTTAGGACTTCAATTCAATCACTGACACCAGATTTTTTTTTCATTTACAAAAATACTGCATCCTTTTTATTTATCCATAGGGATGCACCGATCTGATAATGAAATTTTTGGTGGATCATACAAAGATTATCTGTGGTTAATTGAGGGATACATAACAAATACAAAACATTTTTAAATCAGTTTTATCATATTTAATTTTTGTTTTAAAGAAATAAATGCTATTTTCAGTCTGTGCTCTGGTACTGACATTAGATATTGGCAGATACTTAAAGCTACTTAAATTATCAGCATTGGTATCAGAACTGAAAATGCTGGATTGGTGCATTTCTATTTTGCCATGCCTAGTAACTTGTGGTTGTTGGTTCATTTCCCCTTCCCTCATTTGCTTGTTCTCTTGGACACTGTTGCCTGTTTTTGTGGCATTGCATTGCTGTCTAAACTTGTGAATTCTTATTGTGTGTGATCAATAGGACAAACAGATCTATATTGTTTTGCATTGGTCTCATAAAATAGTTACGCATAATAACATTGTTTCACATTATCTGTATAAAAATACATAATATAAAAACTCTCTAGTGTCTTAAAGCAATTTATATTTTGATGTGGATCATGAGACAAATCCATAAATCATATTGAGTTGTCTAATGCACTTACATCAATCAATAAGAATAGAATAGAGATAACATTTAAGCCCTCTCATAGGCTTGTCTTTTGTTCAGTGCAGCCTTCATTAATTGTTAAAATCGATTGATGTTTTAAAGCAAACAAGATCAGACTTCACAGAGCTGTGACAATGAAGGGACAATAGAAGGGGCACAGTGATTTTTTTTTCCTGTGGAAATAAACTAAACTAACAGTTGTAATATGCCCTTTGTAGTTTTTGTGTACATTTGGCATTATCAATCACCAAACTTTTAATTAATCATCTCCATAGTTGTGCAGCTTCTGTGCACTGAATATAATTGTAATATTCACTTCAAATGACAATGTAATGATGTGGCCAACATTATTTCAACAGGAATTACAACAAAGCTTTTCCAGAAGGAGTCAGGAGTAGAGCCCGGAAAGCAAAGAAAAATACCCCAAAACCCAATTGCATAGTTTCAGCATGAGCTCATTGCACCTTTCTCATAGCTCAGACGCACATATCCTGCATAAAAACCACAGCCAAGCATAAATCTCCCAGTAAGGACCATGTGGGGGCTGAGTGCCATAAGCATGTCATTTGATCCTGAATACAGAGGGCCTGGTAAAATAGGTCCAGTGTACTAACCCGCCATCTCTTATATTGATCTGTATGGAAGCGATCCTGGTTGAAATCAGAGCCTTAACAGATGGAAAAGAAATCAGTGCATGATAAAGCCTGAATGGCCCTATGTTTTGAAGAAAGCCCTGGGGTGATGGGTGAAGTCACACTCTCTTCCTATTCATCACAAGTTAGAAGATCATAAATGCAAAAGTTAACTCTTTGTTTGCAGACCATTCCCTATCGGAGGATTCCATGCCGGAAAAGTGCACCGTCAGGATCTTTCTTTGCACGGGACAACACAGCCAACTTCCTGTCCTGGTGCAGAGAGGTTGGAGTTGGGGAAACATGTCTATTCGAGTCTGAGGGTTTGGGTGAGTGCTTTTAACACCCGAAAATATAGGCCAGAGAAGCAAATAGCCTAATTGGGAATGTAGAGCATCACATCACTGTATCTCACTTATTAAAGGAGCACTATGTAACTTTTCTGGTGGAGATATTATTGCTTTGCCTAGAATGTCCAGCAATATGGTATTATATTTGTCTATTTCCATAAAAATCAACTATGTGACGCCACCAACTAAGTTACAGGTCAGAGGATAACATTATGACTGTTTTCTTAAATAGGTCTAAATTAGGCCCTATAAATCACTGCAGTGTCAAATGTTATAATAAGATTGCATGCACCTATTAGGGAATATATAATTTTGTTGCAGCAGTATACTCAAAAGTCCAAGTCCTGTGCTCTTTTCTGGTAATCCTTTACAATATGAACTAATAACAGCAAAAGGAATACATTGCTTCATAATTATTTAACGGTAGCAGTAAAGTAGCAGTTCAACAACACAATGAGCCCCCCAGTCTCACAATAAAAATCATTATGAATATTTGGAAACCTATTTTTAACTACAAATGATAGTGCTCTTTGATGATTCTTACACCCTTCAATTAGAACTAACTCAAACCATTTGAGCTATAGCTACTAACAGGATAAGATATTCAGCTGTCAATGGTCATAAAGTTATGCGTACATGTCCATAAGGTCTAAAAATAGTGGAGAAAGAAACAGGACTAAGATTAAGTCTGATTGCATCCACACTGCAACAAAGAAAGCAGCAGCCACAGAGGGGTGTGAGATGGTGAGAAAGTAGGCCAGCAATATGCAAATGGATCCGAGTTGGGACAGTTCACACTCAGCCTCTTTTATCAATGTCTCAAATTAGCTATAACGATTCATGTTCATAAACAAGCAATGAAAATACTTCTATATACACAAATACATGTAATCCAGACATATTCAGTTTGTGCTCCTGCATCTAATCTTATCTTTTACCTTGTCAATATCATACTTTCACACTGGGGATTTTTGTAGTTCTGTCTGGAGCCTGCCTAAGCACAGTAAAACAGCAAAGACCATATTACTGACTATTAAAACACTGACCTGAATACTTTCTACTTTATTTTCTCTTGTTCCTTGTGATGGATTAAGTTCAGAAGTACACATCCAGGTTGGCAATCGAATTGAATAGTCTCTTCAATAATGCATGGTGTGGTGTGTTACATCTTCATCTTACAGCCATTTTCTTTGGTCACTGGGGTGTTTCACTATCTATATCCATTGTTAATGGGCCCATATTACCCTATTTTTTATCTGTTATAATATTGTTTCCTCATCACAAACATAACTGTAGTTGTGTTTTGTTTCATTCACATATGTTTAACACACAAACCCTGCATATTTAGAGTTCTTCTCTCAATCAGAAAACACTGTTCCACCTTGTGATGTCATGTGGTAATACAGGAAGTGCTCCACTGTGTTTTTAAACTCCATACACCTTCACTTAGATGATTTCAGCCCTGAAATTGCCTGTTGCTTCTGAAGCAGCTGCAAAACGTATTGAACCAAATAAACTTTAAAATTGAATTTCTCCTTTTACCGTGGATTCTACCTGGATGACTGAGGGATTTTATACACATATTGCTTCTGAAGTAAAGGTAAAAGGAGCTGTTATCTTGAAAACTACCACTTCATGACATCATAAGGTAGAACATAGCATTTTGAGCTTTAGACAGACTTATTAGTATGCAGGGTTACTTAAACATGTGTGAATGAAACAAAACACAGCTCTGGGTATGTTTTTGTTGAGGTAACACCATTATAATATTAAAGATCACAACAGTCAGTTGTACATAATATAGGACCTTTAAGTACATTTATTATACAAAAACATGACATTGATGCATGAAGTTTAATTATTCATATTTTGACTCTCCTCTGTCACACCACCACTCTGTTAAGTTTCTATTTCATTGTCTTGTAATTTTCATAATTTGTTAGTACATTTCCTTTTATGTTTATTTCTTTTTACAGTTCTTCATAAGCAGCCCAGAGAAGTGTGCCTCTGCCTTTTAGAGTTGGGGCGAATAGCAAGCAGGTATGGTATGGTATGGATTTATATGCATCATAAAAAATATATTTTAAACTACAGGTGCCTTTATATGTTTCTGTTAAATGAAACCATTTTGAAAAGAAATGGAGCAACTTTTTAAATTTCTCAGGTTACCAGCTACAAATATTATTTCTATATTGTGTTGCAGGTACAATGTGGAGCCTCCAGGACTTATAAAGTTGGAGAAAGAGATTGAATTGGAAGAGAAAGCACCTCTACCTCCTCCATCACCCGTGTCCCCATCTCAGCCCCTCCCACCATCCCCAACACTGTCACCTTCCCCCTCCCCAACTGCCTCCCCAACCCCGGCCAAAGTCACCTCCAGCAAGAAAAGCACAGGGAAACAGTTGGATGATGCAGTAAGTCTCTGAAATAAATTGTTGTTGTGCTTTAGTTACTGCTATCTGCTCTGCATGGGTTTAAATGTATGTTTATATTTTAGGTGCGGCATATTGCTGATGATCCTCCTTGCAAATGTCCCAACAAGTTCTGTGTGGAGAGACAGTCACAGGGCAGATATCGTGTTGGAGAGAAAATGCTCTTTATTCGGGTAATAATATAGCTATATCATATATATAAGCTAAATATTAAAATATATTCAGTTACATAAAAATATAATCTAATGTGTAGCTTTTGTGCAAATTATAGCAGCTGGATTTGTATATAAAAAAAAAAAATCTTTGGATCCATTTTTGATTATTTATTTTCAAAAGAGATGGTCTTATATTCATAAGCTCTGGTCAGAATGAGAGTCCTTATTTTGTTTGGACTGTCTGCCGTGGTGGTGGTATTCTAGTAATGACCATTTCAGATGAAAATAGTTGCACAGTATCAAATATACAGATATTTGTAGAGAAATATCCTCACTATATAAAACAGATGCTTGTTGGTGACCCTTATAAGTAACGCCCACAGTCTCTGAGTGTAGGTAAATATTATTGAAGAAAGTAAATGAAGAATAATGCAGATTACAGAAGCGGCATTCATCCCCTTGGGACTGTGGTTACTTGGCAACACAGCACCAGTATTCACACCTCTAAAATGTGATTCATGCATACGGTATGCTGAGGATGTTCAGCCACAGGGAGGAGGGTCTTCTGCTCTCGGCATGGTACACTCTACAAAATGGTGTATTGTAAATACAGAACAGTAGGACTCAGACTAATGATAAAATAATGTTAGGCTCATACAGTACATGTAGGCCTACTTTCATTGACTGAATATTTATCCTTTGTGTTGCTGAGCAACCAAGGACAGATGGAAAGGTTTTCATTTATATCAAGGCAGTGTATGGAGCACACAGTCTAAAGTGAAAAATAAAGAATCATTTAAGTTGTAGGTATTTATATTTTGCAGTGCCAACAAATTATGCACGGTCAAACAGTTTCTCTGCAATGTTAAGGTGCTTAAATTAAAATTCCACAGATATAAGATAAGATCCCTGCTGGTGTACTGAAAAGGCACCAAACCAAAAAGGTGTAACCACTGCTGTGTCTGTGTAGGGGACAGGACACATTACAGACCTTCCTTCACAACACTGTGCTATAAATGAGGCTCTTGTACCTGGACCTGTGGAGCTGAACTCTTTGTGTTGTGTGGGAGAGGTGCTGTCCCAGCCGAACCCAGAGGCTGTTGTCCACTCACACTCTCTGTAAAGGGGGTCCCCTCCAACATCGCCCGGTCCCAAAGCCATGTGATTGAAACCCCTCTACATCACAGCAGACCATTACCTCCACAGTCACAGCGCCTCAAGGCCCACAGCAGCTGATTGGAGGTGCTGCTGCCACTGGCCTGTAGATTGATTTTGTTAAGAGGCTTATAAATGTTGTATGTTATGCTGCTGCAGGGCAAGAAACCTCATATTGGGTCAAACTGAAGGGACAATCTTAGGAGCAACTTTACCCTCTTTAAAGACAAACTTAGATTTTCATTTTCAATGTAGCTTTGTCCCTCTTCATTGAACCCATTATAGTAGGGCAGCTTCTTGAGCTATTCTATTGTTGATGGGTTAAAAGTTAATAAGTGAGGGAGACCAGCTTTATGGTCACTGCCTCTGGGAAATGTAAATGCTTGGGCTGTAAATGACTTCCTGTCTTTGCAAGACATTTATTTTTCCTTCTATGCTCATAAATATATATATTGTTAATGAATGATCAAATCAAGTTATAGTCTAGATTTAACGTGACCTTTCCAAGATATCAACCTTTTGCTTGTCCTTAAAGTGATCAAATTAGTTTATTAGCTGGACATCAAAGCCTTCTTAAGTGTTCATTCAGGTTCAAAAGTCCATTAGGGAAATGACATAAGACTCTTAAGAGGGACGTTTGACACACATCAGCACGAGTGCTGGTGTAATCCTTTTGTGCCTTTTCCTTGCTCTTTGCAGATGCTCCACAATAAGCATGTGATGGTGCGTGTGGGCGGAGGCTGGGAGACCTTTGAGAGCTATCTGCTAAAGCATGATCCATGCCGCATGCTGCAGATCTCCAGAGTGGTGGCAAAGACTTCACTCACTACCAGCAAATCACCCAGCATCAAGGACCTGAGCCCAGATAGCTACCTGGTGGTGGCAGCAAACTATAAAGGCAAAAAGTGAGAACCTGCAGGAACTGGTCTAGGCCAAAGAATTTCTCAAATGGACTTTGAAGTGTGATTTATCCTTGTGGTTAAGTAGCTTTTTTAGTGTGAACAGTTCAGAAAAGATGTAATTTTTGTAATTTGTTCTTGATATTTTTTCTCTTCTTTTCAAAATTATACCAATAGTACAATAGTTTTTTTGTTTTTTTTTACTGATGTAATGGAATTCAGATTTTTTTTTTTTTTGTCTTGATAGTTATTTCTAAAAAGCCCAAAGAGCCTTACCAAACCCAGGTTGTGTTGTTTGGCTTAAACACGTGACTTGCCTGTGCGCTGTAAATATACTAATTAGACAGGTCTATGAATTTATAAATTATCATGCAATTGAGATTCTTTAAATATTATTTTGAATTGCAACGATGACAATCATCTTTTCAACCTTACAGTATTCATCCAGGTTACAGAAGTCCTCTCTCTAATTTCTTGTACATTACTGCCCTCTAGTGGCGGCCAATGATCTCGATTTACAACTGGACATAATTGTGTACAAGATGTATGTATATTTTAATGAAACCTTTTGAGACTGGAAGCTAAATCTTACATATCAATACATTTCTCTGGCAGTTATGATTAAGTAAACTGTAATCTGAATCAATACATTTGCATTATGGTTTTCTTGCAAAACTTCACATTCAGTGTTGTTTTAAAAACAATCTTACAATGTAGCAGAAATGTTCTTTATTGCAGCATATCTTCAGTATTACAAAATTGGCAAGAGCACCAGAAGCTTTCAAGGATCGAGTGATGGCTGTAAGCCAAATAGGCAAGGTTTTTGTACTAAATATCTATTAATAATGTTAACATCTGTCAAATTGTATCTGCTTTTATCATCATAATAAAGCAGGGATACATACATTGTCTATTAAGCATATATAATAAAGGGTTTCAAACAGTATGAAAATCTCTTTGAGGGTGCAGTGCCGGAGGCCAGAAGAAAGTGCAGCAAGTAGATCTCCTTCAGTTATAGTGGCTTGACTTTCAACATTCTGAACAGCAATAACGTAGACTGTTGTAGACTGTGCTTACCAAAAGCATCTCCACTGACAAGTAACCTCATTTTGTGATGTCATAAATGACTCAAATGTTGTAAACATAAACAGGGTTTGTAGTAATGTCATAGTTTAGTTAGTGTTAATGTTGAGGTCTCCATATGGGCAATGTGTGTGTTAGGAAAATAAACATAACAGGTTTTGTGCCTATTATCTCTCTCTTCCTTCATCAAAAGAAAAAAATACAGTATGTATTGGCAACAGGGTAAAAATGTCAACTGCTTTTGATTGTGCAAATCGTCAGTCGATTAGTATCAAGAAATATATAATAGTGAAAAAATTAAATAGTTAAATTACAATTTATAAAATAACCAGCAGTTTCCTTCTTCATCTTCAAGTTGGGTTGCAGCATTACACCATTTGGGGATTTCAGAATGGAAGATTTTCATCCGACTTGCCACTGAAAAATTAGATTAGATTAGATTAGACTAACCGATATTAAAGGTCTTGGGTAGATATTGTAAATAAGTACATCATTTATGTGGGTAGACAATTGTTTATACAAATCATAAGATTAAACTGGGTTTAAAACAATCACAACATTACCTTTAGCCCACCACCTCCAGAAACTGACGTGGTCATCGCCTGTTTTTCCATCTCTTCTTGTTTTTTTCTTTTCCTTTCGACTTCTTCTGGATTTTTAACACCCCTGTATGCGGTCTGAAAAATAACAAGAGATTATAATTAATAATTGTACAAATAAGAAACATTAAAGAAAAACAGCCAAGTAAACAAAGCATACAAAAACAAAGCAGATATGAGCAGAAGAGTGACCTTCATCTTGTTGCTGTGCACATAAGTTAAGCAGCAGTGGACAACTCCTCATATTAATTAAATGTGATCTGTGTGTGAATCCATTCCAGCTGTGAAGCTTAGTATTGTGGTTGGGAAAAATCATGTGACAACAGGCAATGTGGTCAATTTTAAGAAAGGGAAATATTTTATTGTGAGCCACACCATTACCTACTCACCTCTGTGCCACTTTTGTCTTGTTCTTACGTACTTTCAAGTGTCTCCTCTGTACAGTAAAAATGACCCATGAAGGTTCTCTAACGATTGGAACTATCATTATGAAAGTGTGCATACCCAATTTACTAAATAATAATGCCATTATAACAAATTATAATACAGAGTTATTATTCTTATCAAAATAAAGACTTTCTACATGTTTAATGTTACGTTATAATACAAAAACAGTAACAGTTTAATTAATTACACTGTAGGCTTAGGCTACTTACTTGGTTATGCACAAAAACACTTGCTTAGTTATTAACAATCATACTGCAGGAGTGTGAAAAACACATTTGCGGTAATAATGTTCCAATACACCTATACCTTTTTTATTTGCGTATTTTCGTACATATATGGGCATATGTGGATTGTGGAAGATGTTAGAGTGAACTGTAGGAGAAAACTGGTTCGTAGCCACGCCCCTTGAAATCCTGCATTCAAAGCTTTTACATATAAACTCTGAGGTGCGATAAAATGTATTTAGTTGGTTTTCACAGTCTGAACTTGTAATTAACCCACCTCCTTCTGTCTCTTTTCAGCAGCTTCTGCTAACTGTCGTCTCCTTGTTTCCTGTTAAAAACACAAACCCTTTAGGATACAGTGTGATGGTGAAAGGCCTGTCAGGAATACTTCACATTCCTTCTACATTTAACTGTTACATAGACTAAAATCAAGATAAATATTAGATACCCGTGTCTAGTAGAAATTGCACTTTCTCTTTAACAGTATCCCACAGTTGTTTTTACATCAGCATCGGCTACAAAGTTTTGTTAATAAAACCTTAAAGCCTACTTACGGGATCTGGTGTTTCTATAACATCGTCCGCCGCGCCTCCAAAGCAGGGTAAACACATTCCCATCTTTCTGTGTGCCGCAGACCACAAAAGGCAACGTTGAACAATGTTATAATGGGTCTCTTGAATTTGACTAACAGCTAACTATTAAGCGGAGGTAACCTTTAAGGCTGCAGCGCTGAGAAATAAGGCAGATACTCCCCCAGACTCTGGCTTTGGGCTCGTATGGCATTAGGCACTGCACCGTTAGCTAGCACCAGCTAACATGAGCTATCTAAATGCAGGCGCCAGCTCTCTCTGAAGAAAAGCACCGAGAATCTAGGCAAATAAGTAAGGGAATTAATGTTTCCCCCACCTCTTCTTTAGACGCAACTTTACTGCCATCATTTACAATATTTTACGTCTAATGTTATTTATTAGGTTGTTATTGTCAAAGAGTTCCGTTTGCTGAGTCCTGCAGTGAGGTATGTTCAAGAACACAATTATATATATTTTTTTTCAACTATAAATCACAACTTCAAAAAGGCCTACGTATATAACAGGACTCAACGTGAAGTACAGTATGTCGTAAATGAATATGTTAGTATAGCCAAAGCTGTTGGTCAATCACTCTTGCATTAGTTTGTATTTTACTTTTGAACGCAACTCTGTGAAGTATTTAGGTTAGAGTATAAATGGTCCAACAGCACCACCATGTGGACAAACCAAAGACAGAACAACATTCACCCTACCGCAGGCTTAATTATACGTACAGCCTACAAGTAGTTGTAGTTAAATTAACCATTGTCTTTAGAATTATGTTTAGACTATGTTTATTAACTTTATTTAACCCTGAGGAGCAATTCTGTTTGCAGTCACAGACTGCAGCATAAAAGACCACACATACAGAGCAGTTGACAAAGATCAGGCCCTCACACAATATGGGCAGCAGAGCTGAGCATAAGTGCAAATGATGAATAAAATGAACAGTGTTGCACGTTTTGGTGATACAAAACAGATCAACAACAATAAAAACAAGATAAAAAAAACAAACACTTGGCTATACCTTATCACATCTCTGTGTTTTCTGACCCAAATGGCAGAGGGAATAAATAAATTAGCAAATCTGTTTGTTTGTTTTCCTGCTGGAGGCAAGGTAGCATGTCCCAGAGGAGACTGCCTAAGATTCATTTGACCTTCTGGAGCACCAGAAACCTCCATAAAGTGTTAAGGTTGGGCATCTGCACAGGTTTTTACAATGTTGTTTAGGCTGTTTTTGTCTTTGACTGACAAACCATAAAACCAACAGGCAAAAGAAAAGGTTAAAAGACTCTCAATAAAAGACTGATAAAAAAGCACACAGGATTGGTTTTGAGACATTAAGCATGTCACTTATTGTCTTTACAAATAATAAAAAACACTGAAATAAAGTTACTTCTATTTATAATGCAATACACATATTATATAATTTTATTCCTTAGCTTGTTTTAGACTATGGGGGACCACCACAGTCTCTATTACTGCAATGAAAAACACTGTTTATTCCATAGGCTTCTGACTTTAGGCTGCTTTGTACATTGCCTTGTTTCTGAGGTCTTAATTTGGTTTAGTGGTGTATAACTGAATCAAATTTGTAAAATCTAATATTGGAATAATGTTTCTTTTGCTTTATACAGACATAAACCAGGAGTCTACCAAAGCTTGGAACCTATTCTTCTACGGTGCGTACATGAGGTGGGTTGGTGTATTTCAGTTTTTTAATACATAGATGGTTGAATTGTTATAACACAACAAACTAAATATTATTAGTCAAACATAAATCAAAATGGAAAATAGTGCACAACATACAAGGATGACTGATGTGTCAAATCCCTGTGTGGTGTGAATGACTGGGGTCCCCTACAGCAGTTCTGTCTGGTCAATACAGTCAATCAATACAGAGTTTAATGTTGTGGCGTGCTACGTCTGACAAAACTCCACCCATTCATCTTCTCCGCGCTGCCCGGCTTTTTCACAGCTCAGCGTGTAGCTGCAGTGAGGGGATGGCAGACACATGAAACTGCTCATCCTTCTGGAGCATTGTAACTTTAGAACAAGATCTGAGTTTATTCATGGGGGATTTGGACTAAATGACAGGTGCAAACTATGGATGCCACAGCCTCGCAGGCTCTTGGCAGCTCTTCAGGTATGGATCATGGATAACTTTTAAAACCTGTCAAGTTTTGCTATAGAGAGGTTTCTTTATAATGAGATGATGTTTATTGAAGTAGTTAATGTGTGTAATAAATAATGCTGATTATGTAATATTCTTTGACTAAAAACTGATATATAACTATTAACTATAACAAACCTATATACATGCACACCATCAGATAATCATGTGTATCAAATGAGACCATGATGACTATACTGATGCTGTAAAAGTATGTGTGGTGAATAAGGCGCAGTATGTACTGCTCTTAAACAAACTACAATCACTTTAAAAGATTAAACTGAATTCACTGAAATTATTGACTATTTACTAAAATAAAGGTAACTGTAATACTGTTTTGATAGGGTAATGATAATCATTATCTGGACCATTCAGACTCTACAACACATGCAAAAATACATTTTATCACAAGATTGTTGCAGTAATGAATAATTCTTAATAATAATACACTTTATTTATAAATATTCTCTATCTTGAAACCTTCACTCAACATATTTCAACCTTTTATTGGGTTAAGAATGTATTTTTCAGTTTACAATATCGAAAATAGAAATATAGATATTATTATTATTTACTCGTCAACTAAAAAAAAAACCTTACTAGTTGATTACTAAAATTATCTTTAGTTACAACACTACTTGTTATTAATACTGATTACTGGAGGAATTTTTAAAAAGTAACACTGTCCAGCTCCATCTGTGCGTGCTAGTAGAAGTTCCAAGAGATATCATCTTATTAGCACAATGATCACTCTAGTAATTAACATTTATCTAATCCTCCTCCATGCATCTACAACCTACAGAAATCATGTGCAAAGAGCCAGTGAAAACCCAGGCATCAGACAGTTAAATAACCTATCCAGTACAATACAATATATGAATCTTGTTGCTTTTATTAGCTGCCTCAGATCATCGCTGCCCCAGGCCAAGATGGAAATGGCAAAATGATGGTGATGTCCTGTAAGTTAATAGGGCTTTTTTATTGTGTTGATCCATGTGCACAAATGTTCAGTGGTGTGAGGAAAAGTCAAGGCCTTTGCAGTAATCTTCCAGTTAGCATTATTTTTGCTCATGCAGTTCCCAGTGAACTTTGCCTTAAGATTGTTTATGAAGAGAAGAGGATATCCAAGAATTTTTACATTTGTATGAATTTAAAGAGTTAATTTAAGCATTAGGCCACTTGCAAGTAGTAAACCTGTGTACATGTTATGAGCTCCCAAAGAAGAATAATCAACCATAGCAAGTATTTTATTTTAATATATTAAGTTGCAGTGGTACAGGGAAAAATTTATGAGAAATTATAATTGGAGTGTCTGGCCTTGTTACATTTTGTATATGTATGCACTGATCCAGGTTTTTTTTAGTTCTGATTCCGATTTTGATGCTATATTTAAGCATGTGCTGATAGCCGATATCAACCAATACCAGCGTAGACACTGAAAACAGCTTTTATTTCTTTTATTAGAAATTAAATAAGCTAAAATGGATCCAAATGTGTTATATGCTATTTATTTCTCAAGTAATGACAAAACAACTAATAAATAAAAATTCAAACCTAAGAAGCATTCTGGGCTGACTGTGACCAGTAAATAATTACATCAGTTTGTAAGTCTAACCAGGGTATCTGCTGAACTAGCACATTTTTCAGTATCGGTGCCGATATCTGATACCAGTATTGGATTGGTGCATCCCTATTTAATATCCCACATGCTTTTATCTTAAAGTAACGGTAAAATATTCTCTAAGTTTTAAAATTAGATTTTATCAAGTAAGGCATAAATCATTTCTTCATTGTTATGAGATTACAGACTTTTATTTTAGGGAAACCTCTCTCTGTTTCTAAATAACCTAATGTACTATGTTTAGTGTAGTGAGAGGTGCATAATGCATGTTTTCAGCAAACACTTTACTGGCCTCTCTAGAAACCTTAATGTCTCTTTTATTCAGTTAACAATCAGCTGAGTGTTTAACTCTTGTCTAACCATATTACCTTTACTTCATAATCCTCACAAAGTGTTACCAAACATGTGTTTATTAAATTAGACTAGACTCCATAAAGTTAATATCAGTATATGGTGGAACACTGCTCATTAATGGTTAATGCAACACTTAACAGTCACTTTAGTATTGATGTGTATTTGTTTAAAACAGGAAATACAGTACCTTCTCATCAATCGATCTACCCCAGGGCCGACTGCACTCAGCTGTAATGGACAACAGCATTAAATAAACTTTCCATGTTTATATTTTGTAGTTTTAACTCATCAACCTCATCATTCAAATGTATTAAACCTTAAAAGACACATGGATTTACTCTCAGAAGTTCACTTAATACAAAATACATTAAAGGAGACATATTATGTAAAATGCCCTTTTATGAGCTTTTAGCCATCTCATACTGGTTTTCACTCATCATTAGCTCACTTGGATTTGTATTTTGAGTGGTCTGATACTTTAAACATGATTTCAACAAAATAAAGGTGTTTTCTTATATATTTATTTGTCAAATAATAATTTATGTGTATACATTAGAGTTTTGCTAGATAACAATGGCAATCCCTCGTGTTATTTCACAATTTCAACCAGATAGTGCAATTTTAAATTGAAATTGCTAAATTGTGTATTATCCCATAAGCACGTTAAGTGGATATAGATCAGTATTGTGGTTTACAATTGACAAAATGTAAAATATTGATCTATACATGCTGTAGTCTAATCATCATCTAGCCCATTTACATAGAACTGAAATGAAATGTATAAACATGTTCCATAAAAAAGTGATTTATTTTACATAGCATTTAACAAGGTGCAAAAACCAAGGGTTAATGGGACACTCCTCTGATAATTGTGACTCATGATGTTTGGATGCAGTCCACAGCCCTGCGGCTCTGGCTTCTTTTAATCATGTTCAATGCACAAATGATATGCACCACAGCACAGTTTAAACTCATATTTATAGAACGACGTTCAGTTGTAAACAAAAAACATGTGTCTATATGGCATTGCCTGTAGTCCTATAATGTTGGAAAATATGTATGATATGGAAATAAATAGGAAGCTGAGTCATAACTTGAATCCTCTTTAAGCATTTAATAGTAAAATTTTAGCTGATACTCTTTGTAATGCTTATTTGTTTTCTGTTTTCCAACATCTATGAAATATTTAAGAAGGCATGTGTTCTTTACAATTGAAATAGAAATATAATTATGAATTATTAAGTTGATCAGATGAAATGGATAGTTACAGAAAACCATAGACTGTGCAGCTTCCCATTAGTGTCAAGTTCCTGAC